CTTTCAGCCTCTGCAACTGGGGGATGTCTGGACTTGGAAGTTTCCCAGAATTCCCCAGCCAGTCACGGTGGATGGAAGATCCTGGAAGTTTATGGATCAGGTGCCCAGAGGATTCTTTCCCTACTGTGGGGGCGCCCCACAGCTTCAGAAAGCTACTGAGTGCTCCATGAGGTGCTGTTGTGGTATCTTCTCTCGGCCCAAATAGCCTTCGACCTTCACCTCACTCCTTTCTACCACTGATGACGTTACTTAGCTGGGCCATCAAAACACCTGCAAACAGCAGTCCTCCTCCTCCCCCCTGCAGCCCCCCTCCCTTCTAGCACTAACAATGTTCCCTAGTTGAGTCACGAAATATCTGTAAGAAAAGCCACCCAGCTCAGAGGGCACCAGGACCTCTCAGCCCCCCCCCCTCCTCCTCCCCCAGATCTCCTTCCCGGCCGGCTTGCATCAACCACAGATGCTACTCCATCTGTTCCCTTCTTTGATGCTCAAGGCCACGTCCACGGAGGCTTTCTGAGCAGGCAGCACGCCAGGAGGAAACACATGTGCACCATGCCAGGAGCCACCAGCCAGCCTGGGCAGCAGGAATCCACACCGCCTGGATTCCCCCTGGGGATTAGCCAATGGAGCATCTTGGAAGAGGACCCCCAGCGTGGCCTGAGCCAGCCTGCAAAACACGACTGGGTTTCACAAGGCAATTAAAAGCACTTCCGGAAGGGATGTTGTTGGCACCCACCCAAAAATGTCCCTTTGTCCTGTGCTGCAGGATGCCCCCCCCACACACACACCCACACTTACAACCATCCCCTCCCTTGGCATCGGGTCTGTACTTATAGTAACTTGGTAGTCCCCAGAACCCCCTGCTTCCCACAAGGATTCCTGCCAGCATCCCGTCTGTGGCATAAATCCATTGCTAAGCAAGGGGATCGTTAAGTGAGCTGTGTCCGATTGAATGACCTTGTTTGGAATGGCTGTTAAGCGAGTCACTGCCGTTGTTAAATGAATCAGGTGGTTAAGTGACTCTGGCTTCCCTCCATTGACTGCTTATTAGAAGCTGGCTGGGATGATTGCAAATGGGAGGGGAGGGCGGGAGAGAAGGAAGGAAGGAAGGAAGGAAGGAAGGAAGGAAGGAAGGAAGGAAGGAAGGAAGGAAGGGGAGAGGAAAGGAAGGAAGGTATTGGAGGGAGGGAAGGGAGAGAAGGAGGAAAAGGAAGGAAAGGGATTGTGGGAGGGAGAAAGGGAGAAGGAAGATATGGGAGGGAGGAGGGAAGGAAGGAAAGAAGGGATTATGGGACGGAGGGAAAGATAAACATCTGTAGAACATCTGGAAAATACTGGCAAGCCTCCCAGTGAGCTCAGTTTAGCAGTTTTAGTTTTTTAACAGCCACCAAAGTTCCCCCAGCTGAGCCTGTGGCTCACCCTGAAGATTTCCCAAATCTCCCTCTCAGCACTTCTGCCTCCCTGTGATTCTCCCCAGAAATCAGTAAAAAACAACAACCCATATTGTGTCCAATTGCAGCCACAAATTCCGGTTATCTACATAAGCAGGGCAGAGCTTCCATTGCATGAGCATGGGCTCCATCTTGACTTTTTTGACCTTTGGGTGGGTGCAGCTCCAGCAGTTTCCTTCCTTCTTCTCCTTTCTTTCTTTACCCATCCATTCCTTTTTTTTTCTCTTGCTTTCTTCCATCCTTCCTTTCCTTTTCCCCCTACCCACTTTTCCCTCTCCCTCCTTTTCCCTTCCCTCAATCTTTCGTTCCTTCCTTTTTCTCCTTCACTATTCTTTCCTGCTTTCCTTACTTTGTTCCTTTTTTTCTTTTTCCCGCTCTCCTTCCTTCCTTTCCTCCCATCCTCCATTCCTTCTCCCTCCCATACATTCTTTCCTACTTTTTCCCTTTCCCTCCCTTAATCTTTCCTTCCTTTTTTCTCCTTCACTCCTTTTTCTTTCCTTTCCTTTTTTGTCCATTCTTCGTTCCCTTTCTCCAGTCCTTTTCCCCTCTTCCTTCCCTTTTCCTCCCACCCTCCTTTCCTTCTCCATCCCATACTTTCCTTCCATTTCCCTTAATTTCCTTTTTCTCCTTCACTCCCTTTATTTTTCCTTTCCTGCTTTTTCTTTTTGTTTCTCCATTCCTTCCTTCCTTTTCTCCACCCTTTCCTTCTCCCTCCCATTCTTTCCTTTATTCCTTTTCCTTTCCTTCCCTCAGTCTTCCTTCCTTTTCCTCCTTCACTTCCTCTTTATTTTCTTTTCCTTTCCCACTTTTCTTCCTTCCTTTTCTCCATTTCTTTTTCTTTCTCTGCTCTCCTTCCGTCCTTTCTCCTCCCTTCCTCCCACCTTGTAAATTCTTGTCTAACCCAGGGGTAGGCCACCTTGGCTCTTTTATGACTGGTGGACTTCAACTCCCAGAATTCCTGAGCCAGCCATGCTGAGGGGAAAGGGAGAGGCTTCCAAGCTGAGCCAGGCTGGCTCAGGAATTCTGGAAGTTGAAGTCCACAGAGTCATGAAGGGGCCAAAGTTTGCCTCATGCTGGCTCAGGAATTCTGGGAGTTGAAGTCCACGAGTCATAAAGCGGCCTAGGTCTAGGCCAGAGGTAGGCCACCTTCGCTCTTTTATGACTCGTGGACTTCAACTCCCAGAATTCCTGAGCCAGCCATGCTGAGGGGAAAGGGAGAGCTTGCCATGCTGAGCCATGCTGGCTCAGGAATTCTGGGAGTTGACGTCCACGAGCCATAAAAGAGCCTAGCCCTGGTCTAAAGACATATTTTCAAGAATCTTCCAGAAACCCCCCCCCCACACACACACTGCCTGGCTGGGGAATCCTGGGAAGCTGGTCTTCCAAGGAATGGGTGAAAGCTGGACTGTCCAATTCCGTCTCAGCTCCTGGACTTCTGTCAGCAAAAGAGAAGCAGAAGGCTTTGCATGAATTGGCTCTTCCGACCCTCCCTTAAAAGATTCTGGCACTTCCTGGAGAGCTGAGGCGATCCTGGGAGAATCCCACCAATCCAGAATAATTTATTTGGAAGACACACCAAAGCCTCCTTTCAAATCTACAATATAAGGAGATTCCGCTTTCTTTCTCTTTGGAAACCTTGGATGAACAAAAGGGTTTTTAATCGCCTTCTGCCCTCTCATACAGTCCACTAAGTACAATTAAAACTTTTATTTAACAGCAAAATTGTGGAAACATCTAGTTTGTACATTTACAATTCTTCTCTTCCAAGAAGGGCATCAGCAAAACTCCAGGCATATTTACAGAAGGTAAGTTAAATGTTGTTACCCCAAAAAGCAGCATCTTTCTTCTCTTTGAGGGGAAAAAGGCAGTCCTCGATTTATGACGGATCATTTAACAACCATTCAAAGTTATTACAGGCTCGTAAATGTTTAAACTTCGTTCAAAGATACCTTGAGGTACATTCATTTGTTTAGTGACCATTCAAACTTAACATGGCACTGAAAGTGACTTACAACCTTGTTTTTCACACAGCTGTCGCCATGGTTACGTGATCAAAATTCAGCCGCTTGGCAACTGATTCATATTTATGACGGTTGCTGTGTCCCGGGGTCACGTGATCCCCTTTTGCAACCTTCGTACAAGCAAGGTCAATGGGGAAGTGTCCAATTCAGTTAACAACCATGTGACTGACTTAGCAACTAGTGTTTAATTTAACAACTGTGGCAAGAAAAGTTGTAATATGGAACAAAATTCACTTAACAACCATCTTGCTTAACAACAGAAATTTGGGGCTCAATTGTGGTCGTAAGTTGAGAACTACCTGTATTTTGCTTATTCATTAGATTTGTACGCATCCCTTCTCGTCTTGAGGCAACTTTGTATGACTGGTCCTCAAAGTTACAACGGCCACCTGATCACCAGGCCTGGTTCTGTGATGGTGTGTTAGGCATCTGGCCACTGTCTCACATTTATGACTGGTTGCAGCATCCCACGGTCAAGTGATTGCATTTGGCAACATTTTTTGCAGTTTTTCGAGCAAAAGACACACATTGCATAAAATGTTTGCCCTTCAAGACCAGATGATTCACTTAAGGACCATGGTGACTCATTTAATGACGGTCATAAAATTGAATATGGGAATTGATGTCCGCCCATCTTAAAGTGGCCAAGGCTGAGAAACGCTGTTGTAGAATGCTGGGTAAACTGAGATAATCCACAGAGGCAACTTAATCTTGGCTTATGGGGTTGGTGATCACAGCCACCCTGATCAGTTAACTATGGTTAATAAAATTCAAGGGAAACAGGAGCCAAACTCAGTCCTGCATGAGGCCACAGGAAGCCAATCATAGCAGCCAGAGATCAAATAAGTCAAAATGGCCACCTCAACTCTATGATTGAAGCTCATCTCCTTTGTAAAGTGGACATCTCTGGATCACCACTTTAGATCTCAGATTGACTTGAGTTCTCATCACAGATTAGATTCCGTGAAAATCGGTTGAGGAAGGTTGAAGGTTCAGCTCCATGTGGGAATGTTGGCCAGTTACATGAAGAAGCCCATCTACGCACCCACCCCCTGAAGGCCTCTGAAAACACATTTGGGTAACAACAAACTGGGTTTGTTAAGCCATCTTCTGCTGGGGGTCAGCCTGGGTCCAGCATCTGGTGAAAGTCACATCAAGAGGTTGGCCAAAAGGACTACTAGGGGAGAGAGGCAACAATGATGCGGTGCAGGGAATGACCAGTGTGCAAAGGGTTGTCTATGTGTATGTCTGTGTGTGTGTGTGTGTGAGAGAGAGAGAGGGGGGGGGTAGGGGAGACAGAAAGAGAAAGAATGAAAAAATAAGGAAGAGAATAGAAAGAAAGGGAGAGAATGAAAGAAAGACTGGGAGAGGGAAAAAGAGAAGGAGAGAAAATGAAAACAAAAAGAGAATGAGAAAGAACAGAAGGTGAAAATGAAAGAGGACAGAAAAATGAAAAAACGAGTGAAAGAGAAGAAGAGAATGAGAAAGAATGGGAGAAAGAATGAATGAAAGAAAAAATTAGAATGAGAGACGGAATGAGAAAGAATGAAAGAACAGGTAGAAAAAAGGAAAGGAAGAAAATGGGAGAATGGGAGAGAGAATGAGAGGGGAAAAAAAGAATGAAAGAGAGAGAGAGAGAGAGACTTGGACTGACTTGATGGGAGGACGTAATTGACCAAAACCTAAATCAGTGTAGATAGGGCACCACCAGGAAATCCAAAATACTATTCTAGAGAAGGAACATGCCTGAAGGAACGGTGGTGTTTTTTTCTTCCTCCTGTTACGCATCTTGGTAATTTCCATCCAGCCCTCCCTGATGGTTTGTCCAATTTACCCCCCCCCCCAAAGCAAAGCCCTATTACGGTATCCAAAGTGTCCTCATCCCTCTCGACTATCCTGTTAGTTAAAATCTTCTTATTATTTTTTAAGGAAAAACCCAGAGTGAGAAAAATAACTGTTGGAGGTCCAGGGTGGGGGCAGAGGGGGGCGGCAGCAACAGAGGGGGGGTCCGAGTCTTCACACCACCGAGCTAACCTCGAGGGGCATGTTCAGACGGTCCGCCACGTCCCCCCGCTCAACGGCAGACAGGGCCTCGCTCAGGGCCTCCAGCGTGGCCCCCTCTTGGGCCGACCAATCGGAGAGCAGTGTGTGGGCAGGGGCCTCCCCCCAGCCGATGGTCTGGATGGTTTCGTCTGCGTAGCCCATGTGCTGGGCAAGACTGCGCCAGTCTTTGCCTTGGGGGGTGGGCATTTCCAGCATCTGCTCTACTTCCTCTTGTAGAGGGTGGGGGAGGCTGCTGTATAGGCGGGGCTCCGCTTTCGGTCCTCCTTTGGGGGGGAAGAGAAGAAGGAGAGGAAATTGATTCAGATTGATGGAGTGACTCTTTTCTTCCTTTTTTCTTCTTTCCTTCCTTCCTTCCTCTTTCTTTCTCTCCTTTCTGTCTTTTCCATTTTCCTCATTTTCCTTTCTTTCTTTCCATTTCTTCTTCCTCTTTTCCGCTTCCGCCTTCCTTTCTTTTTCCTTCCTTCCTTTTCCCTTTTCCTTCCTTCCCTTTCTTTCTTTCTTTCTTTCTTCCCATTTTCCTCATTTTCCTTCCTTACTCTTGCTTTCCCTTTTCCACTTTCTCCTTTCATTTCATTTCCTTTCTTTTTCTTTCCTTGTTCACCTTCCTTTTGTCTTCCTTCTTTTCTCTTTCCTTCTGTATTTCCTTCTTTCCTTCCTTCTTCTCTTTCCCTTCCTTTCATTTCTCTTTCCTTGCCTCCCTCCCTCCCTCCCATTTCGTTTCTTTTTCCCTTGAAGAACGGGTTGGATCCTAGCAGCCTGATCAACATCTGAACAGGGGACCCAAAAAGTCAACTCCACGCCATTTACCCATAGTAAAAACCTCTCCACCATGAGGACTAGCAACTCAGGGAACAGTAGTTCCTGCAGAATGGTTCCCTATCAAGATGGTTCTCAAGACTCAACTTGAGAATGTTCCCCTAATTTGTGTCTGTGTGGGGGGGGGAGAGAGGGGTCTGTTGAGCAACCTCACCCTTGTTCAGCTGGTGCTGCTCCTGCAGGCTGTGCGTGTCCAGGAAGACCCCGCTGTCTCCATGAAGTTTTTCTCCTTCGGGGGAAGAGGCCAACTCCCCCATCCGGGCTTTGGCCAGCTGGTGCTTCTGCTTGCATGTGGTCCAGCTGCATCAGAGCAGGAGGGGATGGTTATTTGGGGGCCTGACCCAAGACCCTCCCTCTATTTACCCTTTCAAGCAAGCCCTGGCAGGCCTCCCCTCCCTCATAATCACAGCCAGATCTTGCAGCTAGCCTTAAAAGCAGGGCAAAAAAAAAAGAAAGCCTCTTTTACTGACATCTCCAGACAGATGGCTGGATGGGTGGAAAAGAGGAATGAAGCAGTGAGCAGAAGACAGATGAGTGGGGAGGAAAGGCTGGGGGGGGAGGGCAGATATGGGGGGGGTGTATGGAGGTTCTGCAGGGAGATGAGTGAGCGAGTTGGAAAAGCCTTGGAAAAGCCGTTATCTGGGTGGGTTTTGATGGCTAAATAAAGGTAGACCTCAACTTACAACCACAACTTAGCCCAAAAGCTTCCGCTGCTAAGTGAGACAGTTGTTCAGTGAGTTTTGCCCCACTTTTTAAGTGAATCACGGCAGCTGTTAAGTTAGTAACACGGTTCTTAAGTGAAGCCGGCTGCCCCCATTGACTCTGCTTATCAGATGGTCACTAAAGGGGATCACGTGACCCCGGGACACTGCGGCCGTCGTAATATGAGTTAGTTGCCAAGCCTTTGAATTTTGATCACCTGACCTTTGGGATGCTGCAACGGTCATAACTGTGAAAAACCCTCATAAGCCGCATTTTTCACTGAATGGTCACTAAGTGAACTATCGTAAGTCGAGGACCACCTCTCAATAGGAGACTGAAAGAAAAGCAAGGAGCTCTATTGGGAAAAAAACAGATCTTTTTTCGTAAGGAACCAACCTGCATTGGGCCGAGCGTTTGATCCAGAAAAGTCAACTCCATGCCATTTACCCGTAGTAAAAACCTCTCCACCATGAGGACTAGCAACTCAGGGGACGGTAGTTCCTGCAGAACGGTTTCCTATCAAGATCCTGCTTGGTTCTTAAGACTCAACTTGAGAGTGTTCCCCTAATTTGTGTCTGTGTGTGTGTGTGTGTGAGGGGGAGAATAAAATGCCTTAAAATCCTTGCCTTAACAACCATAATTGTGTTAAAAATTTCCATTGCTAACACAATGTAGTTGTTAAGTGAGTATTGACCTATTTTATGACCTTTATGGCCACAACTTCTAAGTCAGGAGTCTTCAAACTTGACCCTTTTATGACTGTTGGACTTCAACTCCCAGAATTCCTCAGCCAGGCACTTCGCCAAGGAATTCTGGGAGTTGAAGTCCACCAGTCATCAAAGGGCCAAGTTGGAAGAGCCCTGTTCTAAGTGAATCTCTGCTATTTTTAAGTGAATCCATCAACTGGGAAGATTGCAATTGGTGATCCCGTGACCCCAGGACAGGGCAAACGGTGATAAATGTGAGCCCATAGCCAAAGGCCCAAATTGTGACAGTCATAACTCGGAGGACAGGTCATAAGTTCTGTTTTTTCAACACTGTCGTAACTTTGAATCCTCATTAAATGAACAGTCACAGGACTTCCTGTACAGCAATGTTTCTCAAACCGGCTGGGGAATTCTGGGAATTGAACTTGGGGGAACACAATTCCCTCAAGTTCACGTGATCAAAATTCAGACAGCTCGGCCACTGACGTGTATTTATGACAGTCGCAGCATTCTGGGGTCACATAATCCCCTTTTGCGACCGTCTGACAAGCAGTAAGCCAGATTCACTTAACGACCATGTTGTTAACTGAACAACTACAGCGAGGTCATAAAATGGGGGCAAAACTCACATAACGAATGTTTTGTGAATGTCAGCAACAGAAATTTGGGGCTCCCGTGTGGTCGTAAGTCGAGGATTCTCTGTGGCTTAATTCTAGTTCTAAAAAAGATGTGAGGGGATAGGTTGGGCCAGGGATCTTATTTCCCCGCAAGGAGAAATCTAGCTTCTCAAGGAAAGAGGGATGCTATATTTCTAGATTTCTTCCTGCGGGGAATTTGAAGAAAGCCGGAGAGGTCCCACCAGGATAGGGGGTCCCCATCCTGGAGACCCCTCCTCACCAGAGACTCACCATTTGAAACCCACGTAGGCGAGGAGCCCCACCACCACAGCGGCCAAGATGGAGCAGTAAACAGGGATGATGCTGTTGGGGTGGTCGTCCACCAGGGAGGGCACAAACTCGGAAGACGAGTTGGGAGAATCGCCGCCTTCCGCCTCTAGGGGCGCCGTCCTCCTCGGATGGTCCTTCCGGGGCGCCCCTTCAGGCCGTTTCAGGATCTGCAGCTCTTTATCTAAAATTAAAATGAAACGGAAAATTAAAACGAAGGGGGGCGGGAAAGCAAACCCCAACACCTAGGAAACAGCTGGGGGTTCCCAGCGGTGTGTGTGTATTTGTGTGAGACTGTGTGTGTGTGTGTGTGTCATCTCAAAAAGAGGAAAATAACAAGAGCCCCACCCCTAATTAATCCCCCCCAACTACATTTAGTCCTCGACTTATGACTACAACAGAGCCTCAAATTTCCATCGCTGAGCCAGACAATTGTTAAGTGGGCTTTGCCCCACTTTACGACCTTCCTTGCCCCGGTTGTTAAGTGAATCCTTTCAGTTGTTGAGTTAGGAACATAGTTGTTAAGCAAATCTGGCTTCCCTCATTGACTCTTCTTGTAGGAAGGTCGCAAAAGGGAATCACGTGGTCCCTGGGATACTGCGATCGTCATAAATACGAGTCAGTTGCCAAGTGTCTGAATATTGATCACATGACCCTGGGGATGCTGCAACGGTTGTGTGAAAAAACAGTCACAAGTCACTTTTTTCAGTGCCGTTGTAACTTTGAATGGTCACTAAATGAATGATTGTAAGTTGAGGACTACTTGTATAACCCTGGTGGGGGCTTTAGAAGACTACCCAGCCAGGTGCCATCAAAACAACCCCTAAAATCCTGCAAAATTTCAAAACTTAAAAACAGGACAGCCCTTGTGGGTTCAACGCAAGGCAACACTGATCTGAGCACACAGACAAGCCACAATACAGGGGGTTGGGCTAGATGACCTCCAAGGTACCTTCCAACTCTTGTTATTAGGAGGAGGGGGGAGGAGGAGGAGGAGTAAAGTGATTCTTGCCTGAGCAGGGGGTTTGACTAGATGACCACCAAGGTCCCTTCCAACTCTTATTATGAGGAGGAGGAGGGGGGAGGAGGAAGAGGAGGAAAGCAATTCCTGCCTGAGTAGGGGGTTGGACTAGATGACCCTCAAGGTCCCTTCCAACTTTTGTTATTAGGAGGGGGAGTAGTAATAGTAGTAGTAGCAGTAGTAATAGTAGTAGTAGGAGGAGGAGGAAGAAAGTGATTCCTGCCTGAGGAGGGGGTTGGACTAGATGACCACCAAGGTCCCTTCGAACTCTTGTTATGAGGAGGGGGGAGGAGGAAAGCAGTTCGTGCCTAAGGGGGTTGGACTAGACGACCCTCAAGGTCCCATCCAACTCTGTGATTATGTTAAATCAGTGCCCAGATGTAGGGAATCTGGTTTCTAAATGCATTGTGAGGGAATTCTGCAATCTGGGCAGTGTGGAAATCTGCTTCCCGGCTGGCTGCAAAAGTGCCTTCCTGAATGTTTTGGGGCTTCGGTCCCAGCCAGGAACTTGCTGGCGTCTCTGCATGGAGACACATGTGTGCCAGATGTGCAGGAGGGATGTTGGGGGGGGGGAGAAACAAGAAAAATGATGAATTCCTGGTGTTTTTCTTCCTTTCTTCCCTCTTGCCTGTCTTTCTTTTGCAAACGGGCGTTCGATCCGAGTTCGCAGAAATAAGTTCTGGGGCAGTCCTCTACTTACAACCGTTCATTTAGTGACCATTCAAAATTGCAATGGCACTGAAACAAATGTGATTTTGGATGGTTTTTCACACTTACGACCATCCCAGCATCCCCCTGGTCACGTGATCAAAATTCAGACGCTGGACAACTCATATTTATGATGGCTGTGGCGTCCCTGTGTGTGTGTGTTTGTGTGTGTATGATGATCCCCTTTGGCGACCTTCCAACAAGCAAAGCCAGTTGTTAAGTTAGTCACACGGTCGTTAAGCCAGATTCACTTAACGACCGTGTGACTAACTTAACAACTGCAGAGATTCGCTTAACAACGGTGGAAAGAAAGGTCAACAAATGGGGCAAAACTCACTTAAACGACTGTCTCGCTTACCAAGAGAAAATTTGGGCTCAACTGTGGTTGTAAGTCAAGGACTAAACGAGTACCTATGTTGGATCATTTCACCCTGCTCCTGGCCCTGTAAAAATAGGAATAAGCGGTAAAAATGTGGCTTCTGCAGAGCAATAGAATATTTTCAAGCTAGAATGCAAAGAGGAAAGGAAAACTTGCCTCCGAATATTGCCCAACATGGTCAAAAAAGTCAAGATGGCGGCCATGAAGCTCAGCTCTAAGCTTGGCCTGTTTATTATAGGAATGTATAATCCAGGTGAAACTTTGGCCTTATTTTGTCCCTTTTTTTTGACCCCAGACTGCCTGCTTCCCCACACACCACACTAACCCCACCCTCTTCCTTGCTATGCTAGCTTTCTGCTTGCAGGATTGTCGGAATAAAACCCACCTCCCCACTCTGGAAAGCCCACCCAATTCCCCCCAGCCTTCAAAGCACACGAAAGCTGGTGAATGATCTAGTTGTTTTTTTTTTAAAAAAAAAAAAAAAGAGAGGAAAAATCAGATTTTTTGTGTGTGTTTGCACTGGGGCGGGGTGCAATTTAGATGTGGGGAAAAAACTCGATGTGGATGGATTGCAGAATTGCAGCATCTCTCTCTTTTTTGTCTCTCTCTCTCTCTTTCTGTTTTTCTCTATCTCCTTTGCTTTCTCTCTAGCTATTTCTTCCTCTTTCTGTCTCTAGCTTTTTCTCTTCCTTTCTCATTCTTTCTCTCTGTTTTCCTTTGTCTCTCTTTGTTTCTCTTTCTCTCTCTCTCTCTTTTCTTTTGCTCTCTATTTTTCTCCCCTGTCCCTCTTTTTCTCTCTTCTTTCTCTTCCTCTCTCTTTGTTATTCTCTCTTCATTTTCCTCCCTCTGTCTCTCCTTCTAGTTCTTTCTCTCTCTCTCTCTCCCCCCATCTCTTTTTCTCTCTTCTCCTTTCTCTTCCTCTTTGTCTCTTTCTGTTTCATTCTTTCTGTTTCTCCCTCATTCTCTCTCTCTCTCTCTCTCTCTCTCTCTCTCTCTCAGCTGGTTGATCCTGGTTTCTTTTAGCAGGGCTGAAAACAGACACTTGCACCATTGTGCATTTCTCTCCCCCCTCCAAAGCAAACACGAAACTCTCCTTCCAGGGCTTAAGCCTGCTTCCCACCCCCACATCTTCCCACCCACCCCTCCCTTCTCTCGCCCAGCTGTGCACCCACAGCCGGGAAACAGTTCTAGGATAAGAGAGAGAGAGAGAGACAGGGCAGAGCTGACAAACGGTGTGAGGTGTGATTGTGCAGAGGGGGGTTGTGGCAATCCAACTGCTGTTGACTCACCACTCGGCCGCCCCACCCTTTCGGGCTCAGGGTATGGGGGAGTCCTTCCCCCCCCCATATGCCCCCCCTTGGGCTGCCAACAAGGATTAGAGAGGGAGCAGGAACAAAAGGAAGATTATGACAAATACCAGCAACTGCAGGAGTCTAGCAGGCAGACAAACAGACCCACACAGACACACAAATACACACAGAGAGGACAAAATCCTCCCTAAAATAGCCGAGAGAGACTCTAGAAAGGGAAGAAAAGGGCTTAAGCTTAAGATGATCAGAACTCAGACATCTCCACTGCTAGGGAGGCTGGTCTCGAAGTGGTAAAGCTAGGGGGAGGACGTGGCTGGGACGACTGTGGTTTGGGGTGCGTTGCACGCAGCTTTTGGGGGGGGGGAAAGGGAGTCAAGGAAGAGCAAGGCAAGCAGGTCAAGAGTAACGTGACGGGTGAGCCCCTGGCATAGAAAAATAAGACGGAATCCCACTCCCTTCCAGCACTGATGATGTTGCCTAGTTGGGTCATGAAATGTCTGCTGCAAGAAAACAGCCAAGCTCAGAGAGCACCAGGGACCCCATTGTCATGTTCCTCCTCCTCTTCTTTCCCTTTTAGCCCTGATGATGTTCCCTAGTTGGGTCATGGAACGTCTGCAAGGACACAACCAAGCTCAGAGAGAACCAAGGACCCCCCAGTCCTTCCTTTCTTCCTCCTCCTCCTCCTCCTCCCTTCTAGAAGTGATGATGTTCCCTTGTTGGGTCATGGAACGTCTGCAAGAAAAACCACCCAGCTCAGAGGGCACCCGGGACCCCCCAAAGTTCAACCCTGAGCTACCAATATTCTCTTCTATGGGCCAAGAGTAGCAGAGCATTTTGGACGGAGACACGTGGAGGAGAATCCCTCCAAAACACATGAAAATAAATAAATAGGTCTAACTTATAAACCAATAAATACACAAGCATCTGTAAATACTCGATTTGCCTCAGTTCATTTAAGGACCATTCAAATTTGCAACATGGTAAAAACTGACTTATGACCAGTCCTCACACGTATGATCATTGCAGCATGCCAACAATCACGTGACCCCGCCCAATTTGGGCACTTGGTAACCAGCATGGATTTAGGACAGTTGCAGCATCCCAGGATCCCCCTTTGCGACCTTCACGGACGTTTTCTGACAAGCCAAGTCAATGGGAGAAACTGGATTCACTTAATGACCGCCTGATTCACTTAATGACCGCAGCGATGCTTAACAACAATGGCATAAAAGGTCGTAAATTCAGGTATGACTCACTTAACAATAGCAATGGGAATTCTGGTTCTATTTGTGGTTGTAAGTCGAGGACAACCAAATTCACATCTGGTTGATTAAGGCACAATTGTGTTGGCTTCACAACATCTGTGTTGCCTGAGGTAGAGTGTGGTTCCATGGGGACCCCCTAAGTCAGGTCTGGGATATTTCTTACATTACAAAAAGTCACACAACTGTCCTCGCACTTGTACAGGTAGTCCTCGACCTATGACCACAATCAAGCCCCAAATTTCTGTTGCTAAGCGAGACATTTCTTTAAGTGGGTTTTCCCCCCATTTTACTGCCTTTCTTACCACCGTTGTTAAGTGAATCCCTGTAGCTGATAACTTAGTCACATAGTTGTTAAGTGAATTGGGCTTCCCCTATTGACTTTGCTTGTCAGTGTCGCAAAAGGGGATCACATGAAGGCGGGACATCACAACCATCATAAACACGAGCATCTGAATTTTGATCACGTGACCACGGGGAGTGCAGCAACGGTCGTAAGTGTGAAAACCGGTCCTAAGTCACTTTTTTCCCCGCCGTTGTAACTTTGAATGATCACTAAATGAATTGTCGTAAATCGAGGACTATTTGTAGACCACACCAGATCCCCCAAGTCTTTAGCAGACAAAACTGTACGGCTGCGGGCAGATGTAGCTGCACGCTTTGGCAGAATGGATCCACGGAATCCACTAGATCAGTGGTTCCCAACCTGTGGGTCGGGACCCCATTTGGGGTGTAACGACCATTTCACGGGGGTCGCCAAACAACGCAGTCCGCCATTTTTTCCTTAGCTGTGCTCCTCCCTTTTATTCTGTTGGCTTTTGAAAGCCAATAGAATAGACTCTCTTGAATGGAGTCTAATTCTATTGGCTTTCAAAAGCCAATAGGAATTGTCCAGGCTGTCTCTGCCCTGCTGAGCCCGCCAAAAGTCCCATTCTGCAAACGGTGCTGCACCCGTTGAGTAGTCCTCGACTTACGACCGGTTGAGTAGTCCTCGACTTACGACCGGTTGGGGGTTGCGGCATTAAAAAGGTTGAGAACCACAGCACTAGATCAACGCTGAGCACTGAGTGTCCTCCACCCCCCATTGAATTCTGACCCCCCCCCACTCAGCTTTCCCCACGGCGCATCAACCTACCCATGCACAGGGTGTCCGACAACGGGGTGCAAGGCTGGATCATGACCTCCTTTGGGCCGCATTCCCGTCGGCAAAGCAGACACGGCTCGTACGGGCTCTTCACCTCCGAGTAATAACCCTCACTGCACTTTTGGCACGATGTGTCAGTGCCATGCTTGCATGCCTGGGTCGCCCCAAAGCCTTCCTCGCACACTTTGCAAGGAACGCAAGACCCTGGAGGCTGGGTCCCGTTTCCCGGCGCGAGGTAATGTCCACGTGGACAGCTAGCGACACAGAGCGTGTCGCGTGTCGCAGTGCAGGAATCGCGGGTGGGAAGATGTCTCGGGCATGTGGAACACGGCCGGCACGGGTCGGTGGCACTGGTGGTGGAGGAGAACGTCACATCTGGAATGAGAGGAAAGCACAACTAGTCTTTGTGATGTCATCGCCCAGATTTGGGACGAATACTTGATCGGTTCCCGGAACATTTGAGTTTGCACAATTAGAGAGAACGAGCAATATGCTGCATTAAGGTACATGTGCGCAACAGAGCCAGTGATACAGTAGAAAAAAGGAATGAATTCAACAGGTAGTCCTCAACTTACGACCATAATGGTGCCTGCCCATGACAATCGTAAATCGTGACAGTCCTCATACTTACGACCCATGATCAAAATTCAGGCATTTGGCAACCGGCATCATTTATGAGGGTTGCAGTGTCCTGGAGTCACTTGATCGTCTTTCATGACCTTTCTGACAAGCAGAATAAACGGGGAAGCCAGATTCACTTAACGGCCGTGTGATTCATTTAACAACTGCAGTGACTTGCCCAACAAATATGGCAAAGAAGGTTGTAAAATTGGGCATGAATCGCTCAAGACTGCCTTGCTTAGCCAAGGAAGTTTTACTCCCAGTTGTATTCATAAGTCAAAAACTTATCCCGAATAAATCCCAGAATCGTTCAAGAGAGTGACCCACGGTCGAACTGGGGTAATGCCCCCCCCCCAGGTAAAATTTTAGCACATTCTTGAGCCACTAGTAATTTATTTTTTAAGTTATTTCTATCCTGTCTTTATTATCTTTATAAATAACAATAATCCTTCCTCTAATTTTTCCCACATGAACCCTGTGAGGTGGGTTGGGCTGAGAGAGAATGATTGGCCCAAAGCAGGGGTTCTCAACCTTGGCAACTTTAAGACTTGTGGACTTCAACTTCCAGAATTCCTCAGCCAGCTTTGCTGGCTGAGGAATTCTGGGAGTTGAAGTCCACAAGTCTTAAAGTTGCCAAGGTTGAGAACCCCTGGCCCAAAGTCACCAAGTGATTTTCTTTCCTAAGGCGGGACTAGAATTCACTGTCTTCTGGTGATTGGCTGGAAGTCACCCAGCCGGCTTTCACTCTTAAAGCAGGACTAGAACTCCCAATCCCCCAGTCTCTACTGATCTACTATTATCCATCTCTGAATTTGTTATATATCTGTTTGGAATGACTGAGGATCCAAACCAGGGTTCACCCCTACAAGGAACTGGATACTCACTTTCTTGGCAGGGTTCACATACAGTGTTGGTGCTACCACAGGGCACACGTGCCCCAAAACCCGGGGGACACAGAGTGCAGCATTCTCCAGACGAAGCCCTCTGCCCGTTTTCACAGCCTTGATGCGCCAGAAGCTGAAACCAGAGTCAGACCAGAGAATCAGACCAGTAGTTAAAAATCAGGTTTTGCAAACTCCGTAGCTTTGCAATCTCTTGAGATCCTTTTCTCTTCTTTCCAACCCTTAGAAACCCAGACAAGAAAACAGAATAGAGTGACTTTCAGATGCATGGACTTCAACACCCAGAATTCATGGTTGGCTGGGGAATCCTGGGAGCTGAAGCGCACAGGTTTTAAAGCAACCAAGGTGGGAAGAAACGGCTGCACAAAAGGAAAAGAAGAGTAAGGCTGAGTGCCTGATGTAGGACTAGAACTCATATCTCCTATTCCCCACAACAATCTTGTAAAATGGTCTGGGACAACAAAAGATCACCCAGCTGGCTTTCATGCTGAAGGCAGGACTAGAACTCACAGCCTCCTGGTTTTTGGCCCAAAGTCACCCACCTGGCTTTCATGCCGAAGGCAGGACTAGAACTCACCGTCTCCTGGTTTGCAGCCCAGCATTCACCCCTATACCAAGCTGGCTCTCTTTCCCCAGCAAATCCTAGACACACACGACACCCACCCCTATTCATCTTTCAACCCCCCCCCAAATTGTTGCCCAGCCACATTGGGAATGATGGGCATTGTAGTTCTTCCTTCCAGATGGACCCCAGATGGAACCAGGGTATTTCTGGTATTGCAAAGCTGGGGGAAAAATGCGCTTTGAAGCCTCCTGAACCAGCAAGCCCCCCTCCTCTGAAAAGCTGAGCAGAGTTGGAGTGGGGAGTGTCCCCCAAGATTTTTGAGCAGCCAAACACACCAGCAGTCATTTTCTGCAGAAAAGAGCAAGGATTTTTTTTTATTATTCACTGTTGCGAGGGGCTCCTACTTCCCCAGACACCACCCTGTGGGGGTCTTTCTTAATAATCTTCGGAATGCACCAGAATCCCCCCCCCCCCGCCTGCTGAAAAACACGACCGTCGGTCCAACGAGGAGGAATCTTCTGCCTGTGGCGGAGGCCATCGAACGATGCCCTGCAGCTGGCAGCCAGGAATGTGTCTGGACCCCACCCTGGGCCGAAGGAACAAAAACACCCTCTGTTCCTCCCAGGGTCCCGTTCCCCCCCCACCCCCAAACCCACCCGGCTGCTCCCCTCCTCCCCCTCCTCCCCAGCCCTCCAGATCCAAGCCCCACTTCTAATTAAGCCGAAACCTGTCCTGTCACTCCAAGAGGAAACCAGATCCTATTACCCAACCCCCCCCCAAAGGATCTAAAACCCATCTTTATTCCAAATAAAGAGAGAGAGAGAGAGAAAGTAGTGGGGGGTGTCCTCTGCAGACTTTCATTGCCCTGTCAGAAGGGCCTGGCCTTGAAATACAGTCCTGAACTTACAATGATTCGTTTAGTGACCGTTCAAAGTTGCAACCGCACTGAAAAAAGTGACTTGAGACCGTTTTTCACGCTTAACGATCATCGCAACATCCCTGTGGTCACGTGATCAAAATCCAGACACTTGGCAACTGTCTTATACTTACGACGGTTGCAGTAGTGACTCAGGGTCCCGTGATCCTCTTTTGTGACCTCTAGACAAGTCAATGGGGGTAGCCAGGTTCACTGAACAAGGAAGGTCATAAAATGGGGCAACATTCACAGTCTCGCTTAGCAACAGAAATGTTGGGCTCCGTTGTAGTCGTAAGTCGAGGACTACCTGTGAACTGTTTCTCCCAGTAGACTGACTATATGCCCCTGGAATTGACTTTCAGCAGCAGGTCAGAGATAAGCTGCTCCTGATTGGGAAGGCTCAATTTATCCTCTCTGACTTGACTTGGCCTCCTTTTAGAGCAGTATTGTCTAAACTTGGCAATGTTAAGATAGGTGAGACTAACTCCCAGAATTCCCCACTTGTCCATAGTTTAAGCTGGCTGGGGGATTCTGGGAGTTGAAGCCCTCCTCTCTTAAAACATGCAGGCTGGGGGATTCTGGGAGCGGAAGTCCTCCCCTCTTAAAATCGCTAAGGTTGGAAAATGGTAGTCTAGGCCAGAAGTAGGCCACCTTGGCTCTTTTATGACTCGTGGACTTCAACTCCCAGAATTCCTGAGCTGGCCATGCTGAGGGGAAAGGGAGAGGTTTCCAAGCTGAGCCAGGCTGGCTCAGAATTCTGGGAGTTGAAGTCCACAAATCATAAAAGGGCCAAGTTTGAAGGCCCCTGGTTTAAATATTTAAATATTTTTTCCTCACAGTCACGTGATCAAAATTCAGGCATTTGGGTAGGGGTAGGCCACCTTTATGACTGGTGGACTTCAACTCCCAGAATTCCTGAGCCAGCCATGCTGAGGGAAAAGGGAGAGGTTTCCAAGCTGAGCCAGGCTGGCTCAGGAATTCTGGGAGTTGAAGTCCCCTCATCTTCCTAGTAACTCAGGGCTAGGCCACCTTGGGTCTTTTATGACTCCTGGACTTCAACTCCCAGAGTTCCTGAGCCAGCCTGGCTCAGCTTGGAAACCTCTCCCTTTCCCCTCAGCGTAGCTGGCTGAGGAATTCTGGGAGTTGAAGTCCAGAATCACAAAATAGCCAAGGTGGCCCACCCCTGGTCTAGGACCTTGAAAATTAAAACCTCCATCTCCTATTGGTCAGGTTTCCTAGGGCCTAGGCAATAAATAATCCATACAGTAAATGTTTTGTTATTGCTTTCCAGCTCATAGTCTGAGCTTTCCTGGTGGTGCCCCATCCATGAGCCAGCCAATTCTCTGACAGACAAGCTCAACCATTCCTGGACCCCTCACGAGTCGGTCCTTTGGGGAAAATGGCCGTGTTTCTCCCCCAACTTTACGAATACCTCCAATTTTTCATTTATGAAAGGGACAAGGAAGAATTTCTCTTTTCATTGACGGAGAATGTTTTTCCCTGGGGCATTTTGGCGTGAAAAGCTGAAACTCACGTCTTCTGGATTCCTTCCAATTTTCAACACACAAATATGTGCACACAGATCCACAAACCCACCCCAAATTCTCCTGACATTTCCTCTAAGCCAGAAATCCCAACATGCAACAATGCAGCGCGTAAAAAACTGAAAATACAGGTGGTCCTTGACTTAGTGACCACTGAAAACTATAACAGCGCTGAAAAAAGGGACCTATGACCGTGTTTCACATTTACGACCATTGCAGTGTCCCCCTGGTCACATGATCAAAATTCTGATACCTGGCAACTGACTCATAGTTACGACGGTCGCATTGTCCCAGGTTCACGTGATCCCCTTTTGTGACCTCCTGTCAAGCATAGTCAAATAGGGAAGCCAGATTCACTTAACAACCGTGTGACTCATTTATCAACCACAGTGATTCACTTAATGATGGCAAGGAAGGATGCAAAAGGAGCAAAACTCACTTGGCTATCTTGCTTAGCAACATAAATTTCAGGTTCACTTGTAATCATAACTGCAGTACTACTGGAGTCCCTGGAGGTCATCTAGTCCGACCCCCGCCCAAAACAGGAGTTTTTATACCATCCCAGACAAATAGTTGTCAAATCTTTTCTTGAAAAAAGGAACGGGGGGGGGGAAGAAGCAAAGTTTCAAAAAAACTGGTTTAGATATTTCCAAAAAGTGCTTTTTTCAAATATACCTTTAAGGAAAAGATGTGATTTAGGAAGAAAGAAATGAAGAAGTACAAAATTTAGGATAAATAATTCATACATGCAACCAATCTCCAAAAACCAAATCTGTGCTATTAACATTAAAACTTAACCACTCCTATTTTTTGAAACCGCAACTTTTTTCTATTTACAAAAAATATTATTATTATTGCTGTCATTGCACAAGCCCAGACAGAAAACAAAATAAACACTCACAGCAATGTTTTGGGTGATATTTTTCTGGTTCATCTTCAATTCTACAGCTCAGGCAATCCTTAGCTTACAATCATTCATTTAGTGACCATTCAGTTACGACAGCACTGAAAAAAGTGACTTATGACCATTTTTCACACTTACGACCGTTGCAGAATCCCCCTGGTCACATGATTATGATGGTCACAGTGTCCCTGGAGTCGCGTGATCCCATTTGCGACCTTCAGGCAAGCAAGGCCAATGGGGGAAGCCTAACGGTGTGACTAGCTTAACAACTGCAGTGATTCACTTAACTGTGGCAGGAAAGGTCATAAAATGGGACAAAGCTCACAACGAATGTTTTGCTTAGTGACAGAAATTTTGGGCTCAACTGTGGTCGTATGTCAAGGACTGCCTTTACATGGAAACCTTCTGAGGTATTTTAATTACTGTAGAGTAACGTCAACCAATTTAAGCTGCATGTTGTCTCAAGATTAGGAAAACGACTCTTAGATAAAACATTACAATCTGCATTTCCAGTATCAGTGGGAACTTTAATCCTCCTTTTTCATCATTTTTCATTGGCTGCGCTAGAAAGGAAAGCTGGGTGGAAATTAATGGGAAGAGAACAATAGATATTGTGAGCTGCTTGACAATATGTTTTGCATTAGGCCAAAAATCCTTGCTAGTCACTTTTTAAATTCTTTGCTGCAATTCCTGTCCTTTTAACTGGTCTTGGTATCTATTCTACACATGACTTTGCCCCAGTTTTGTCAAAATAACACATTATTTCTTCTGTCTCAAAATAATTAATATTTGATTGTGTGCAAAATGCTTTCCCATTTTTTAAAAATTAAATATGTGAAATTTATTGTTTCTTTTCTCTTTTCAGCCTACATATTCCTTTTTGTTTTGGTTCACTTTTTATGAGAAAAAGTCCCTCAGGACCAAACTTGATTTTATGATGTTCTACAAAGAACCCTTGGTACTGATATTGTAGTGTTACTGTTAACCACAATTAGCTTTTGTATGGGGGATTTATCTTTGCACTGGGAGTTAATTTTTGCATTCGTTTTTTATTTTTGCATTGAGTTTTAATTTTTGTATTTGGGTTTTCTCTTTGCATTAGGATTTTGTTTTTTGCATTGAGCTTTTATTTTTCTGTTTGGATTTTATTTTTTGGAATGATGTTTTATTTTTGCATTGGGTTTTAATTTTGCATTGGGGTTTTAATTTTTGCAGTGAGATTTTATTTTTCTATATGGATTTTATTTTTGCATCGAGGCTTCATTTTTTTATTAGAGTTTTATTTTTCTATTTGAGTTTTAGTTCTGACTGGGGTTTTATTTTTGCACTAGGGTTATAATTTTGTAAGCTGCCCAGAGTCACTGTGAGTGAATTGGGTGTCCATATACATTTTCTTAATAGATAAATAATAACAAATACATTTATAATTCTATTTAAATATTCATGCAAACGGAAAGAATAAGCCAGAAATGGCTTCTCAAATGCCCACCTTCCATTTGTTGTGAGGGCAAACAAACCTGCTTGTTGCCTTCACATAATATCCAAAACCACATGAAGATAAAAATCAAAGCATTCAGACATTATGCCGCCAAACCTGGGTTCAGGTTAACACAATTTAGTGGGGAGTAATTGACTCTGTTGGGGAACTTCACCCCCCACACACACACATTCAAGGTACTGCATGAATCTAGCAAGCAGTTTAATCCATTCATAGGGTTAAGGATGTTGTGTGAATGCAAAACCAAGCTTATGCTGTCTCATTTGCACTCTGGTTTGCGGAATCTCTATTTTGCTGTATTTTTCTTTTCTTTTTGCAATGATGGATCTCAACTTTAAACTAAGCTTTAATGAAACCCCCAAAATGATAGATTTGTGAACTCTGAGACCTGTGTAGCAACTTCAGAGTTGAGTCAAAGGTTGCTAGGGTTTTGGAAAATCCCTGATGCAAATTCAGCCTCACAAGAGTCTTTTTTTTTGGGTGGAGATCTTCCCATTTCACAGCCTGGCAAACTGAGTCCAAATGGAAATTTTTTCACAATTATTCTCCTTCTAAAGATTCCTCCTCTTCTCCTTTCCTTTCCCTTCTCCTCCTCCTCCCTTCCTTTTTTCCTTCCTCTCCTCCTCCTGTTCCTCCTTCTTTCCTTCCTTTTTCCCTTCTTCCTTTCTCCTTCATTGCTTCTTTTCTTCCTTCTTTCCTCCCTCCCTCCTTACCTCTCTTTTCCTTCCTTCCCCCCCACCCCTGCCAGCTTCCACGCATGGAGCCCCCACCCTTTTTGGGGGGAGAGCAGTGTTCACACATCCCCCTTACTCCGGCTTTGCCCCGGCTAGGCTTTGCTCGGTTCTGCTGAGTGCAGAAAAGGGGGGCACACTCAGAACACGCGTTGAGCGGATCGTGTGAATGGGGTACCGGGGAAACAGACCTCTCCCAAGGCCCAATTTGCAGGCAGTTTGCAAAAGGACCAAACTCCCATCCTCCCCAACCAGACCCCCATCCATCGCGGGGGCTTTTCCACGCGGAGGGGGGTGGATCTGAAGGGTCCTTACTCCCAAGGAAACCCTTAGCCTCCCGTCTCCAATGTCTGGACCTCCTTTTGTTTACACCCCCCTTAAAGAGGGGCCATCCGATGCTTGGGACAGGGGTCTTTCCACCACCCACCCCCCATTTCCCAAAGCGACCCACCTTTGCGGCCAGCAGCTGCAGCGCCAGCACGAAGCGCCGGGTCAGATTCATTTCGTCTGGACGGTCCGGAGGCGGAGTTGGGGGGGTGGGGGGTCTTCCTCGCCGATCAGCCGGGCGGAGGGCGCCGAAGACCCTCTTTTCCGACCCGCTTCTCGGGAGGTCGCGAGTGGGTGGGTGGGCAGGCGGCAGAGAGAAAGAGAGGCAGACTCCGGGCCGGGGTCGCAGCAGAGCCCCGCAGATGCGTCTCCCTCCCGGCCCGGCCGAGCACGAAAAAAACGACCCCCTCCCCAATTCCCAGCCTAGGGAAGCGGCGCCTTTGAAGTTGCCGGAGTTCTTTGGCGCGGCTTGATCGGGGGTCGCCACTTCCTCCAGGCCAGGCTGGGTTAAGGGTGGGGGTCTCTACTCCGGGTCTACCTTTGCCGGGACTGCGGGCTGGCCCCGTTCACACGCTCTCCCCACCCGTCCCGTTCCCCCCCCCGGGAAGGGGCGTCTTCCCTGCGCCTTGACCTCGCCCCCCGCCCGCCTCTTTCAGCCCCCCGCCCCATTGGGGGGGGGAGGAAGGAGAGACAAAGAGGGGGCAGGGGCGAAAGAGTCGCGCTTGGAGGGGGGGTCGCGTTTGTGACTCACAGACCCACAATCACAGACACAAAGACACACAGGCACCCTGACACAGACTCAATGACACAAGCACCCTGACACGCACCCTGACACAAAGACCTACGCACACTAGAAATCTGCTGAGCCAGCCTGCCATATAAGAAATCCTTGACTTAAAACCACAATGGAGCTGAAAACATTTGCCAAGCAGGACGTTTGTTAAATGAGTTTTGTCCCATTTTACGACCTCTCTTGCCACGGTTGTTAAGGGAATCCCTGCGGTTGTTCAGTTAGCAACACAATGGCCACATCATTTGCAGCCTCCCGGGGACACAGGATCCCCCACTTGCGACTTTCCCACAAGCAAAGTCAATGGGGGAAGCCAGATCTGCTTAACGACCGCCTGATTCACTTAACAACGAGAGGGATTTGGTGAACAGTGGCAAAAAAAGCTGATAGAATCGGGCGTGAGTCATTTAATAATTGCTGTGTTTAGCAATGGAATATTTTATTATTTATTTTATTTGATCTTTTTTTTAATCTATTTTTTTATTTTATTACAGGTAAACATACAACCACAATTGAGCCCAGAATTTCTGTTGCTGTTAAGTGAGTTTTGCCTCATTTTATGACCTTTTTTGCCACCGCTGTTAAGTGAATCACTTAACGTTAGGAACACGGTCGTTAAGTGAATCTGGATTCCCCATTGATTTTGCCTGTCAAGAGGTCGCAAAAGGAGATCACGTGACCCCAGGACACCGTGACCGTTGTAAATATGAACCAGTTGCCAAGCGTCCGAATTTTGATCACGTGAAGACTGCAACGGTCGTTAAGTGTGAAAAAGTCACAAATCACTTTTTTCAGTGCCGTTGTCACTTTGAACGGTCACTAAACGAACGGTTGTAAGTCAAGAACCATCTGTACTTGATTTTATTCATTCATTTACTCAGTTCGTTCATTTAGACAATAATTAAAATATTATTTTCTATATAATTATATTATACAAGCAAAATTATTATTATTATTTAGACTACATAATAATAGAGAATACTATTCAGCTCATTTATTAAGGAAATTCTGAATTTTCCTCCCAATTGTGGTCATTGAGGAGTTGCTCCTGATTTCGGAGTCCCAAGCAGAGGTCCAGCCTTGGCAATTAAAACTAGAGAGGAGGGGTCTTCCCCCCCCCAGCTATTTGGGTTATGGCTGAGACCCTGAAGTGCAGGACATAAACTTGTCCGGTCCCCCCCAAGCAGGGGGGCTTTGAGAATTGACCCACAGGCCTTTCTTTCCCCTCCTTTGATCTCTGCAATCTTTGGACGCTACCGGCCCCCTCCCCAAATTCCAGGCAATGTTATTTCCGGTCTCTTGAAGTGCAGGAGACAATGGGGGGGGCAGGGGGTGTGGGAGGGGGCCGTCTAGGGAAATCTTCCTTAGAGACAGAGGAAGAGCAAATTTTATTCCAGGGCTCACAAAAAGCTTCTGCTTTTAAAAAAAGGGGAAAAAAATGAAAAATTATTATCAAATTTCTGATTTATTTATTTATTGGCTAGCAAGCTGTAGCTCAGAAAACCTGATGCCTTTTTTGTAAAATTGTTACCTGGGAAAACAGCCACCAGATTTCTTCTGAACGCATCAATTATGATTTTACAGACTCTGATGCCTTTTTTTATAAAATTGTTAGCCGGATTCCTCTTAAACACATTAAATATACGAAATCCTGAATCCTGGAGTTCTGGCACCATTGTAAATAAATGCTAATTGCCAAGGGCCTGAATTGCAATCAGATGACCACAGGGACACTGCAAAGACAGGTGTCAATCAATGACGGATTGTTAAGTCATGTTTTTCTAAGAAATAATACCCCTGGGCCAGTTTGTGTAACGGAATAAAATGGGAAGAAGTCATTATTGAGAAGAAATAAAAAATTGGACACACTTTGTTATGCTTTTATCTTTTTTTAATGTCAGCCTCGGCTTGCTGACGCTTTGATCTGAGATGGTGGCGTTGAAGACATACCGCAAGTCCTCAGCTTAACGACCACAATGGAGCCAGGACTAGTTGCTAAGTTGTTAAATGCATTTTACCTCCTTTTATGACCTTTCTCGCCACAGTCGTTACGTGAATCACTTCAGTTGCTAAGTTAGTCACACGGTCGTTAAGCGAATCCAGCTTCCCCCATTGACTTTGCTTATCAGAAGGTCGCAAAAGGGGATCACGTGACCCCAGGACGCTGTGACCATCATAAATACGAGTCAGTTGCCAAGTGTCTCGATTTTGATCACGTGACCATGGGGATGCTGCAACAGTCGTAAATGTGAAAAACGGTCATAACTACTGCCCTTAACTGCTGGTCTCATAATTCAATGAGGTCTCCAGTTTTCTACCAGTGATTTTCAACCTTGAGAACTTTTAAGATGGGTGGAATTAAATGGTCTATTATCCCCTTTTGGAGTGGATTTTATTTTTTTCTGTTTTGAAATCAGATACTCCACACTCAGATCTCCTGATGGTCTCCCATCCCGCCACAAAACAGATCAGATTCTGATTGGCGTTTCCAGCTCGGAACCTTTTCCCAATCCATGCCTTCTATTATCCCATCGTCTTATTTTATTATTAGTTTTATCCTTATTTTCTTGCACGCTGGAAAGAGCCAAAATGGATTTTGTATGAAAAAAAAATCATAAAATGCCACAAAATAAACAATTTGCATCAAATAAAGCACTGCAAAGCAGGAAGAAACAGACATGACATCTTTGCAAAAAAAAAAAAAAAAAGGAAAGGAAGAGGCAGAACGGATATGGGTCCGGCTTCAAAAGAACAGCATAGTCTTAAAATTTCAATTTGCATAATTTTAACACTTTAATTATTTGTCTTTTTATAATCTGTAAAAGGCCCAGAGTCGCCTTGCAGAAACATTGAATAAAAGAATATTAAATCATCAAATAAAAGAATGGATCCCAAACAAGAATGCCTGGGGAGATTTAAAAAAAAAAAGAGAGAGAGAGAGAGAGAGAGAGAGAGAGAGAGAGAGAGAGGAATTTGCAATTCGGGTGGAACAACTATTGCCAACAATTTACAAGGGTTTTTACAGCCAGCCTCTCTCATCTGGAAGGTTGTACCTGCCCAATTCAACAATTGTCAAGGTTCTGTGTTTTTACTCTCCAGGATGCAAAAGACCACAATATGCCACTTCAAAGGGGTCGTTGGGGAAGATCAGAGAGGTGGGAGGAAATGTGTGTGTGGGGGGGGGGAAGGTGCCATTGGTTTCCCCCCCCCCCGCCCAGAAAAGGCCATCAAATTTTATGAGCCCCTCTTTTGAAGTCCGAGATGGCTCCAGGAATCAAGAATTGATGCCTCTGGGCTTCCTTCCTCCTTCATGTGGACTAACGGACTGGGTGGCTTTTGCTGAAGACATATGGGAGAGAAAGCAATTGATCCTGCTTATAACAGAAAGACGGAATGTTGGAAGAGGTCATCTAGTCCAACCCCCTGCTCAAGCAAGAGTCCTTATTCTATTTAGGAGAAATGGCTGCCCCTTCTCTTCTTGAAAAACCTCCAGTGTTAGAGAAACCACAACTTCTGGGGACAAGCCCTTACACTGGTGAATTGTCCCCCCTGTTAGGAAGTTTCTCCTTAATGCTAAGTTAATTCTTCCTAGGAACCAGGCTTAGCCGCGTGGAAGGACCAACGGCCTAGCCTTAAAAGCTATCGGGAGTTGCTTATAGAAAATGGCAACACTTGATTTTGATTCTGTGAATCGAAAAATGCAAGTCGGAGCGTTTCTCAATATTAGCAATGTTAAGATGAATGGACTTCGAATCCCAGAATCCCCCAGCCAACATACTTCAAGATGGATGGACTTCAACTCCCAGAATCCCCCAGCCAGCAGGCTTTAAAAGGGGAGGACTTCCACTCCCAGAATCCCCCAGCCAGCAGGCTTTAAGAGGGGAGGATTTCCACTCCCAGAATCCCCCAGCGGGCATGATTTAAACGGGGTTCTGGGAATTCAAACTACTGAGGGTAAGAACCAGTGTGCCTTCAGCTTTGGAGGCAGAATCTGAATATTGGGGTCACAGCAGCAACAACGAAAGAGGGGGCATCCTGGGAGTGGTGTCAAATCTGTAAGAGGGTGGGCGGGACCTCATGGATGAAGCTCCGCCCCTCCTTGCAGCTTTTTACCTTCCTACTAGGGAAGACTGCCTTAATTTCCAATTTGCGGGGTGTCTCATGTGACATCACCCAAGATGAAGGCCAGTAAGATGGTCGGGAAATTGCAAAGACTTTCAACTAGGTTTAGACCTTGAGGGATCAGGCCGAAATCCATCTATCTAGTCTCCATCTCAATGGTGGACTACCCTAACCATAATCCTCCACCTGATGCAAAACAAGGTCCTTTCTCCTTCCTCAAGGGATTTCAACGCAATTCAAGAGACAATAGGATGCCTTTGATACGGAGGCCTTCAGCTTGTTTAATGACTGTTTGAAGTCACAATAGCATTGAAAAAAGTGATTTATGACCGTTTTTCACACTTACAACCATCGCGGTCATGTGATCAAAATTCAAACTCTTGTCAACTGACTCGTGTTTACAACAGTCGCAGTGCCCCGGGGAAATTGGATTCATTTAACAACCGTGTTACCAGTTTAACAACTGCAATGATTCACTTAACAAACGTGACGAGAATGGTCGCAAAATGGGTCAAAACTCACTTAACAACTGTCTTGCTTAGCAGTGGAAATTTTGGGCTCCACTGTGATTGTAAGTCAAGTTCAACCTGTACTGGTGGGTGGATCCCTCTTTTCACAAACAGAATTGTTTCACCGACTTAAGTTGGTCACATCTTTATAAACCATCATTCATGGCTTCTTATGAGTTGGATGGTTCAACAACCTGTGGATTTCTGGCTTGTTCTAGAGTGGATTTTACATGTTGTACAACTAAGTTGCCAATTCAGACCTTGCTAAATTGAGATGCAATATTCCTGCGCCAACAGAAAGTTCCTGGGTGTCGAACAATTGTGGGAATCCATCATCTAAATAAAACATCCAATGACTCCATTGCCCAGGATCTGCAGATCTTCTTTATCTTGTCTTTTTACCAGCCTCGCACCGGCTTCCACGTCTCCACAACACGGCCCCCGCTATGGACGAAGAAGACGGGGTGCATCGCGGCTGTGGCACACGCCTGTCGTTTGGGCAGGACGGGGTTCCCCAAGTTGCATAAAGCAAAGAGAGAAAAATAAGACAATTGGAAACACTGCTAGCTGCATTGACAAACACACTTCCCAGGATCAAAAAAAGGCCCAGTGGATGCATTCACACAACCTGAAAAAAAAAAAAACTGCTTGGGGTTAACCTGTGTTAGCGTTGTTTTGTGGCAGAATGTCATGTGAATACTGCCAGGTTAGTCAGTTCAGGGTTCTGGGCATTGTGCAAAGCAGAAAAACTGGCGAGTCAGAATCCAGGTTAAATGGGTTGTGTGAATGCAGCCTCGGAAGACCCTCGGGAGAGGCTGGGCCAACAGCAAACCTGCACAGATGGAGCTGTTGGTTTTTAGATCCAAGCCAGACTTACGTGATAAGGAATCAGAGAGAGGAGGCTGCCCAGAGGGAACTTGGCAAAATCCAGCTTCCCGGTCATGGGTTCGATTTTTCCGTGCTCCTGAGTAATCCCCACCAATCTGTAAAGGAAGATTAGAAGCTGCTTTTCCTTCTGGATGGGATCTCCTTCTTCTGAAGACGTGCCATTTCCTAGGGTAGGAAGGGACCTTAGAGGTCCTCTAGTCCAACCCCCTGGCCAAGGCAGGAGACCTTATACAAGTAGTCCTCGACTTACAACGGTTCATTTAAAAAGTGACTTAAGATTGTTTTTCACACTTACAACCCTTGTAGCATCCCCACGGTCACGTGATCAAAATTCAGAGGCTTGGCAACTGACTCGTATTTACGACGGTCGCAGGCTCCCGGGATCATGTGATCCCCTTTTGCGACCTTCTGACAAGCACAGCCCAGGAGGGATTTAACAACCCTGTTACTAATGTAACAACTGCAGGGATTCACTTAACAACTATGGCAGGAAAAGTCGTAAAATGGGGCAAACCTCATTTAACAAATGTTTCACTTAGCAACAGAAATTTTTGGCTCAATTTTGGTCTTAAGTCAAGGACTACCTGTAGCATTCCGGATTGTCCCTTGCTGGAAAATAATGGCAGAGGGAGAAGCCCTCGACAGGCTGCTGTTCTTTAGGGAAAGCGCTGAGGAAGGAGGGCCTGAGGGCCAGAAGAGGGAAGGTCTTCTTGGTGGTGGCGCCACCGGATCTGTGGAAGTCCAGCTGCATTAAAGCCCCTTCACTTTTAGGCAGGTCTCCTCCCTCTTCCACTGACCCTTTGGCCCAGAGGGACTTGAAGGGTATTTATATTTTGAATTTTTTTAAAAAAATGTATTATATTTTTAATTATCCATGCTGTATGGATTGGGGCAGCCTATAAATTCTTTTTGAGATAGATAGATAGATGACAGATTGGATGGATAGGTGGATGGACAGACAGACAGATAGAGATGGATGGATGGATGGATAATAGATAGGTGGATAGGTAGATAGATAGATAGATAGATAGATAGATAGATAGATAGATAGATAGGTAGATAGGTAGATAGGTAGATAGATAGGTAGATATAATGACAGATATAGATCATTAATATATAAGAAATGAAAGATAGATAAAATGATAGATAATAAATAAGATTGAGATAGATAGATTAGATAAATAACTAGATCATTAATATATAAGAAATGAAATAAAGTTAAGACAAATGATAGATACTAAAATGAATTGAGGGATAGATGGACAGATCATTAATATATAATAAATGAAAGAGATAAATGGAAAATAGATAATAAATAAACAGATGAGATAGATAATAGATATAGACAGCCAGACAGACAGATGGATAGGGATGAAGAGAGAAAGAGGATTGATTGGTGTATAATAGATAATAATAATAGTAGTAAAGTTGGAAGGGACCCTGGAGGCCATCCAGTCCAACCCCCTGCTTAGGCAGGAAATCTATACCATTTCGGACAAATGGCTGTCCAGTTTCTTCTTAAAAACTTCCAGTGTTGGCGCATTCACTGCTTCTGGAGGCAGGTTGTTCCACTGATTAATTGTTCTCACTGTCAGGAAGTTTCTCCTTAGTTCTAGGTTGCTTCTCTCCTTGATTAGTTTCCACTCGTTGCTTCTTGTCCTGCCTTCAGGTGCTTTGGAAAATAGCTTGATTCCCTCTTCTTTATGGCAGCCCCTGAGATATTGGAATACTGCTATCATGTCCCCCTTGTCCTTCTCTTCGTTAAACTAGACATACCCAATTCTAGCAACCGTTCCTTATATGTTTTAGCCTCCAGTCCCCTAATCATCTTTGTTGCTCTTCTCTGTACTCTTTCTAGAGTCTCAACCTCTTTTTTACATCGTGGTGACCAAAACTGGATGCAGTATTCCAAGTGTGGCCTTACCAAGGCATTGTAAAGTGGTATTAATACTTCACGTGATCTTGATTCTATCCCTTTGTTAATGCAGCCTAGCACTGATAAATGATAATAGATAGACAAAAAAAAATAAATAGCAAATAATTTGTGTGCGCCTCAACTTACAACAATTCATTTAGTGACCGTTAATTACTGTTTTCACACTTACGGCTCTTGCAGCACCCCCCCCCCATGGTCACATCATCAAAATTCAGATGTTTGGCCACTGACTCATATTTACGACGGTCGCTATGTCCCGGGGTCACGTGATCCCCTTTTGCGACCTTCTGCCAAGCAAAGTCATTGGGGAAGCCAGATTCACTTAACGACTGGCTTGCTCGCTTAACAACTGCAGGGATTCGCTTAACGACCATGGCAAGAAAGGTCATTAAAATGGAGCTAAGCTCTCTTAACAATGGTCTCACTTAGCAACAGAAATTTTGAGCTCAATTGTCATAAGCCGAGGACTACCTGTAGATAGACAGACAGACAGATCTGGGAGAGGGATGGATAAAGAGTCAGACGGATAAATATCTAAATAAAATGACCGAGCTGGGTGCAAAGTAGGGAGGGCTGGGAAGGAAGAACCAGGCATCCGGGAATTATAGCTTCTTTACTTGAGCTCCGGGTGTCCGTCCACCAAGGCAAAGCCTGTCGGGAGCTGGCCCAGGCTGTGCAGACTTAAGCCAGTCCAGCCACAGTCCACCAACAGCTGGTTCCGATGAGGGTAGTGACCGATCACTCGCGTCCAGACCCGGACGGCCACGTCCTCCAGCTGGCAGGAGCCAATCAGCATCTGCTGGACATCTGTAAGGGAAGGAGATCCATTGGGCCACTTGTGGTCTTTTGACCGGCTTACCTGACAGGGTTGTTGTTGCAGAGGGGTGGGAAGGAGGCAAATAGGTAGCCGAAACAGCAATGCACAAGCATACCTCAAGTCATTCTCAACCTTGTGTGAACTTCATCTCCCAGAATTCCCCAGCCAGCATGGATGAACTTCATCTCCCAGAATTCCCCAGTGAGCAAGCTGGCTGGGGAATTCTGGGAATTCCCATCTTCAAGAGTCCAAGATTGAGAAACCTGGCTGTCACTAGTAATGTTAGGGGAAAGGAATGATGACCAGGAGGACTTGGGTTCAAATCATTTCCCTTCCCCTTGAACCCAGAGCTCCAGGTATGAATTTGGACCAGCCCCTCCTCTCTCCCTGTGTATCTATATAATTTTATATAATTTTTGATGTCTGTCTGTCTGTCTATCTATCTATCTATCTATCTATCTATCTATCTATCTATCTTCATCATCCATACTTCTGTATGTCTGTCATATCTATCTATCTATCTATCCATCCATCCATCCATCCATCCATCCATCCATCCATCCATCCATCCATCTATCTATCTATCATCTATTTCCATATCTATCCATCCATCCATCCCTCTCATTCTATCTATATCATGTATCTATCGTCTAGCATAGGCTTAGGCCACCTTGGCTCTTTTATGCCTCGTAGACTCCAACTCCCAGAATTCCTGAGCCAGCCATGCTGAGGGGAAAGGGAGAGGCTTCCAAGCTGAGCCAGGCTGGCTCAGGAATTCTGGGAGTTGAAGTCCACGAGTCATAAAGCAGCCTAGGCTTAGTCCAGAGGTAGGTCACCTTGGCTTTTTTATGACTGGTGGATTTCAACTCCCAGAATTCCTGAGCCAGCCACACTGAGGGGAAAGGGAGAAGTTTCCAAACTGAGCCATGCTGGCTCAGGAATTCTGGGAGTTGAAGTCCACCAGTCATCAAAGAGCCAAGGTGGCCTAGCCCTGGCCTAGCGATATCTATCATTATCCATCTGTCCATATCTATTATCTATCTATCATTCTATCAGCTATCTATTTTTCTATCTATGGCTCTCTATCTTTTTATTTAACTCTGATTTTGTCACCTATCTATCATCTCTCTCTCCCCCTCTCTCTGTCACTATCATCTCTCTCTCTTTCTCTCTCCCGCCATTTTGGCTGCAGGGACGTTCCTAACAAAAAACCGGCAGGATCTTTGTTGTCGTTTTATCCCCCTTTGGTTTTTTTTTTCATGGTGGCTTTTTTTCTCCTGGACCCTTTTTGGAACAAGGCCTGCGGCGAGGAAGCCGACATATGGAAAGCGTTAGGCCGAACATGTGCATCTGTTTAGGCTGGAAATGCCTGTCGAGCCAGCGCACAGAGCCAGTTGGGTCTGGTGGTGAAGGCACCAGGCGAGAAAGTGGGAGACCGGGAGTTCTAGTCCCGCCTCAGGCACGAAAGCCAGCTGGTTGACTTTGGGCCAGTCACCAGGAGACGGGGAGTTCTAGTCCCGCCTTAGCCATGAAAGCCGGCTGGGTGACTTTGGGCCAATCACCAGGAGACGGGGAGTTCTAGTCCCGCCTTAGCCATGAAAGCCGGCTGGGTGACTTTGGGCCAGTCACCAGGAGACGGGGAGTTCTAGTCCCGCCTTAGACATGAAAGCCAGCAGGGTGACTATGGGCCAATCACCAGGAGACGGGGAGTTCTAGTCCCGCCTCAGGCACGAAAGCCAGCTGGTTGACTATGGGCCAGTCACCAGGAGACGGGGAGTTCTAGTCCCGCCTTAGCCATGAAAGCCGACTGGGTGACTTTGGGCCAGTCACCAGGAGACGGGGAGTTCTAATCCCACCTTAGCCATGAAAGCCGGCTGGTGACTTTGGGCCAGTCACCAGGAGACGGGGAGTTCTAGTCCCGCCTTAGCCATGAAAGCCGGCTGGGTGACTTTGGGCCAATCACCAGGAGATGGGGAGTTCTAGTCCCGCCTTAGCCATGAAGGCCAGCTGGGTGACTTTGGTTCAGTCCCTCTCTCTCTCAGCCCAGTCTACCTCACAGGATTGTTGTTGTGAGGAAAGGAGGAGGAGTGAGTGGAAGAAGTGTTGGAGATGTTTGCCACCTTTTAAAAATAATAAAGAAGGGATACAAATAAAACAATAAAATAAATGAAATATAAAATAAAATATAAAATGACATAAAATATAAAATAAAATAAACAAGACAAAAATAATGAAATAAAATATAGAAAAGTATGACATAAAACATAAAATAATATTATAAAATGGCACCCAGCTTGCAGCAGAGGGTAAGAGAGGCCATCCTGAAGGTCCCAGAGCTGAGGGGAGGATCCGTCATCTCGAAGGGCATCACTGGGCATTGTGGGACCCCTTGAGGTCCACAGGATGGCCAGGCCTGATTCAGGAAGAGTCTGTGGGGGCGGGGTGTGTGTGTGTGTGTTTTCAGACAGGGGAACCTCTGTTGTTTTCCTTCTACTCACCATAAAAAATATAATTTCCCGGGTGAACTTCGCTGAGTTTGGCCATGATGGGCACCGGGTGGCTGCAGGAGGGCGTGGAGCCGATGCTGGACTTCGGGCAGGGCACCCCAGCTTCCTGGAGCCTGCGAGAGGGAATCAAAATGGACTTTCCTGTCGTACAAGTGGTCCTTGACTTACGACGGTTCATTTAGAGACCGTCCAAAGCTGCAGGCCGGCCTGGCCGGAAAGCATTTGACACGGATTCTCAGAAGAGGAGAAATTGCTCCTCAGCCCCATTTCAAAGAAAAGATTCCATCCCTCGCTCTTTCTCTCTCCTTCCTTCCCTTTTCTTTCTGCTGGCTCCCATTTCGTGCCTGCCTTTCTTTCCTTCTTTTTTCCTTCCTCCTTCTTTCCTTTTTTCTCCTCTCCTCTCCTTCCGCCTTCCTCTCTCCTTCCTTCTGTCCTTCTTCCTTCTCTCCTTCTTCTTCCTCCTCCTCCCTTCTATCTTTCCCTCCTCCTCTTTTTCTACTTGCTTCCTTTTCCTTTCTTCTTTCCTTCTTTCTTACCTTTCTTTCTTCCTTCTCTTCCCTCCTTTTCTCTCCTTCCCCCTTTCTTTCCTCCCTCCTCTCTCCTTCCTTCTATCTTTCTCTACTTCTTTCCTTTTTCTTTCTCTTTCCTCCCTCCCTCCCCGGATCACAGGGCTGGACTGGAGGACCTCAAGGCAACCACACAGGCCACCTTATTCTCTCCTTGTTTTGAAGGGGAAAAGAGCTGACATAGCCCCCCACTTCTCCCCTCTTTCAGGGGGGCGCTTTGCTCCTTCGAATTCATGGCCAGGATATGCAAAACTTTTGCAAAACTTTTCTTTCCCTTCCCTTTGCAACCCTGCTCTAAAACTTCTGCCCCCCCTTTTCTTTTCTCTACGGGGTGCAAATCCATCCCCCCCCCAGCTTTGTCTGAGCCAGTGGGAGGAGGAGGGGGGCCTGGAAAGGCAGGGGGAGGGGAGAGAAGAGGGGGGAGGACAAATGCCACTAAAGGCCACCTGGACATTGCTGGATCTTTGAAGAGGCAACTTCAAAGGGGCAAAAGCTCACCTGAAATCCAGGGAAGAACCTGGGGGTGGCATGGGGAGGGGGGGGAATATGGAAAAATCCCGCCAATAAACATCTTGCCCCCTCCCCAATTCAGCTAAGACATTTACACCGGATAATAAACAAGGATTAGCTTTTATAGCCTTTTAACCGGAATTGGGAATCTTGACCAGACTTTTTCAAAGCTGGCTAGGCCTTTTGGAGGGGGGGGGGGGCTCAATAGACACACATTTTTTTCCCTGAAAAAAGAGATATAATAGTCCTCAGCTTACAACGATTCGTTTAGTGACCGTTCAAAGTTGCAACGGAACTGAAAAAAAGGGAATAGGATCGTTTTTCACACTTAACGACCGCTGCAGCATCCCTGTGGTCACGTGATCAAAATCCAGACGCTTTGCATCTGACTCGTATTTATGACGGTCGCAGTGTCCCAGGGGGTCATGTGATCCCCTTTTGCGACCTTCTGACTAGCAAAGCCAATGGGGGAAGCCGGATTCACTTAACGACCGTGTTAATAGCTCAACCGCTGTGGCTAGAAAGATCAAAAACGGGGCAAAACTCACTGAACAAATTTCTCACTTAGCAACAGGAATTTTGGGCTCAATTATGGTTGTAAGTTGAGGACTGCCTGTAATGCAGGAAAAAAAAAGGGACAAAAATGTTGCAGCCCAAAGATGCAGATGAGGGAGGAGATGAAAACTGGGCCCGAGTTATAACTCTGCAGTGGGTTCTAGTCCTGCTTTAAGCAGGAAATCTGGTTGGGTGACTTTGGGCCAATCACTGGGAGTGGGTGAGTTCTAGTTTCACCTTAGCCATGAAAGCTAACTGGGTGACTTTGGGCCAATCACCAGGAGATGGTGAGTTCTAGCCCTGCCTGAGGCACCAAAGCCAGTTGGGCGGACTTTGGGCCAATCACCAGGAGACGGTGAGTTCTAGTCCTGCCTCAGGTGTGAAAGCCAGCTGGGTGACTTTAGGCCAATCACCAGGAGACTGGGAGTTCTAGTTCAGCCTTAGGCATGAAAGACAGCTGGTTAACTTTGGGCCAATCACCAGGAGACGGTGAGTTCTAGTCCTGCCTGAGGCACCAAAGATAGCAGAGGGACAGTCCCTCCCTCCCTCCCTCCCTCCCTCCCTCTCTCTCTCTCTCTCTCTCTCTCTCTCTCTCTTTCTCTCTCTCTCTCTGCCCAACCCACCTCACAGAGTTATTGTTGTGGAGAATACAAGAGGAGGGAGGTATGTTTGTCATCCTGAGGTATTTATAAAAATAATAAACCTGGGATACAAAGAAAGAAAGAAAGAAAGAAAGACTCACTGCTCCATAAAATTCAGAGTCATCTCCGTGGTCCTCTGGGCGACCGACTGAGTTTCTGACACCCCCTGGCAGCCATACGAGTTGCCACAATGGGCGTAGATGCCCGCCAGCTCTGTCGCGCCTTCGGAGACAGCCTTGGCGAGACGCACAGCGGCGGGATCTGAGGCTTTCACGCCGGCTGCAAAAAAAAAAAAAAGCAGAGCTGACTCCCCACCATACAGGTAATCCTCAATTTACGACCACAACTGGCCTCAAAATTTTTGTGGCGGAGCGAGGCAGTCGTAACGTGAGTTTTGCCCCATTTTACGACCTTGTTAAGTGAATCCCTGTAGTCGTAACGTGTGTCACACGGTCATTAAGTGAATCTGGTTTTCCTGTGGACTTTGTTGGTCAGAAGGTGTTGCAAAAGGGAATCACGTGACCCCAGGATACTGCGACCGTTGTAAATTCGAGTCGGTTGCCAAAGCAGTCGAAAGTGTGAAAAACATTCCTAAGTCACTTTTTTCAGTGCCTTTGTAACTTCAGTCACTAAGTGAACGGTCTTAACTTGAGGACTGCCTGCAATGTTAACGATGCCTGTTCTCTTCTGGTGCCCTCAAGAAGACCAGAACCATGGGTCCTGTTATACTGGAGGGCAGAGCTTGTGGGAATTAAAGGCCAGGATGATGAGGGCCAACCTCAAGTGCTTGAGCTGTTTGAGAAACCTTAAAACTTCAGTTTGGGCAAATGGAACCTCCAGTCTCAGGAGTAGTCTATTCTGAGGATAGGAAAACGAGAGAAAATGCAGCAGTCAATTGCAGTCAGGCCCTTACATGAAGTCTTGTGGGTCGCTAGCATCCTGTGTTGCGAGAATCTCCTGGATTCGAACTCATTACTCTGTTGATTGTATGGGGGGATGAGTTGGAGGGGCTCAGCTTGGGAAGGAAGAGGAAGAGGGAGAAGCATAAACTTTCTCAATATGGGCTTGTTCCTTATTTACTTATTTACGTATTTGTTTATCACATTTCTACACTTATGTGCTGATTCAGAGTTTCCCAGCCTTGCCAAGTTTAAAATGGGTGGACTTCAATTCCCAGAATTCCTTTGAAAGTTGGTCCTACATTTTTTGTCTACAGGAAGTCCTCAACTTACGACGGGTTGTTTAGTGACCGTTCAAATCGACAACGGCACTGAAAAAAGGGCCATTTTTCCACACTTACAACCGTTGCAGCATCCCCCACGGTTCACGTGATCAAAATTCGGACGTTTGGCAGCCGACTTGTAATTATGACGCTCGCAGCTTCCCGGGATCGCATGATCCCCCTTTTGCGACAAGGAAAGTTTTGGGGAAAGCCAGATTTTACTTAACAACCACGATTCACTTAATAACTGCAATTATTCACTTAACAATGTAGCCAAAAATTTAAAAAAGGGGGCAAAACTCACTTAACAACTGTCCTGCTTAACAACGGAAATTTTGGACCGAATTGTAGTCATAAGTTGAGGACTACATGTATTGCCTAAATCTCGGGTTTTTCTACCCAATCTTTTCCACTGTTTCTAGACCCCCCCCCTCTGGAGAATTTGGGGGTCACGACTAGCAGAGAGGAAGAGGAGGCTAAGGGGACACCACTAGTCCTTGACTTACGACCATTTACTTAATGACCATTTGAACTTAAGACCTCACTGAAAAAAATTGAGTTATGATGAGTCCTCGTACTTATGACCCTTGCAGTGTCTCTGTGGTCATGTGATCAAAACTGGCAACTGGCATGAACTTATAATGGTTGCAATGACCTTTCCAGCAGGCCTCTGGCAAGCAAAGTCAATGGGAGAAGCCACATTCACTTAACGACCTTGTGATTCATTTAATGGCCATCGGGATTCACTTAACGGCCATGGCAAAATTGGTTGCAAAATTGGCCATAAGTCAATTAGCAATTGCCTCACTCAGCAACAAAAGTGCTAGTCCCTCTTGTGATTGTAAGTCGAGGATGAATTGTGTGTCCCTCGGGAGAGCAGGTACCTCGTGCGTTGTCGCAGTCAATCTTCAACCACACTTTCCAGGGCTGGCCCGTCCGCAAAGGCCTTCCTTTCAGCCGGTCCAGGGCTTGTGGACTGTCCACCAACACCTGGAAGGCGTCCAGCTTCTCGGCCAGGGCAGCACAATCATCCACCTTGTCGAAGGGCAGCGGGTAAGCATAGAGGATGTCGTCAAAGCCGCCATCGGCAAAATAGCGGGCCTCGGCCAGCGTGGAGACCACGATTCCCCGCAGGGAGCCCCCCGTCATGAGGCGCCCGCCTTCCCTGCGAGGGAGGCAGAGAAAGAAGAATGACTGCGGGGGGGGGGGTGTTGAGCAGTCCCTGGTGCTCTCTGAACTGGGTGGTTTCCTTGCAGACCTTTCGTGACCCAGCTAGGGGACATCATCAGTGCAGGAAGGGAAGAGGAGGAGGAGGAGGAAGGACTGTGGGGTCCTGGGTGCTCTCTGAGCTGGGTGGTTTCCTTGCAGACATTTCATGACCCAACTAGGGAACATCATCAGTGCTAGGAGGAGGAGGAGGAAGAATATGACAATGGGGTCCCTGATGCTCTCTGAGCTGGGTGGTTTCCTTGCAGACATTTCATGACCCAACTAGGGAACGTCATCAGTACTAGAAGGGGAGAGGAGGAGGAGGAGGAGGAGGAGGAGGAGGAGGAAGAAGAAGGATTGTGGAGTCCTTGGTTCTCCCTGAGCTGGGTGGTCTCCTTGCAGACGTTTCATGACCCAACTAGGGAACATCATCAGTGCTAGAAGGGAGGAGGAGGAGGAGAAGGAAGGAAGGAAGGAAGGAAGGAAGGAAGGAAGGAAGGAAGGAAGGAAGGAAGGAAGGAAGGAAGGAAGGAAGGAAGGAAGGAAGGAAGGAAAGTGGAGTCTTTGGTGCCCTCTGAGCTGGGTGGTTTCCTTGCAGACGTTTCATGACCCAACTAGGGAACATCATCAGTGCTAGAAGGGAGGAGGAGGAGGAGGAGGAGAAGAAGAAGAAGAAGAGGAGGAGGAGGAGGAGGAGGAGGAGGAGGAGGAGGAGGAGGAGGAGGAGGAGGAGGAGGAGGAGGAAAAACATCTCATGACCCAACTAGGGAACGTCATCCCTCCTTGGGGGAGTTTGTGTCATGGAGGAGGAGGATGGTGCAGAGTCCGAGTATCACCCGGGGCAATTCCCCTGCAGGAGAGCCAAGCTGAGCATTGCTGATGAAAGACCCCCACACTCACAGCGTCTTGTGGGTCTTCATGTGGGGCCTGAGGGCCACCCCCAGCGCTTGGCAACGCTCCCGCATGCGCTGCGCATTCCTCGAGGCTACGTCCAGATCCACCGTAAAGGCCGGAGTCGGCAAGTCCGCGACAGGCCGTCCTAACCACATGCTCTGCAGAGAAACATAGATGGAAGTCAGGAATCACCTAACTGGGATGCGCTGGGTTCAAGAAGCTGCTGAAAGGGACTGAGGGCTGAATCCCAGCATCCAAGAGATGGGAGGGGTTTTAGAGGTCATCTAGTCCAGCTCTCCCCATCCTTTCTGGCTTGGCGCACCTGCGGGTAAGGGAAGGGATGATTCTATGTGAGTACCGCTTCTGGTGCAGCCCACTTTTGAACGGGCCTCGGCCTGGGGGATGAAGGACCCTTGATTTATTCCAAGCCCCTCCTCAGTGCAGGCTCCGTAGAGCTATGTTCCTCAGCCTGGGGCCATATGGATCTTGCGGCCCCCCAAGTAAAAAAAATTACAATGGGGCCCCATGGCGCATGGTGACAGGCACCCAAACAAGCAAGGTGTATTTTACTAAGTCCTTGCCTGATATCCACTCATTTAATGACCATTTGAAGTCAGAACGGCACTGGAAAAAAGTGACTTATGACCATTTTCCACATTTAATAGGGCTCTATGACCAGTCCTCGCACTTATGACCATCGAACCGTCCCTCCTCCTGTGCTCTTGGAAACAGAACGTATTTACGATGGTCGCAGCGTCCCGGAGAGGGTCACCTGACCCCCTCTTGCGACCTTCTGACCCGCAAAGTCAATGGGGGAAACCGGATTCACTTAACGACTGATTCAGTTAATGACTGCAGTCATAAACAACCATGGGGCAAAGGCCGTGAAATTGAATGTGATACACTTAACAAATTCCTTGTTTGGCCAGTCGTAAGTCAAGGCCTACATGTATACTGCAAGAGCCACTGTTGATGGCAGGAAAAGCTCCAGATACTGTCCAGCGTCGGTAAAGGACCCGGATAAAAGGGGGGAAGATCAGAGGAGAAAAGCAAGGTCAGATGGGGAGCCCGGCCCAAAAAATATTTAGATTTCCTTTGGTAGAGCTCCATCCATTTTAACTTAAATTACAGATAGTCCTTGACTAACAACCACAATGGAGTCCAAAATTTCCATTGCAGAGACGATTGTTAAGTGAGTTTCGCCCCATTCTACGACCTTCCTTGCCACAGTTGTTAAGTGAATCCCTGCATTTATTAATTTAGCAACACGGTTGTTAAGTGAATCCTGCTTCCTGCTTCCCCAGAAGGTCACAAAAGGGGATTACGGGGCCCCGGGACACTGCAGCCGTCATAAATATGAATCAGTTGCCAAGTGGCTGAATTTGGATTACGTGACCGGGTCATAAGTGTGAAGAACTATTCTAAGTCACTTTTTTCAGTGGTGTCATAACTTTGAAATGTCACTTAAACAAACTGTTGTAAGTTGAGGACTACTTTGCAATAAAAATGCAAAACCAACAGGTTTTCTAGCAGAACTGAGAGGTCCTTATTTATTTATCTCCATAATGTTTTAATGTGTTATTAATAATGTGTTATTTCTATAATGTTTCACAACCACCCTGTGAGGGAGGACAGAGTGTCAGAGTTCCAGCAGAGATACCTACTGCCACAGGCGATCAGATTTCTGAATGGCGGATGTCACTGGATCAATGTCTGTGGAGCAAAATGTTGATGGGTTGGTTAGATTTATATCCCAGAGTGGTGTCTATTCCTCTATTGGTTTTTTTCACAACAACCTTGTGGAGTGGGCCGGCTTGAGAGTGGTCCAAAGTCCAGTAGGCAGCTTCTTGACAGGAGGGGGAAGCCAGACCCTGGGGCCCATTGCTGTTAGTCCCACAGTGCGGTGCACTGATACACACAAAAAAAGACGCCTCTGGACCCACAAAGGATTGCCAGGACTTCCCTTGGCCCTTTTCTGACTGGTGGACTTCAACTCCCAGAATCCCTCAGTCGGCCATTTTGATGATACTGGGGGCTTGGATCCAGCCCAGGTCTTCAAACTTGGCCCTTTTATGACTGGTGGACTTCAACTCCCAGGATTCCTCAGTCGGCCATTTTGATGAAAGTACAGGCTTGGATCCAGATTCTCAGGGGTCTTCCAACTTGGCCCTTTTATGACTGACAGACTTCAACTCCCAGAATTCCTCAGTCGGCCATTTTGATGAAACTGCAGGCTTGGATCCAAACCAGGGGTCTTCCAACTTGGCCCTTTTATGACTGGTGGACTTCAACTCCCAGAATTCCTCAGCCAGTATTGGATGAGGAATTCTGGGAGTTGAAGTCCACCAGTCATAAAAGGGCCAAGTTGGAAGACCCCTGGTTTAAAACATTGTTTTTCAGCCTGGGCCATTTTAAGATGAGTGGACTTCAAGCCCCATAATTCCCTGACAAGCAAGCACGGACTTCAAGTCCCAGAATTCCCTAGCAAGCATGTACTCCAAAATTCCACAGATAGCTTGCAAGCTGTGGAATTCTGGGACTTGAAGTCCACCTGTTGAAACAAAATGGTCAAGATTGGGGGAAAAACGCTGTTTTTCGAAGATTTTGCACCCTTCCTCCCCCCCGTTTCTTTTGTGCGGAGGGGGCAATTTCCAAACCTGGCTTGATTTCAGATTGCAGATCGGGCGCCCGCAAACATCTTGCAAACCTTGCAAACTTGCAATCGCCTACAGAGTCAAAGCAACGTTTGGATGCGTCCCGGGGAAAGACGCAGGTTTGCACCCCGCATTACCTCTCGGGGCGCTGGAAAAAAAGGGGCGCAAGGAGGGTCACTCCATACTGACTATCCAGACCCGTGCAAAGTCCAGCTGGGAGGGGCGGTCACGTGAGCAAGTGGGCCGGTTCAGCTCTTCAAGGACTGCAAGTTCCAGAGTGCTCAGCCAAGCACCCGCGAGGCATTCTGGAAGTTGTAGTTTATTGCGTGGGGAAGTGGCCGGCTGGAGAGAGCTGGAATGAGCTTTTTTGCAAGATAGAGTAAGAGATGCCATAGATAAATTCATATATTTGTGTGGGTGTGGGTGTGCGCGCACGCTTCAAAGTTTGTAAATGTGTAAAAATATTGCAGCAGTAAACTAAAACGTACTCGGGCACGAAAGAGTTAACAAAGCGGACTTGCAGCGGGGGGAGGAAGAGGAGGAGCATTTGGAGGTTGGGGTTTTTTTTCCGCCCGCTCGCTCTATTTTTTTGCCTTGCCGGGACCGTAGAACCACAAAGCCAGTTGGAAGATAGGGGTGGGGATGCGCATGCGCTTTACGAATAGATGCCGTGTTGGCTTTGTCACGCGCTCCGATTCCACCCATGGTGAGTTATGCTGGCCAACAGCGCCCCCTGCCGATGAGAGAAGCTGTTTTAGCGGGCAAGTGAGCGATGTGCTTGTTAGTGCGTGGGAAGGGGAAGTTTTCGACCCGCTTTTTTGCGGGTTTGGTGCAATCGAAGTGCTCTTGCGTCGGCCTCCTATGGAGGAGAGGCGGAGAGCCCGCAAGTCCCGTAGGATGAGGGGCAGAGAGCAAGGCAGGGAGCCCAAACTGCAGACGCTTGGGAGTTGCAAAAGTTTTGGCGTTTGTTCTCCTTTGCAAGGCTTAAAAAGTTGGCAAGCATATTTATTATATTTATGCCCCGCTTTTCCCCAAAGAGTTCAAGAAGGTGTGTCTGGCCCTTCCTCTGATATTTCCCCATAATAACCCTGCAAGGAAGGCGCGCGAGAGAGGTGGGGCAGAAAGTAATAGAATGACAAAGAGTTGGGAGTGACCTTGGAGGTCATCTAGTCCAACCCCCCCCTGCTCAAACCGGAGACTCTTCAGACAGATGGTTGTCCAATCCCTTCTTAAAAACTTCCAGCGTTGGAGCACCCACTTCTGGAGGCAGGTTGTTCCACTGATTAATTGTTCAGTCAAGAAGTTTCTCCTTAGTTCTAGGTTGCTTCTCTCCTTGATTAAGTTTCCATCCATTGCTTTTTGTCCTGCCTTCAGGTGCTTTGGAAAATAGCTTGACTCCCTCTTCTTTGGGGCAGCCCCTGAGATACTGGAAGGCTGCTATCATGTCCCCACTCCTCCTTCTCTTCATTAAACTAGACAGACCCAATTCCAGCAACCATTCCTTATATATATTTTAGCCTCCAGTCCCCTGATCATCTTTGTTGCTGTTCTCTATATTTTCTAGACTTGTGTCAATATCTTTTTTATATCGTAGAAATAAAAACTGGATGCAAGTATTCCATTGCATAGAAGGAAACAAGAAAGGGAGAGAGGGAGGAAGAAAGGAAGAACAAGGGGAAGGAAGGAAGGAAGGAAGACAAGACAGAGGAAAGAAGGAAAGAGAGGAAGGAGGAAGGACAAGGAAGGAAGGAGAGAGGAAAGATAAAGAAGGAAGGAGGAAAGACAAAGCAGAGGAATGAAGGAAAGAGGAAGGAAAAAGGAAGGAAAGAGGAAGGTGAATGAGGAAGGAAGGAAATTAATGACTCCCAAGTTCCTGTGCTGGCTGGGGAATTCTGGGAGTTGAAGTCCACTCATCAAAGTTGTTGAGGTTGAGAAAGACTATATCACTGAGTGACGAGTTCAAGAGCATACCATAATAGCATTTTTCTCTGTGTGGGGAAACTGCTGTCAATTCTTTTGACTATTTTTTTTTCTGCAAGTATTACAGGAATGAATTGAGCAATGGCTCAATAGCTGTTGAGCTTAGGAAATCTTTGGCATATTTTACAATTATAATTTTATATGAGAATAATTAGCTGTTAACCAGTTAAATTTTTTGCTTAAGGTTTTGTGTGTGTGTGTGTGTGTGTGTGTGAGCACATGCACTCACGCAGGTATATTCATATATTAACAAATTCAGTCCTTCCATTTCCATTTCACAGGTCGCTCTCAGCAGCCACTTGTAGTAAATTAGTTAAGATGGTGCTCAAAAAAGTCTGATCCTCACAACTCCTGACCAGTCCTCACACTTACAACCCAGTGTCTCCACAGTCAAAGTTCGTCCCACTGGCAACCGGTATGTATTTGTCCTGGGGTCATGTAACTGCCATCTGCAACCTGAGTTTGCTTAATGACGAAGTGATTCACTTAACATCCTCCTTGCTTAACAATGAAAGCTCAGATTCCAATTGCATCGAGCACTATAGTTCCTATACAGATACATACACACACACACACACACACATAATTTTTGGCTCAATTGTGGTTGTAAGTCAAGGACTACCAGTGGATGTTTGACCACAATTCAGCCAAAAATTTCTGTTGATAAATGAGATATTTGTAAAGTGAGTTTTGCTCCATTTTTCCTGCAACGGTAGTTAAATAAACCATTGCAGTGGTTAAGTTAGTCACACGGTCGTTAAGTGAATCCGGCTTCCCTATTGACTTAGCTTCCCAGGTCACAAAAGGGGATCACATGACACCCCTGGGACACTGCGACCGTCATAAATATGAGTCAGTTGCCAGGCTTCTGAATTTTGATCACGTGACCATGGGGAAGCTGCAACGGTCCTAAGTGTGAAAAACGGTCCTAATTCACTTTTTTCAGAGCTGCTCTAACTTTGGCCACTAAGCAAACAGTCATAAGTCGAGGACTGCCTGTCTAATCAGTAAAATTAACGTTAAGATAAGTTAACTCAGCCTTGGGTGGAACACCCCGATTTCGTAACTGCCTTCTTTTTGTGTTCCTACTCCTAACTGGAACCACAACCAAAGTGTCACATACAACAGCCAACAATTACACAACGCTGCTTTTTTTTAGCCGTTTATTTAAAGTCAGGTGAACAGAAATATCCTCCATTGTGAGGCAAAACCAGTAAAATTCAAGGCAAGCAGTCCCATTCAAGTTTAAGGCATATTTTTTATTTTTCTAAATTTTAAAAAATTCAGATTGTGCTTTTCATTTCTCTGGAAGAAAAAAAAGACGCAAGGCAGTGCAGGCTAAGGGGGATTTATCCTGCCCCACAGGCCTTTTAAAACCAAACCCCCCTTTTAAAACACCCTCTTGGGAGACTACCAGCAACATCCAGCAACATCCAGAAAGCTTGCAATTCCTTCCTTACTCACAGGTAGCTCAATCTGCAAGGGGCGTTTTTAAACACCGTGGTTGCTGCAGATGTGTGCCTCCTTTATAATTTATTTATTGCAAAATACAGATTTCCCCTTTCTCTTTAAAAACAGGCAAGAGAAATTGAGCAACCAACGGCCATACTTAAACCGAGAAGGCTGGGCTGGAACAATGGCTCAGCTCGAAGTGGAGCATGGATCTTTGACGGTCCTCGGTCCTGGATCAGGGCAAAATAGAGGTTTCTGGGGTGGGGGTGGGGTGACATAAAGGCAACCCCTGTTCCTGTAATTCCAATCCTTAAAACAAACTTGGACGCTTGAAAATGAGTGGACTTCAACTCCCAGAATTCCCCAGCCAGCCTGCTGGCTGAGGAATTCTGGGAGTTGACATCTGCCCGTCTTCAAGCTGAAAAGTTGTCTGGAAGCATTTTTTGCAACCGAGTTTTGCTTGCGTGCAAATCCGAAATATGTTTAATTCCAGAGAATGCTTCTCTTTCTTTAAAAATATTCATATTTTTTTTTAAAAAGCTTTGCAACAGAGAGAAATTTGTGGGTCTAGAGAGAATTCGGTTTCTCTCTCTTCTCTTTCTCCACTTCCACTGTGCCAAAAATGATTGTGTACTACTACTACCCACCACAGTATAGATTGTGCACAACGCACACGTGGAAAGGACACCTCAGTGCATTGCCCTGTGCCAACAGACACGAGGACCCTGTTTTGCCAGCCTTAAATTTGCACTAAATAAACCCACCCCGCTCAGATTCTCTCGAACAAACCAGCCCAACAATCTTAGAAATTTCAGAACCGCAGTCGTTGTGAATCAACCAACAGTGACAAAACACCAGTGTTAAATTTCACGCGGGTTAAAGGACATATCCACCCTGGTGCTTTTTTCGTGGAGTCGGGAAAACTCTGAAAAGTTAACACCTCTGCCCCTTTTAAATACAAATAATAATAATAATAATTAAAACCGGTAGAAAAAATTTGGAACGCTGATATTCGTAAAAGTTACAAAAGAGGTTTTTGTACATTGAAAAGTCACCCGGAGTTGACGCTGCAGGAGATTTGGGGGAGAAAACAAACCCAAAGACACTTAATTTTCTCCAAAGTGAAAATATTGCACTTCGTGGAAATTGGTCTCTATTTCAAAATTTTCTTTTTTTGAGAGAGAAAGAAGACCTGGAGTGGGTAGGATATTAGAAAACAGATTTTAAGAACGATTTCAACCTTGCAGACAATTGTGGAGCAATTGAAGATCTTGTCTTGGTTTTGGGAGATCCATAGTGTTGGACACACATTCTGGCTGGGGATGGTTGGATTTGTAGTCTCCTAGAGAATGCTTACCTGGGGAAGAAAGAGAGAAAACGAGAGAGGTGGAAAGAACATGATAAAACATTTGTAACCTGGACTCCGTTTTCCTCCACGTAAAGGTAGATGTGTTAGTGGGCCAAAAAGGAGGGAAAACACCATCTTGAATTTCTTACTGAAGTGTTCTCAACCTTAGCAACTTAAAGATGTGTGGACTTCATCTCCCATAATTCCCCAGTGAGCAGGCTTTAAAATGGGTGGATTTCAACTCCCAGAATTCCCCAGCCAGTATGCTTTAAGAGGGGAGGACTCCAACTCCCAGAATCCCCCAGCCGGCATGCTTTAAGAGGGGAGGACTCCAACTCCTAGAATCCCCTAGCCAGCATACTTTAAGAGGGGGGGACTTCAACTCCCAGAATCCCCCAGCTTGCCTGCTTTAAGAGGGGTGGGCTTCAGCTCCCAGAATCCCCCAGCTGGCATGCTTTAAAATGGGAGGAGTTTGACTCCCAGAATCCCCCAGCCAGTAAGCTTTAAGAGGGGTGGGCTTCAACTCCCAGAATCCCCCAGCTTGCCTGCTTTAAGAGGGGTGGGCTTCAACTCCCAGAATCCCCCAGCTGGCATGCTTTAGGATGGGAGGAGTTCGACTCCCAGATTCCCCCAGCCAGCGTGCTTTAAGAGGGGTGGACTATAACTCCCAGAATTCTGGGCGTTGAAATTCACACGTCTTCGAGTTCTCAAGGTTGAGAAACCCTGTTCTAATGCTTCAATTTGTGGTGCTATAACATCCCAAGAAATATCTGAGCCAGCTTCTGCGAATCTGCAAATTTCTCATCTGCAAAGGTGCAGAACAGCAGCTGTCTTCTTCTCCCTCTTCCTAACAGGAGGATGAACCAACAAACCCAACAGTAGAATAATTAAGAGCAGGATAAAAATCAAGGAAGCTCAGAGGTCAAACAATGGAATTGCTTTCTAGGGCAGTGTTTCTCAACCTTGACCATTTTAAGGCATGTGGACTTCAACTCCCAGAATTCCACAGCCAGCATTGCTGGCTGTGGAATTCTGGGAGTTGAAGTCCACATGCCTTAAAATGGTCAAGGTTGAGAAACACTGTTCTAGGGGCAAGTGAAGATAGAAGAACTTCAGTGGTGTGCCTGGAGGACAAAGTATGTTCTCCCTTAGGAAGAAGACCACCACAAAAGACAACGCAAACCAGGAAGGAAGCCACGTGAGGATGGAGATGGGAACCAATTCTTCTCCAGGACATTCAACTTCATCAACGCGCTTTGTGGAGCCACAGAAGTGGGGCAGAGGGATAATCCAGACATGAGTGGATGAAGGATCACCTTGTTCCAGGCCAACAGGTTGAACGTGTGAAACCAGAAGTGCTCTCCTTCAGGGGCGCAGCTTCCTTCAACCACGTAGGCGAAGAGATGGAATGACCTTCCCAAGAAGGCTGGTAGTTGGAACAGCTGTGGAGCAATGGAGGACCTTGTCTTGGTTTGGAGAGATCTTCAGGACCACCGCAAGAGACAGGAAGGTCAGACAGAGCTGATATTCTCCTTCCAATGTGGAATCTGCTCCAATTTGTCTTCGTGCTGAAACTTGTGCGGTTTCTGGTATCTCAGAACCTTCTTGCTCCCTCATCTCCGTGCAGAAGTTTAAAAGTGCAGATATCAACAGGTGCTTAAGAGGAAGATGGTGCCCATATCCATAAAACATGTAAAGGATGGAGGAGAGAGTCACTGTTTCCACCAGGAAGACCTTGGCCAAGACTTATAGGGAGTGTCTATTGAGTGGATTTTCTGAAAGTGAGGAGTGAAGAGGAGAACTGACTGGGGGTACCATCCTCCACTCCCAAGGCTCCTTGCTCGAACACGCAGAATCATAAGGCCTTGAGGCAGGATTGGGTATAACCCACGGGCACCAAGGTTGTCTTTTATTGCTAGTGAAGGTATGTGGGGCATGTGTTGGAAACAGTTGGCCCCCAACGAATGAATGTCTGGGCCTCCCATATCCCCAGTGGTCAACTGTCCAAGGAAGGTTTCCAACACCAGGCCACCAGAGGGCACCACACCTATGGGGAAAGCTCACTTTTTTCATACCGTATGAGATTAGAATTCACCTCCTGCCCCATCTCTGGCATAACACTTATGGGTTGCCCTGCCCTGTCCACCTTTCTTGATTACAACTTGAGGACCAAGAGCTGGCCTCCCTTTAAAGCTTTATTCAGAGTTCAAGAGAACTTCTCACCCACCAGGACACGGAAAGCAACGGGGGTCCACTTCGGTTGCAGGTGTTCCGTGTAGTGCAACTAACGTCTCCTTAAGGCCACCACCAAGAGACCACCCGCATTTTAAAGGTTGGGATGTCTATTGCTTCACTTGTGACCCTCCCACCCGATTCTAACACACAGTGGGAAGGGGCAAAGACAATCTGGCAGCCCTCCCCCCCATTCTTCCTTCGCTCACGCTCTCCAGTGTAAGACAATACAAACATTTGACGTTTCAAGCTCTACAGGAATCAACAGTAATATAGCATCAATCGGTGGGCAACAGCTGAATGGACTCAGGGAAACCACACACACACACGCACACACGCATACACACACACACACACAAAACCTAGATTGTTCTGCTGCATGCACTGCATTCAGGAGCCTGCTCCAGATGTGTGCAGGTTCACGCTCCTGGGGAGTTGCCGTAGGGTATCCCTACAGCCGCAAGGATCCCGCAGCCACGCGACACGAGAGGCAGCAGCCGTGGTGGACCTTCTCCTGGGAGAACCTGGGGTCCACTGGCAGAGGGGTGATTACAAGGCAACAGGAAATTAAAAACGAGGCCTCTATTTGGACTCCGTCGGATGGTATTCTGTCTCGCCCGAAGACACCTGGGAGATACGCCGCGTTGAGCGCCAGAGCCGGCGGTGGAACTGGCCCGTCCGCACCTGGAGAACGAGAAGAGAGGTGGGCAAAGGAGGATCCAGAACCTCAAGAGCTTCTCAGGCTCTGCTCGACCAAGACAGGGTCGCAGAGAACCAGTAGAATTTTGACCATGGTGGACTTTTAAGGTCTCCGTCATGTCCAGCTGGGATGACGAACAGCTGGAGATGGAAGAGTAGCCATTTAGAAGGTTCCTCAAGTGGGAGGCCGGTCTAGGAGGTGGAATTGGGAAGACTATGGTTGCCACAGAACATAGAATCATAGGGTTGGAAGGAACCCTGGAGGTCTTCTAGACCAACCCCCTGCTCAGGCAGGAAACCCTCCTCCTCCCCCCTCCTCCTCAGAATGACGTTGGAAGGGACCTTGGAGGTCTTCTAGTCCAACCCCCTGCTCAGGCAGGCCACCTTATGCAATCCTGGACAAATGGCTGTCCAGTTCTTGTAGGGACCGTCTAGTGATGGAGCACCCACATGGATGAGCAGTTTAAACAAGAGGGGGTGACTCACAACATCTCCCCCGGGTTTCACCACACTGCAACAGGAGCTGGTGATGTGTTCTCCAGGCCCCCAATTCTGGTCCCTAGGCCAGGGGTAGGCCACCTGGGCTCTTTTATGACTCGTGGACTTCAACTCCCAGAATTCCTGAGCCAGCCTGGCTCAGCTTGGAAACCTCTCCCTTTCCCCTCAGCATGGCTGGCTCAGGAATTCTGGGAGTTGAAGTCCACCAGTCATAAATGAGCCGAGGTGGCCTAGCCCTGCCCAAATGCCTGAATTCTGATCACGTGACTGTGAGGGAAAAATATTTAAATATTTAAACCAGGGGCCTTCAAACTTGGCCCTTTTATGACTGGTGGACTTCAACTCCCAGAATTCCTGAGTCAGCATGAGGGAAACTTTGGCCCCTTCATGACTCGTGGACTTCAACTCCCAGAATTCCTGAGCCAGCCTGGCTCAGCTTGGAAACTCTCCCTTTCCCCTCAGCATGGCTGGCTCAGGAATTCTGGGAGTTGAAGTTCAGGAGTCATAAAAGAGCCAAGAATGCCTAATCCTGATATAGGGTGCCATGCTGGCAGAGGGATTCTGGGAGTTGAAATCCCCTCATCTTCCTAGTAACTCAGGGGTAGGCCACCTTGGCTATTTTATGACTCATGGACTTCAACTCCCAGAATTCCTGAGCCAGCATGGCTCAGCTTGGAAACCTCTCCCTTTCCCCTCAGCATGGCTGGCTCAGGAATTCTGGGAGTTGAAGTCCACCAGTCATAAAAGAGCCGAGGTGGCCTAGCCCTGCCCTAGAGGAATTAAGCTGAGTTGTGGAGGGCAGAGGGGCTGACTCTCACCTCCGAAGGTTGTCCTGCACCCACCACTATCAGCTTCCCGTCTTCCAGACCCACCAAGATATGGCTCTTCTCTTTCGTCACGGAGACGCTGTGGATGGGGACCTTCATGATCAGAGAAGGAACTGCCGGCTGCAACCTGGTGGGAGAGAAAATGCAGGGAATCATGGGATAAATTTCCCAGCCTGCCACCTTTTTGCACATGGAAATTACACTTATTATCCTGCCCATCTCCTCTGGACTCTCCCTGACAGACGGTCCTCGACTTACAACCAAAATGGAACCCAAAATTGTTAAGAGAGTTTTGCCCCACTTTACGACCATTCTTGCCATAGTTGTTAAGTGAATCTCTGCGGTTGTTCAGTTAGTAACATCGTTAAGTGAATCCGGCTTCCCCATCATCAGATGGTCACAAAAGGGGATCAAGGGACCCCCGAGACACGGCAACCGTCATCAGTACATGCCAGTTGCTGAACAGTCTGAAATTTGATCACGTGGCCACAGGGGATGCGACAAGTGTGATGTGAAAAACAGTCATAAGATCTTTTTCAGTGTTGTTGTAACTTAGATCAGTCACTAAATGAATGGTTGTAAGTCGGGGACAACTTGTGTTGCTGAAACAAGAATATCTTGGTCACATCAAATCAGGAATAAGGTCTCCAAAGAGAAGAACAGTTTCAGAAAGAGGGTGGGTTAGACAGTGTTTGTGATGGGTTGTGCCCACGACTGGGGAGGGGGTGTGATGGAAGTTTCACAGCTATAGTGAGTACAAGGACGGGTGTGAGACAAAAGACAGCCCAAATCAGAAATGGATCATGAAAACAAGATTAGAACAGCTGCTCCATAGAATCTCCCCCTTAGGGTGAGAATAACAAGTTTACTCTGGCAAAACTCTGTGTGTTGGGTGTGAGAAAACGAAGAACTGAATCTTGGCTGGATTGTGGGTTTCTTGGTGCTCTCTGAGCTTGGTTGTTTACTTGCAGACGTTTGATGACCAAACTGAAATGGCTGCAAGCAAACAAGCTCAGTGAGCACCAAGGAGGCCACAGAAACAGAAACCCAGATAAGCATGGATTAACACAAGACAAACAATTAAGCAGAAAGCAATACTCTAATTCAGGGGTCTCCAATGTATAGTCTGCGGCCCGTCTGTTGACCACTTAACCTGGGAATAGCTGGCGAGCTCTGCCCCACTTGTGGTAGCACTGCCGCGCGGGCACTAGTGCACCATTTGCACATGCACGGGGATGCTAGTACTGCCACCAATGTCACGTGGGCGCCAGCAGCCCACTTGCGCATATGCACAGGCACAGCATGCGTGCCGTGGGTGCGTGCAGCTAGCATGCTGTCGTGCTAGTGCTGCTGTCGTGAACGCGCCCATTTGCGCATGCACACACAAAGCCACAGGCACACACATTTCCCTTCTGCTCCCTTTCCTTCTGGGCCGCCAGGCTGAAAAGGTTGGGGGAACTCTAGTTTAACTGAGAAACTACCATAGGGGGAAAAAACTACTACTGCTAAAGTCTGACCGTCCCTTGAATGTCTTTGAGTCTTATCTGGTCTTTCCCAGGCTGGTCTGGGAAGATTCCTGTAAACAGGCATTCAACAATAAAGTAGCTGCTTTGAACTCTACCCCTGTGGGTCTGTTTGTTCGCGCCTGGCGATATCTAAGCATAGATACCGTAAGTCCCACCGAGAGAACACGGTAGCCATGTGTCAAAAAAGAGAAACCGAGGCAGGAGAAGAAGGTTACCTCTGAAGGTCCTTGATCTGCAATGAACACTGAAGGGTGCCCAGCACGACAAAGTCCTCCGTGACACACATCGAGGTAACTTGCTCATCCAGAGGGACAGAAGACAGATGCTTGCCATTGACGGAGTACAGGTGGAGGGCAAACTTGTCCTTGAGTGAGGAGCAAGGAGGAGAAGCTGGGGGTTAGCTGAGCAGGGCCCGTAGGAAGTAGAGATAGTCCTCAATTTACAACTAATCGTTTAGTAGCTGTTTGAAATTACAGTGGCACTGAAAAAAAATGAGTTATAACTGTTTTTCCTTCCCCTCCCCCTTCTTTCCGCCAAGTCCACTCCATCAGGCTCGGAGGGCATCCAGCACTCCACAGTCTTCCCCCTCCCCTCCTCATCCCCACAGTCCCCACTCGCTTCTAGTACTGATGACGTTATCTAGTTGGGTCATGAAATGTCTATAAGAAAAACCAACTCAGCACCAAGGAGGGAGATGATGATAGTGATGATCATCATCATTTCCTCCTCCTCCCAAACTCCACTCCCTTCTAGCCCTGATGATGTTACCTAGTTGGGTCATGAAACATCTGCAAGCAAACCACCCAGCTCAGAGAGCACCAGGGACCCCACAGTCCTTCCTCCTCCTCCTCCTCCTCTTCCTCCTCCTCCTTTCTAGCACTGATGATGTTCCCTAGTTGGGTCATGAAACTTTTGCAAGAAAACTACCCAGCTCAGAGAGCGCCCAGGACTTCACTGTCCAACCGTGAACTACAAATATCCTCCTCCCTCCCCCTCCTCCCTCCCTCCCTCCCTCCCTCCCTCCCTCCCTCCCAGCTTGTACCTTGAGAGAGGTTCTTCCCCCCACAACTGTCTGGACCACGATCTGCCCCTGGTGACCCACAACCAGGTTGGAGATGGTGACCGGCAGAGAACACTCACAGGGGGGCTTCAGCGACATCATGAACTGCCCTCGGCGGATGGTGTGCACAAGGATGGTGCCATCCTGGTGGAGACAGGAAGGAAGAAAATGCTTGAAATTAGGGTTTGGCCCAGCGAGAAGACCCGCAGGATGATTAGGGAAAGGAGCGTGGCAAGAATGAAAAAAAAAAAGAGAATAATTTTAGATATTAGTTTAGAATCCCAGACCCGTCACAAAAACGGTCTGTCACACGACCATCCTGATTTTACAATATTGTTTGCAGCCGTCATTAAGGAAATCACTGTGGTTATAAGTGCAAGGGTCTAGTCTTTAAATAATAACAGCAGTAATAAATGTGAATTCATTGTTCGCTATAAGTGTGGATTGTATCCGGGTTGTAGGTAACTTCTACGTAGGTCTGTCATAACTTTGAGTAGTTGCGAAATGATCGGTTGTAAATCAAGGACTATCTGCAAAGAGGCAGAAGACTATTGTGCAAATAGTTTTGCTACCCTTCTCCAAAATTAATGAAAAGGTGATCTTGTGCAAGATGCTTGAAAAGACATAGAATAAGAGTTGGAAGGGACTTTGGAGGTCTTCTAGTCCAACCCCCTACTCAAACTGGAGACTGTGTGCCATTCTGAACAATGGCTGTTAGAACATGTCTATTCTGATGTATGTATGATATACTCGTTTTAAGTAAGAAACTGTTTAATTGCTAGAATTTCTATAGCATCATACCTTTTGTTTCAATCAATCTTGCTAAAGAAAACTTTCGCCTCAATCAATCTTGCTAAAGAAAACTTTCAATCAATCTCGCTAAAGAAAACTTTAGTCTCAATCTCACTAAACTCGCTAAAGCAAGGGTGTCAAACTCAATTTCATTGAGGGCTGCATCAGCATTGCGGTTGCCCTCGGGGAGGGGAGGGCTACTGGGTGGGCGTGGATGGAGTGGGTGTGGCCTACTGGGTGGGCGTGGCCAGCTCTACATCGTTCGCGTCAAGAGTGCCCGTGGGGGCCTGGGCAGGAGTGGGACAGATCTGAGGGTCTCTGGCAGAAAGGGGGGGACCGGGGCAAGCGCCAAGACATGGTCCATTTCTTCATTCCTCATAAAGGGGGACCCCTCCCCAACATGCACCCAGGGGGTGGGGGCGACGCGGCAGGAGCCGGTTCCTCGCTATTTCTGGACGGCCTTGTGGAGCTAAGACTGAATGCGTTTCAGCATAGATGGCCACCACAAAATTGTACATTGGCTCCCGGCTGGCCTGGGCCAGGGTCAAGGCAGCGGGGGCCGTTCCCTCATTGTTTCCAGGATGGCTTCGTGGGCCACGTGAAACCACTTCGCGGGCCGCATCCCATCCCCGGCCCTTGTGTTTGACATGTCTGCGCTAAAGAAAACTTTCGTCTGAATCAATCTTGCTAAAGAAAACTTTCAACAAATCTTGCTAAAGAAAACTTTTGTCTCAATCAATCTTGCTAAAGAAAACTGCAAAAACCATGCCATGAAAGGAACCACTTTCCCTTTGTCAAAAACCCTGAGTCAGGGAGAGATGCTTTGATTTTTGACTTCCTGCGTCATCTGCCAAGCAACACTTGGATCAGGGCTCCCAACCAGATGGGAAATGAAGCAAGAGAGTCTTTACCTTGGACCCCGACACCGCCATGTCCAACTCAGTGCTGATGCCAACACACGTGACTTCATCTTCATGTCCGTAGAGGACCTGAACTGGCTTGGAGGCTAAGCCACAAGACAGTCCACCCTGATTGGATAAGGGAAAAAGACAGAATCATGGAGCTGGAAGGGGCTTAAGAGGTCATCTAGTCTAGTCTGCACCTCCCCAATAGATGTTGTCAAGGTTCTGACCCAAGCACTCTAGAGACGATCTGATCTCTTTATGTAAAACTTAATATTGAGTACATCATTTCGGCACGTTTGAAAGCAAAACCAGCTCTGGCTAATCCCCGCTTAAATCATTATATTAAAGATATGGATTCTACCTTCCCTCCATTAGTGCATGTCACATTGTCCAATTAAACATGATAACATTGTTTTGGGAACCGGTCTGTAACTAGCATTCTGTTCTTCCCTTCCTCTCCCCCCAAGTTCGCTGGCAAGCTGAGAAGCGATAATGGGCGGAATAGCACAGGCACGCTTCAAACTTGGCACATGTAGCGGGAAGAAGGAAAGGCCTTGAGGAACAGGAGGAAAAGCTGCAATTGAAACCATAGGCAGATAAGAGAAATTTAAGTCTGGGCCAGAACTGTACGCTGAGAAAGTGTCTCACTCTTCCTGGACAGGCCCCAGGGAATGCTGGGAGTGGAAGGTGGAGAAGAAGGCGAACACCGGAAGTCTAGGATCATCTCAGCCAGGATGGAAGGGAATCTCCTAAGCCAGGGGTAGTCCACCTTGGCTCTTTTATGACTCATGGACTTCAACTCCCAGAATTCCTGAGCCAGCTGTGCTGGCTCAGGAATTCTGGGAGTTGAAGTCCACGAGTCATAAAAGAGCCATGGTGGACTACCCCTGCCCTAAGCAAAACCAAAGGAGTTCTCAAATCCAAGGAGTTCTCTTACCTGTTGGAGAACTTGCCACACGAGGCAGGTGGTGTCCCGCGATCCAGAAATGAGGTAGATTCCACACAGATCTAAGGCCAAGCAGGTGACCACATCTGTTGGGAAGGGGAAGAAGACCTCATGCAAAGCCCAGGAGAAACGCAAGACCAACCGCCTGGAGATCTCCAGTCCCCCCCCATAGCCATGAAGGTCAGCTGGGTGACTTTGGGTCAATCACCAGGAGACCGTGAGTTCTAGTCTCACATTAGGCACGAAAGCCGATTGGGTGACTTTGGGCTAGTCAGCAGGAGGCAGTGAGTTCTAGTCCTGCCTTAATGATTTCTAATCCCGTCTTAGGCACAACAGCCAGCTGGGTGACTTTGGGTCAATCAACAGGAGATGGTGAGGTCTAGTTTCACCTTAGACATAAAAGCAAGGGGGGGGGGAGACTTTGGCTCAATCACTAGTCCAGTGGTTCTCCACCTGTGGGTCGGGACCCCATTTGGGGTCGAACGACCATTTCACGGGGGTCGCCAAACAACGCAGTCCGCCATTTTTTCCCCCCTTTTCCTTAGCTGTGCTACTCCCTTTTATTCTATTGGCTTTTGAAACCCAATAGAAGAGACTCTCTTGAATAGAGTCTAATTCTATTGGCTTTCAAAAGCCAATAGGAATTGTCCAGGCTGTCTCTGCCCTGCTGAGCCCGCCAAAAGTCCCATTCTGCAAATGGTGCTGCACCCGTTGAGTAGTCCTCGACTTACGACCGGTTGAGTAGTCCTCGACTTACGACCGGTTGGGGGTCGCAGCATTAAAAAGGTTGAGAACCACTGCACTAGGAGATGGTGAATTGTAGTCCTGCCTTGGGCATGAAAGCTGGCTGGGTGACTATGGGTCTCCCAAAGGCTACTTATGTTTGCTGCAGCATTCATTCATACGACTGCAGTCATTCATTCATGTGACTCAGCACAGGGAACTGCAGCATCCACCCCTCATATATATCACCCACTCCCCTGCCAGGTTCCCACAAGCCCTTGATAGCCCTCAGTCTGTGCTGGGTCTGTCTCGTGCTCTGGCAAATGACCACATCAGGGACAGAGAGATTGAGACTGTTAAGTGAGGTACTCACGTGTTCCCCTCGCTTAAGAACTGTCACAGTTTGCGACCGTAATGGAATGCTCCATTACAGTCATACCTCAAGGACCACCTATGATGATGAAGCTCATTTAAACTGGACCTGCTAACAGTCCTCATTCATGCATCCCCACCGACGTTAAATGGATGAAATTTTCAAAAAAAAAAAAAGAGTTGGCAGACACACGGATCCCTACCTATGTGACGATTGATGTGTCCAATCACCTTTCCTTTACTCAACGAGGTGACCCGCAAGCTGTTGTCCCAGTGGCCACCACTGAAGAGGAGCTTGCCGTCGTGAGAGACCACCAATGTCTTGGAGGACAACTCTGCCCCCGGAGCAAAAGGGCCGTAAAGGTAGCGTTGCGTCCTGGCAGGAGAAAGCAAGAAGAAGGTTGGAAGACATAAAGGAAGTTGAAGGAACTTCTCAGAATGTCCTTGCGGTGGGGGAAGAAGCTAGGACTCACTTTGGATTGGAGACAGTGGAGTCTTTGGTGAAGCTGAAGTAATTGGAGATGTTTTTATCGTACGGCAACCAGCTGTGAGTTCCCAGCAGCCCGTTGGCACTGACTGTGATCTAAACAAAGAGTGAGGAACATCAACTAAGAATGAGGGAGAAGAAGCAATGGGCTGGGGTGTGGGAATATTAGAAGGGACTTACTGAGTCAAGCCAAGGTCCGACATTTTGTTTCTCTTGGTGGCCATCTAGATGGGTCTGGATGGTCTCAAGCAAGATGAGAACTACCATCTTGTATGATTGTTTCTCCATAACTGATTTCTAACATAGAAGTGGCATGGATGGTGGATCTTGAAGATGGGTAGACCCCAACAGACCTCTAGGAATTTACCTAATCCCTTCTGAAGGCCATCCAAGTTAGTGCTAACCACCATATCTATTACAGTGAATTCCAGAAATTAATTAGCTCTGGATGAACAATGAATATTTATTTTGGACTGTTCTACACCTCCTTCCAAGGAAAAACTTGATGGATCAGCCCAGGATCTCTTAGTCCAGCATTTTGCTCCTCGTGGTGGCCAACTGGAGCTCCCAAGCAGGAGATGGACATATCCTTCTCTTGTTATTGTCCTGCAACTCAGATTGGGAGGCAGGTAGTTCCCAATTTGGAGGTAACATGGTGTCTTCAAGACTCACAGTCCTCAGTAGACTTGTCTTCCACCAATTTATTCATCCTCTTCTGAAGCCCGCTAGATGATCCTGCCCAGCATCCTCATCCCTTCTTGTGGAATGAGTTCCACAGGTGAACTCTGCGCTAAATGAGGAGGACCTTTCTTATATCTGTTCTAGATCTTCTCCCATTCAACCAAGTGGGTAACGGCAGTGGCTTATTTTGGGATCTACAGTTCTCCTATGTCAATGGTCCACTAGATCAACTTTCTAAAAAAATTGCTGGAGGAGACCAAGGATCCCGTCCCCCCCCCTTACCATCATGTCAGGAGATCCCTGAGTGATGAAAGAATGAGACTGATTCTTGGGCACGACCACCTGGACAAGCGAGATCCGTTCGCTGATGCTCTAAACAGAGAAGAGAAGACAAGCCACCATGTTTTTATGATCTGGTAAATTTTTAGAGGTCAGTCCCAAAAAATGTTTTTCCAAAAGATAACTGAATTTTCTTGGTTTTTCTTTTCCTTGAACAGTTTTTGTTTCTCATCCAAATACCTTCTCCAGTTCCTTCAGCCCGTCTATGTGGTCGTTAAGTGAACCCAGCTTCCCCCACAATGACTGACTGAGAAGGTTGCAAACAGCGATCAGGTGACCCTGTGACGCTGCAACTGTTGTTAAGTACAGGTAATCCTCAACTTGCGACCACAACTGAGCCCAGATTTTCTGTTGCTAATTGAGACATTCGTTAAGTAAATTTTGCTCTATCTTTCTTCCCGCAGTTGTTAAGTGAATCACGGCAGTTGTTAAGTTAAGAACACGGTTGTTAAGTGAATCTGGCTTTCCCGTTGATTTTGCTTGTCAGAAGATCACAAAAGAGGGATCATGTGACTCTGGGACACTGCAATGGTCATAAGTGTGAGTCAGTTCCCAAGCATCAGAATTTTGATCACATGACCGTGGAGGATGCTGCAACGGTGCTAGGTGTGAAAAACGGTCATAAGTCACTTTTTTGGGTGCCGTTGTTACTCTGAATGGTCACTAAGTGAACTTTCGTAAGTTGAGGACTACCTGTACATACTGGTTGCCTAGCACCTGAATTCTTGGGGGTACTGAGACGGTCATAAGTGTGAGAACCGCTTTTCTCAGCGTCGTTGTAACTTCAAAGGATCACTAAACGAATGGTCGTAAGTTGAGGACTTCCCGTATTGGTGGCTAGATGGGAAGCAGTCAAAACAACTCTTCTTTTCACCTCAATGCGGGAAAGACTTACTTCAGCGAAGAACGATTTGAGCTGATCCAGATTCTCAAAAATATTCGGTGAATAAGTGTCCAGCCGAGAAAGTCTCCTGGCTGCATTTTCAGCTGAGAAACGGGCCGGGTGAGGCTCCTGCAGAGAAGGTGGAGAAGAAAAACAGTGTCAATTTTACAAGGAGTTTTCATTTTCCCTGAAGACATAGGCCATCCTCGACTTATGACCACAATTCAACCCAAAATTTCTCTTGCTGAGACAGTTGTTAAGAGAGTGCTGCCCCATTTTACAACCTTTCTTGCTGCAGTCATTAAGGGAATCAATGTAGTTGTTATGTTAATCACACAGTTGTTAAGTGAATCTGGCTTCCCCCTTTGACTTTGTCAGAAGGTCATAAAAGGAGATCACATGATCCTGGGACACTGACTTTGTCAGAAGGTCATAAAAGGAGATCACGTGATCCTGGGACACTGCAACCATCATAAATATGAGTCAGTTGTCAAGTATCTAAATTTTGATCACATGACCTTGGGGACACTGCAATGGTCATAAGTGTGAAACATGGTCATAATTTACTATTGTTAGCACTGTTGTAATTTTAAATGGTGACTAAACAAAACCTACTTAACAACTGTCTCGCTTAGAAACCGGCCAACAATTTTGGCTCCCATTGTGGTTGTAAGCTGAGAACTACCTGTAAAACGAAAGCTTAAACTTTTAAAATGACCGTTCTTCAATATTTAAGGAAGGTCTTTCTTCAATTCCTCAACCATTCACAGGTCTTGTCCAACCTTTCTCCATCTTCAAGATTTTCTTCACTACAGCTCACTCACTCCTTGATTTACGAGGGTGCTGCGATGGTCGTAAATGCTAAAACCAGTCAAAACTCATTGTTTTCACTGCTGTTGTAATTTCGAACCGTCATTAAACAAATGGTTTTAAGTCAAGGACAACCTGTACTTTTTTACTGCTGATTCTGGCTAGGTCCTAAACACAACAGCTGCAATTATTATTGACCCCTGGTACCTTCAACAGCTGGCAGGGGGTCTGCCCAAAGTTACTGATGATGCCTTCCAAAGCCTTGCGTTGCGTTTCATCTGCAATCGCGTCCAAGTCAACTGCCCCTAAGTGAAAATAGCAGGTGTAAGACCGAAACGACTGGCTGCATAGTGTACAGTATAGTACAGAGAAATGGAACAAGTTGTTTTGACATCTTGTTGGATGCAGAGCTGAACAATAATCAAAGGATTGTTTTATCTACCTTGATCCTCTGCTCCTGGACAATTCGCCGCTCTGACTCACTGCGGCCAACTCGCTACGACGGACACCCCCTGGTCAACTTGTCCCAGCTGACTCACTGCGGGACAATTCACTGCAGCCAATGTGCCATGGGAATATTTGTCACGGGACAATTCAACACACGGGATAGGTGTACTATTATCTGCCACTGTTTCTTCGACATTATTTTAATTTTTGTCAAAATGTGACAACATTTTGTCATTTTTGTGAATGACAAAAATTAAAATACTGCATTTTTCCGTCTATAAGATGCACCCTTGTATAAGATGCCCCCCAGTTACTGGTACTTCTCGGTACCATCACACAAGGGAGGCGACTTCCTCCAATCAGATGCCGCTCTGAGGGCTTAGTCCCGCCTACCTCCTCAGCCGTCAATCACTGTATTGAGGCGGTTTCCTGGGGCCTCTTGCGACTTCAGCCTGAGCTGCGCTGGTGAAAAAGGGGTCATAGAAGTCGGCTTCGGTGGGACCGGCGGCATCCTTGGGGCAGTGCGATCCTCCAGCACCAGGTGGCATGGCAGCGGCATGTAAAGAACCCACACTGGCATGCCCTGGGCTGTGGAGGTTTTTTTTTATTATTTTATTTATTTTTATATATATATATATTAAAATTTATAGACCGCCCCACTCCCGCAGGACTCCGGGCGGCTAACAATAAAAACACAACATAACTTAACAAGACAAACAATACAAAGACATTCATCCAGGGGTCAGATTTTATAAACCCCAGTCTTGCCGGAAAAGCCAGGTCTTAAGCAGCTTGCGGAAACCAACAGGGTGGGAGTGGTCCTAATCTCTGGGGGGAGCTGGTTCCAAGAAGTGGGCGCCATCACAGAGAAAGCCCTCCCCCGCGGCCCCGCCAAATGGCACTGCTTGGCCGACGGGACCTGAAGGAGGCCCAGCCTGTGGGATCCAACCGGACGAAGGGAACTATGAGGTAGTAGGCGGTCTCGCAAATAGCCTGGCCCTGAGCCATATAGGGCTTTAAAGGTAATAACCAACACCTTGAATTGGACCCGGAGACCAATAGGCAACCAGTGCAGCTCGCGGAGAATAGGTGTAACGTGGGTGTACCGAGGAGCACCCACTATCACTCACGCAGCTGCATTCTGGACCAACTGTAGTCTCCGAATACTTTTCAAGGGTAACCCCATGTAAAGGTTACCATTATTTTTCTGTGTATAAGACACTGCACTTGTATAAGGCGCACCTGGTTTTTGAACAGGGTGCTTGCAGGAAAAAATAGCGTCTTATACACGGAAAAACACGGTAATGTCAACAAATCAGTGGAGGACAACAGTACATTATCCTGTGTTGAATTGTCCCAAAGAGTGTTGTCCCGTGGAGTTAGCTGTGAATTGGCCAGGGCGAGCCAGTGGGAGCGAGTTGTTCCATCCTGGGTTCTGGTAGCCCCCCCACCCAATTATCGCAGTGTCTCTTGCAAAGAAAATTGAGAGGATTGCTAATTTGTATAGAATGCTCGGCCCGTCCGTGGGAAGAGAGCATCCCTCCCTTAAAATCCCTGGTTTGTCTTCCTACCTTCATAAGTGCAATAATAGAACACATTTAGGGCCTCCACAGCTGCTGGCCCCCTCTGCTTATAGCCAAAGATCAAGTCGATCCATTCATGCAAATGGGCTGAGACATACTCCGATTCCTGCAGAGGAAGCAACCCAGAGACGGGACGTCAAACCGGCAAATTGCAGTCTGTTCTTCCCACAGGAAAACAACCCAACTCAATTCACCCTGGGGCGAGGAAACCATACCCAAACGAGGACACCCAGACGTGTATTTAAAACTTTGAAACTGAGAGATAACTAGACAACTCTTATTCTGTTGGGTCAGCGTTTCAGAAATGCTTCCCTGTCTAAAACAATCAACTTCCTGCAGGCTTCCCCAATAACTTCTTTTAGGAAGTTGGCCAGAACGTTGGAAATGACAATTATGTGACCCTGGCAGCACAACAGTGTAGCAACATGGCAATATGAAACAGCCTCACCTCTGCCAAATTTCAAACCTATGGGACTCATGAATCCCGGATTTTAGATGCATTTTGTAAGTTAGCCTACTTGAGATATACCGATTCAAGAATTATTGGCCTATGTTGCACCATTTGCCCAGCTGAAGGCTACAAACAGACACGAGAGCTTTAGTAGTATCTAAGTCAGGGGTAGGCAACTTTGGCTCTTTTATGACTCATGGACTTCAACTCCCAGAATTCCTGAGCCAGCTATGCTGGCTCAGGAATTCTGGGAGTTGAAGTCCATGAGTCATAAAAGAGCCAAGGTTGCCTACCCCTGATCTAGGTAGAAGAGAATTTCTGTAGCGCAGATGCACTGATGATGTTCCCTATTTGGGTCATGAAACGTCTGCAAGGAAACCACCAGCTCTGAGGCCACCAAGGACCCCACAATTCTAGATTTGCCCAGACTTTTAGAGGCGCTTTGCAAATACGACCTTCCCAGCCACCCCAGTGTGCAGCCAGCAATTCGTTTCACATACAAGTGCTTGCCGATGTTTGTGGATAAAATCTTCTGGGGATTTGGCCCACTTGGGAAGGACCACGTCCGTGACTTTCTCGTTCGATATCTGAAGAGAGCCGAGATCGAAACCTGCGGAAGAGAAGAAAGAGGAAGGTTGCAATCATTTTCAAGACATTTGCTGGCTAAAAGGGAAAGAGGATAAACTCCAGGTGGAAATATAAATATATTATCGTGTAATATAAAGATATATATTATAAACACATGCAGATAGTTCTTGACTGACAGCCACAATTGAGCCCCAAATTTATGTTGCTCAATGAGATATTTGTTAAGTGAGTTTTGCCCCATTTTACAACTTTTCTTTACCCGGTTGTTAAGTGAATCACTGCAGTTGTTAGTCTCACAATTCTTATGTGAATCTGGCTTCCCCCATTGACTTTGCTTGTCAGAAGGTCACAAAAGGAGATCATGTGACCCTGGGACACTGCGACCGTCATAAATACGAGTCAGTTGCCAAGTGTCTGAATTTTGATGGGGAGGCTGCAACGGTCGTAAGAGTGAAAAACGGTCGTAGGTCATTTTTTTCACTGCTGTTGTAACTTTGAAATGTCACTAAATGAAGTGTTTTAAGTGAAGGACGACTTGTAATGCTTTGGACCCAAACTCTGATATCTTGCATCCAATTTCTCTGCTAGACACGCAAACGGCCTGCTTGCTGGGGACACGCCTTACCGTTCTGGTTCTCCAGAAAATCGGTAAAGTAGAAGAACTCCGGGATCAATTCCTTCACGTCCACTGGGTTCTCCAAACGAGCCTGCCAAGCGGCGGGAACCGAGTGGAACTGACGATCGGAGCAATCAAACCTGGGACAGGAACAGAAGACAGGAATAACAAGGGTTCTCGCCAAGGACGGAACGTGCAGATGCAACATCAGCCTGATCTCACGGGGTTAGGTTGACAACAAAATAACCCAATCAAATTCATTGTGGGACCCTAACCCCGTTCCCCAAATCAAACTTTTGATGAATTGGGGAAATCTGGACATTAGCGGGGTTTGGAGTGAAACGAGGATCCTATCACAGTTGGGATCAACGGCCCAGGGTCGCGCTCCAGCTCACCTCCCGCTCTGCAGCTGGATATGCAAGGTTGTGAACGGCTCTGTGCGAATCAGGTAGTGCATGACGCCCGCTGCGTTGGAGTAGTGGGTGCCGTAGTGGAATTTGTCAATCATCCCTGTCGGGTCCTCAAAGCTCTCGTATCTGAAATGATGGACACAACAAGATCAGGAGAGGCTGACACAAAGGATGATGGGATCCCTTGATAAGATTTGAGGATCTGCTCTGCAAATCCATTTGTGGATTCCTGCCTTATGAGGTGGAATGGAGTCCCAAAGATCCACCCAGAATACACAATGTGTTCCAAGATCAAGCTCAATGTCGAATTGCATGGGGAACGACATTCCTAAAGCCACCACGTACATCTCTCCAGGACGGGGGTAGGCCACCTTGGCTCTTTTATGACTCGTGGACTTCAACTCCCAGAATTCCTGAGCCAGCCTGGCTCAGCTTGGAAATATCTCCCTTTCCCCTCAGCATGGCTGGCTCAGGAATTCTGGGAGTTGAAGCCCACGAGTCATAAAAGAGCCAAGGTGGCCTACCTCTGCTTCAAATGGGAAGCTGGCAGCTGCTCGTTCATGGAGAATTTCGTCAAATCTGATGACTTACAACTGGTAGATCTCAATTCGTGACAGCAATGGAGTTGGTGGTTGTAAGTTGTGACAGTTGTGATGTGATCACCTCACTTGATGATCCCAAACTAATCTCTTCCTATTGCTGTATTAAGTGACCGCTTGGGTCGTGAAGTGAAATTCAGGGTGCCTGGGGAAGTCTAGCACAGGCTTGCTGATTTGGGATTCCCAAGACCTCCCCCAACACCTGTGTTCTGCTTCCCACATCATGGGGACCCCACAGACTTTGAGGCCTGCTTCACCTCGCCATCAGATCCCCAAGAACTGCAGGGACCCAGCAGGGCAAGATGAGGGTGATAGACAGGAGGTGCCGTACAGTATTCTTGAAGTTGATCGTAAGGATGAATGACTGTGTGGATGCTGCAGTAGCCGTAACGGGGTCATAGCTTTGGGGGGTCAGTTCTAACTGTCAGAATCCAATTATATTTCATCTCTAGTTATCAATTATAAAAAAACCCATTTCTGCCTTCTCTGGATTCTGTCATACGATGAAGGGAAGGGGGTGAACAAAGGGGCTTTATGGCCCTCACTTCCTTCGGTACACTTCAGAAGAATTGGATGTGTGTATGTGTGTATCACTAAAAGGACTAACCATAACAAAGGGGCTATTACCTTTCATGTAATTTTCTCTGAAGTCTTCAGAGAAGGGGGTGGGAGTGTAATGCCTGAGACTGTCGCTGGAAGAGGGGGGTGATTGGGTGGGGCTACTGGGGAACCTCTTAAAACAGTGATTCTCAACCTTTCTAATGCCGTGACCCCATAATACAGTTCCCCATGTTGTGGTGACCCCCAAGTGGGTGTGGCCACCAATAAGAGGGAGTAGGACAGCTAGGGAAAAGGGAAAAAAATGGCGGACAGCATGGTTTGGCGACCCCCGTGAAATGGTCATTTGACCCCAAATGGGGTCCCGACCCACAGGTTGAGAACCACTGCCTTAAAACCTTGAATGGGAGAGCTTGGACCCCAAGTCCTGTCTAGAACGCCTGCAACCATTTTCTCTTAATAAAGGATGCCTGTTGGAAGAACTATTCCAAGAGTTCTGTCTTCTTAAGATGCAAAGTGGGGTGGGTCCTTTCACTAACTCCAAATGGTCACTAAACAATTGGTCACATGTCATGAACTACCCATACAGCAGAGTTCTGCCTGTGCACACACTCGCACTAAGGTCGGGTGTAGTGGCCCAGGTTTTTTTGCAGGCTGTGCTCCTTCCAATAGGGAGACCTCTGTGGGGTGCCCCATATTTATTTCACCCCAATGAATTTTGAAAAGCTCCTTTGCCAAGCATGCCAGGGGGGCTCTCCTCTCCCTGAGCATTGTGTAACTGAATACATGTTTCATGCAGAAGTTCTGTAATTCACTTTTACTGCTGGGCAGATGAGTTGGCCTTCAGCTCCCAGAATCCCTAGCAAGGATTCCAGTGGCGAGGGATTCTGGGAAGTGAAGTCCAGTGCATTGGCAAGGCTTCAAATGGGCAGGCCAGGATTGGCCAAATTTTTAAAGAACGACAGGTAGGGACGAGAATTGTGTTGCTGAAGAAGTTATGCGAATTGCACCCAGTTTTACATCTTTCTTTGCCACGGTTGCTAAGTGAATCACTACAGTTGTTAAGTGAATCATATGGTTGTTAAGTGAATCTGGCTTTGCCCACTGACTTTGCTTGTCGGACATTTGCTGGGAAGGTCACAAATGGTGATCACATGACCTTGGGAGCCTGTAACCATGGCAAATACATGCCAGATTGCCCAGCGCCTGAATTGGGATAACTCGACTGTGGGGAAGTTGCAATGGTTATATGTACGAGGACCTGTCGTAAATCACGTCTAAGGAAATTCTCAGTCATCTAGGTCACAGTTATCCCAAAGGTGCCTTTTCACGAGGCAACAGGACTTTGTTTCTCTTTGAAAAACAGGACAGCACAGGAAATGTTCACAACCTCGCACTCACTTCTCCTTGACAGCCTTGGCGTGTTTCTCATTGGCCACTCCGATGGGCTTGGACAGATCCCGGAAAACGGCCGGGTTGTTCAGATCCAGCGTCTCCGAGAGGTAATCTTGCAGGATCCAGGGGAACTGAACGAGAGGGAGAAAAAAAAAAAAGATGCTCCAACTCCATCTTGGGGCGACAGAGGAGGGGTTTTTTTGGAAGACCCCTCCCCTTTTCTAAGCCTCCCCCCTTTATTCTGGGGTCTTACCACGGGATATTGAGAAAGATCGTTGTAGGTGCGTCCCGCAATCGTGTTCAGCTGTATGAGGTATTCAAAGTTGGAGATCTCCCTGTAGACCCATTTCTGGAGGAGGAAAACAAAGGGATCCACTGAGATATAACGGGTGGACACAGGAACAGGGGAAAAAATGAGGAGGGGGGGAAGATTGACCCTCAAGACTTTTCAATCTTGGGATGGTCTGTCTTGCCGCACGTGATAAAAAAAGAAAGCGAAGGTTCTAAATTTGATAAACCTACTGGAAAGCAGGATAATAGAAACATTAATAATAATTATTAATAATAGAAACCTTCAGCTCCCATTGCCGAAGCTGAAGGCAATAGATGGGCCTTGGAGACTCTTCTCCAGATTTTTACAGATAGTCCTTGACTTACAACCATTCATTTAGTGACCATTGGAAGGCACTGAAAAAATTTACTTAGGACCGTTTTTCATACTTATGACCTTTGCAGCATCCCTGGGTCATGTGATCCAAATTAAGATGCTTGGCAACTGACTCGTATTTATGACGGTCGCAGTGTCCTGGGGTCACGTGATCCCCTTTTGCGACATTCTGACAAGCAAAGTCAAAGGGGGAAAGCCGGATTCACTTAACGACCATGTTGCTAACTTAAAAACTGCAGTGATTTACTTAACAACAGTGGCAAGAAAGGTTATAAAATGAGGCAAAGCTCACAACGTCTTGCTTAAGAACAAACATTTTGGCATTAATTTTGGTCATAAATTGAGGACTACCTGTATACTGGGGAAAGAGAGAGGACGACGGGTCAAATCCACCTGTGGACAACATGCCTTTGACATCAAATACTTTGAACCCAGGTAGTGCTTGAAGTATGACCACAACGAAGACGAGAATTTCCGCTGCTAAGCAAGGCGGCTATTAAATGAGGCATGCTCATTTATGTCATTTTTTGGCAAGTTAGCTAAGTGAATCGCTGCAGTTGTTGAGCAAATGATGCAGTCGCTAAGAGGATCCGGCTTCCCCACTGATTGTGCCGGTTGGAAGATGGCCAAGGGTTATCATGGGATCCCAGGACGTTGCAACTGTTGTAAATATACACCGGTTGTCAAATGCCTGAATTTTAATCACTTGGCTGTTGGGATACAAAGATGGTCATAAGTGTGAGGCTGGATCATAAGTGGCTTTTTTCAGGGCTGTCGAACGGTCTCTAAATGTATGTCAAGGACTAGCCGGGTAGAGAGAGATGAAACAAATTCATGTGGCATTCGATTGGTGGCTGAATCAGGTGGGATCTCCGGCTCTTCCCAAACGGGGAAGGGCACACCTGCCCAAGGAGCGGTGCGGAAAGTTGGAGAAAGAGGTTTACCTGAGTCAGTCCGGAGGCCTTGAGCAGGTCCTGCGGGGAGCGGCTGCCTTGGTAGATCTGGCTGGGAAGCTGCAAGCTGAGGATGGTGGAGTAGACCTTGTTCCTCACCTGGGAGGGAGGGAGGGAGCGGTAGGTGAGGGAGCGGTCCTGAGGCAACCATTATTTTATTCACGCTTTATTACACGTTTTATTTTTTATTTTACTTTATATTTTATTTTGCTTTATTATTACTTTGCTTTATTTTACTTATTTCACTTTACCTATTTTATTTTTATATTATTTCATTTTTATTTTATATTAATTATTTTATTTTATATTTTTTTGTTCTATTTTATTTTTTAAAATTTATTTTATTTTATATTTTATTTTATTTTGATTTTTATATTATTTTAATTTCATTTTAACAATTTTATTTTCTATTCCATTTTATTTTTATTAAATTTATTTTACTTATTTTATTTTCTATTTTATTTTATGTTGGTCTATTTTACTTATTTTATTTTTTATTAATTATATTATATTATTTTTGTTTTATTTTATTTTTATTAATATTTTATATCCTACTTTACTTTTAATTCAATTCGATTCAATTCAGTTTAATTCAATTTATTTCTATCCCGTCTGTATTATTTTTATAAGTAACTGAAGGCAGTAAAGACATCCAACATGTGTTCCTCCTCACAACAATCCTGTGAGGTGGGCTGGCGTGAGAGGAAGGGATTGGACCAAAGTCACCAAGCTGGCTTTCAAGCCTAAAGGAGGACAAGAACTCACCACCTATTGTAGTGGTTCTCAACCTGTGGGGTCGAACGACCATTTCACGGGGTCGCCAAACAACACAGTCCGCCATTTTTTCCCCCTTTTCCTTAGCTGTGCTACTCCCTTTTATTCTGTTGGCTTTTGAAAGCCAATAGAATAAACTCTGCAAACGGTGCTGCACCAGTTGAGTAGTCCTCGACTTACGACCGGTTGAGTAGTCTTCGACTTACGACTGGTTGGGGGTGGCGGCATTAAAAAGGTTGAGAACCACTAACCTATTGCTTTCCATCCTGGTGCCTTAACCACTAGATCAGATTTCTCTATTTCCAAGATGGCACCTGCACCTAGTTTGTCTCCCCCCGCCCCCCGCACACCTTTTCCAAGGGAAGGAAGCTCCCATTACCATTTTCTTGAAGTTGAGGAAATAGTTTGCCTGGTCGATGAAAAAGAACTCCAAGGCCGAACGGCGCAGGTTGTAACGGCGCAGGTGCAGCTCCCGGAGCTGAGAGAGTGGACGCTTGAAGTCGTGTCCAATACCTACGAGTAAACATTAAGTGTGAAAAACGGTCATGGAACTTTTTTTCAGTGCTGTTGTAAATTCGGTCACTAAATGAATCGTTGTAAGTTGGGGACTACTGGTATGGTACATGCCGGAGGGAAGAAACTATCTCTCTTAACATCTTTACAGGCCATGCTGGGATTCCAATAATTTAACAACTGGTTCTTTGCCCTAATGATTCTTTTAAGTATAAAAAAAGCACCCTGGGAAAAGCGGACTGTGTGTGCACTTGTCTTGCGCTTGCCCTGTGTCCACTATGCTTTCCATGGTGCACTGCAGCTGATCTGAGGCCGCTAGCCAGGCACCAAAGGGCCACCTAAAACAGCGGAGTCTGTGTGTGCTCCTTCCTTGCCTGTGTCAGCCATGCTCTCCACAGTGCGCTGCAGCTGATCCAAGGTGTGGAAAGCAGGTCTGACGGGGGACTGCATAGCAGGTGCGCACACAGACTCTGCTGTTTTCGACGGTGCTTCGGTGCCTGGCCGGCCACTTTGAATCAGCTGCAGCACGTCGTGGAGAGCGTGGTGGACATGGGTAAGGCAGGCGCGCACACAACTCCACTGTTTTTGGTAGCACTTCGGTGCCTGGCCGGGCACCTTAGATCAGCACAATGCGTCGTGGAGAGCATGGCGGACACGGGGTGAGCATGAGGCAGGTGCGCACACAGACTCTGCTGTTTTTGATGGTGCTTCAGTGCCTTGAATCAGCTGCAGCGCGTCGTGGAGAGCATGGCGGACATGGGTAAGGCAGGCGCGCACACAGACTCCACTGTTTTTGACAGCACTTCGGTGCCTGGCCGGCCACCTCAGATCAGCACAGTGCGTCGTGGAGAGCATGGCGGACGCGGGGTGAGCACGAGGCAGGTGCGCACACAGACTCTGCTTTTCTCAAGTGCCATTTTTAACAACCGGTTCACTGAACTCAAGAAAAAAGTAGGTAGCGATTCTGCTTAACCGGTGTGAACCGGCTGAATCCCACCACTGTCTACAGGTATCAACACAGGAAGTCCTTGACTTGCAACTGATCGTTTGAAGTTACAAGGGCACTGAAAAAAGGGACTTAACGATTGGTTTTTACTCTTATGACTGAGCACAATGCTGTTCGTAAGCCGAGGACAATTGGCGCCCTTCCTGCTATCTCCCGAGGCCATTCTCGCATCCCGTTGCACTCACTTACCGTCCTCGGTCTCCTCTTTCTCACTGCTGCTGTCATAAAAATAGATCTGTTGTGTGGTGACCTCCAGGCGCCCCGGGATCACAGCCACAACAGTGATGAGTTCGCAATCCTCCGAGATGAGCAGTTTCTCTCGCTGGTTTTGCTCTTTGGCTTCTAGCCTGCAAGAGAGACAGAGAGTTTGAACCTGCCTGACGACTTCTGATGCTGGTGGCCTCCTCGGGAACTTGCAGCTGGCGAGGAAAAGGTGGGAAGATGTAAAAACCTAAAGTGAGCTAAAAAAATGAAGGATGTCCCTTTTGCTGCTAGACAGAGAGGAAGCCTGAAGAGGACTTAGTATAAGATCTACGGCAGCGGTTCTCCACCTGTGGATCGGGACCCCATTTGGGGTCGAACGACCATTTCACGGGGGTCGCCAAACAACGCAGTCCGCCATTTCTCCCCCCTTTTCCTTAGCTGTGCTCCTCCCTTTTATTCTATTGGCTTTGAAAGCCAATAGAAGAGACTCTCTTGAATAGAGTCTCATTCTATTGGCTTTCCAAAGCCAATAGGAATTGTCCAGGCTGGCTCTGCCCTGCTGAGCCCGCCAAAAGTCCCATTCTGCTGCACCAGTTGAGTAGTCCTCGACTTACGACCGGTTGGGGGTCGCGGCATTAAAAAGGTTGAGAACCACTGATCTACGGAGACAAGGGCAGTGTCCTTGGTGCTCTCTGAGGTTACTGGTTTTCTTGCAAGCGTTTCGTAATGCAACTAGGGAACATCATCAATGGGAGGAGGAGGAGGAGGAGGAAGAGGGGGAGAAGGGGGAGGGGGAGGAGGACTGTGGGGTCCTTGGTGGTCTCTGATTTTGGTTATTTTCTTGCAGACATTTCATGGCCCAACTAGCTAACATCATCAGTGCTAGAAGAGAGTGGAGACTATGGAGAGAAGGAGGAGGACGATGACGACTGTGGGGTCCTTGGTGTTCTCTGAGCTGGGTGATTTTCTTGCAGACATTTCATGACCCAACTAGGGAACGTCATCAGTGCTAGAAGGGAGGAGGAGGAGGAGGAGGAGGAGGAGGAGGAGGAGGAAGAAGATTGTGGGGTCCTGGGTGCTCTCTGAGCTGGGTGGTCTTCTTGCAGACGTTTCATGACCCAACTAGGGAACATCATCAGTGCTGGAAGGGACAGGGGTTGCGCAGATGAGAAGGAGAAGGAGGAGGACGACGATGACTCTGGAATCTTTGATAAGACCCCTTCTTGGGGAGGCATGACAAAACTCACTGATTGTCCAAGAATGAGAAGTCTTCTTCTGCCAGTTGATCGTCCTGCATCTCACTGACTTTGGCTTCTTTGGCCACCGCTAAAGGTAGGGATTCTGCCGGGTTGTGCAAGCCATCCGCACCTAGAAAGACGTGGAATTGAATGGTTACCAATTATTATTCCCACTTCTGGTTGGGCGAATTCTGGAAGTTGAAGTCCACACAACTTCAAGGGGTCAAGGTTGAGGAACACCACCTTAATCTTTTGACACAAAGAGCCAATTTCAGCCTGGGAACTTCAGGACAACTTAACAACTTGGAGACTTCTTCTAGGTCAGTGGTTCTCAACCTTTTTAATGCTGCGACCCCCCCCAACCGGTCGTAAGTTGAGGACTACTCAACCGGTCGTAAGTCGAGGACTACTCAACTGGTGCAGCACCGTTTGCAGAATCGGACTTTTGGCAGGCTCAGCAGGGCAGAGACAGCCTGGACAATTCCTATTGGCTTTTGAAAGCCAATAGAATTAGACTCTATTCAAGAGAGTCTATTCTATTGGCTTTCAAAAGCCAATAAAATAAAAGGGAGTAGCACAGCTAAGGAAAGGGGCGGAAAAATGGCAGACTGCGTTGTTTGGCGACCCCCGCGAAATGGTCGTTCAACCCCAAATGGGGTCCCGACCCACAGGTGGAGAACCACTGTTCTAGGTTTTTTGATCCTGACTAGTGAGAACCATCCGTGTCTATCCTAGAAGGAACCAAGCCCTTTGCGTCACCCGTTTTCAACTTGCAAGTTCTCATTCTCACAATCTCTTCTCACCAAGATTGTCTCGCAAGGCGCTGGCTTCTGTGTGGAGGTCAAAATGGTGATTGGGCACCAACTTGAGTCTCATTCGGGAGTAGGTCTCCACGTTGGACAGCTTCCAGCGGATCTCAGGTGGATTCCTGGATGGAGACAAGTGAGAGGATGGGGGTTTTTTGGGGGCAGAAAACATGCTCAGTTCATGAATCTCTACAGGCTAACGGTTAAATTAGTAACATTATTATCAATTTTATTTGTATTAAAATTTTTATAATTTTTAAAATAATTTTACAATTAAAATTTAACTTTAGTACAATTTAGGAATTTTAGGAAATTTTAGAAAAGTAATTACTTCTATTGATTTTATAAAATTAATTTACAATTTTATAAAAAAATGTTTCATGAAACATTATCATCCTCACCATCATGATAAAAATTAAAGTAAAATTAAATTTTAATTTTTTTTTTTAAAAAATAACCTTATAAAAGTTGTAGTGGATTATCTGTAAATAAAATTAAATTTAAGAAAAGGCCCAAAAAAAGGGGGGGGTAGAATCCACCCCTTCCCAGAGCCCATGTAAGATCTTTCAGGGGCTTTCGATAGATCAGTGGTTCTCAACCTTTTTAATGCCGCGACCCCCAACCGGTCGTAAGTTGAGGACTACTCAACCGGTCGTAAGTCGAGGACTATTCAACTGGTGCAGCACCGTTTGCAGAATGGGACTTTTGGCGGGCTCAGCAGAGCAGAGACAGCCTGGACAATTCCTATTGGCTTTTGAAAGCCAATAGAATTAGACTCTATTCAAGAGAGTCTATTCTATTGGCTTTCAAAAGCTGATAGAATAAAAGGGAGTAGCATAGCTAAGGAAAAGGGGGGGAAAATGGCGGATAGCCTTGTTTGGCGACCCCCGTGAAATGGTCGTTCGACCCCAAATGGGGTCCCGACCCACAGGTGGAGAACCACTGGAATAGACTGAAGGGTTGGGGGAGCTTCAAGGGAGACCCCCCCCCCACTTACCGATCAGCCCAGGCCGAGCGCTGTGAAGTCAGCAGCCGTTGCAAAGCCCGCCATTGCTTCAAGACTGTGTTGTGGTGATGGTTGATCTGCTTCAGCATATTTGTGTGTCGGATGTTTTCGTACTTGGCCCGTTTCATTACAGGCTCCAGAATGAGGTCCTAAGAAAAAGCAAGATGGGAAAAGGTGCAAATGCAGATAATTCTTGACTTACAACAGGGATCCACTGAGATCCACGGGTGGACACAGGAACAGGTAAAAAAATGAGGAGGGGGGAGATTGACCCTCAAGACTTTTCAATCTTGAGATTGTCTGTCTTGCCGCACGTGAGAAAAAAAGAAAGCGAAGGTTCTAAATTTGATCAACCTACCGGAAATCAGGATAATAGAAACATTAATAATAATAATAATAAAAACCTTCAGCTCCCGTTGCCGAAGCTGAAGGCAATAGCTGGGCCTGGAGACTCTTCTCCAGATTTTTACAGATAGTCCTTGACTTACAACCATTCATTTAGTGACTGTTTGAAGGCACTGAAAAAATTTACTTAGGACCGTTTTTCACACTTACGACTTAATACCAATTTTTAAAGGGAAAAGTATACAGGTAGTCATTCTCTTATGTTTAGTGTCTGTTCGAAGTTACAACTTAGGAGCGTTTTTCGCACTTATGACTATTGCAGCACCCCGCGGGTTACGTGATCCAAATTAAGACGCTTGGTAACTGACTCATATTTATGACGGTCGCAGGGTCACGTGATCCTGCTTTACGACCAGCAAAGTCAATGGGGAAGCCGGATTCACTTAACAACCATGTGACTAATTTAACAGCTGCAGTGATTCACTTAACAACGGTGGCAAGAAAGGTCATAAAATGGGGCAAAACTCACTGAACCACTGTCTTGTTTAGCAACAGAAATCTGGGGCTCAAATTTGGTCATAATCAAGGTCTGCTTGTGCTTTCGACTTAACGATCGTAATTGGGACCAGTGTTTCCTTTACAGCTTATCCTCTGGTGCTTGTTTGAAGTTATAATGCCCTTGAAAAATGGGATCTATGATCGGTCCTCCCACTTATGACGGTCACAGGATTCCCACGGTCACATGATCAAAATTTTGACACTCAGTAACCAGAGTGTATTTACAACAGTTGCAATACCCATTTGGCATCTTCCCAGCTGACTTCCAAAAAGTAAAATCGATGGGGAAGCTAGATTCATTTAACAACTAGATCAGGGCTAGGCAACTGAAGTCCATGAGTCATAAAAGAGCCAAGGTTGCCTAGCCTTGGACTAGACCCACCTGTCCGCCTCGTTACATCCCTGCAAGTCTACCATCCATCTACTTACACTTCCATCTGTCTAACCATCCACTTGCCCACCTAACCATCCACTTGCCTGCCTGTCTACACTGCTGTCCAGTACCTCCACACCTGCTCACCTATCTGTCTACCTGCACACCTTCCCGCCTAACCACCCACCTGCCTGTCTACCTGCACACCTGTCCACTACTTACAGACCTGCCACCTAACCACCCACCTGCCTATCTGTCCACTATCTGCAAACCTGACTAACCAGCCACCTACCCACCTACCTATTTACAACCTCGTCCACCTACCTGCCCATCTATCTGTACATCTTCCTGCCTAACCACCCACTGCCCGTCTACTTGCACACATGTCCACTACCTACAGACCTACCGCCTAACCACTCACTTGCCTACCTGTCCACTACCTGCAAACCTGACTAACCAGCCACCTATTTACAACCTTGTCCACCTACCTGCCCACTTGCCCATCTACCTGAACACCTTCCTGCCTAACCACCCACTTCCCATCTACCTGCACACCTGTCCACTACCTACAGACCTGCCCGCCTAATCACTCACCTGCCCACTACCTGCACATCTGCCTAACCAGCCACTTGCCTACCTATTTACAACCTTGCCCACCTACCTTCACACCTGCACATCTACCTGCACATCTTCCCACCTAACCACCCACCTTCCCGTCTATCTGCACATATATCCATTACCTACAGACCTGCCGCCTAAGCACCCACCTATCTACCTGTCCACTACCTGTACACTTGCCTAACCAACCTGCCCATCTATTTACAACCTCACCCACCTACCTGCACACCTGACCAACTAACCACCCATCTGACCATCTTCACACCTGCTCTACACCTACCTGCCTACCTATCTAGTTACACATCTGCCTACCTAATTATCCATCTGACCACATACCTACATACCTGCTCACTTAATTGCCCATCTGCCCACCTACCTAGATAACTGCCTAACCATCCATCTGCCTACCAACTGATCCACCTGCCCACCTACTACCTACATATTTGACCCACCTACCCACTTGTCTGTCACCTTCCTTTGTACCTGCCCACCTAACAGCCCACCTGCACATCTTCCTACACCTGCGTGCCCATCTACCTGGAACTTCCTCCGGCTCTCGGCTTTCTCCTTCTCCCTCCGCTGATTGCTGCTCATCAAGGCGTCGTAGCAGGAGTTCCAGAAATTCGACATGTGGTCATGGCTCTTGGCAAACGTGTCCATTTCAAACTGGGCCATGGTGGGCTGTACCTGGGAGGGAGACGCAGCTGGAAATGTCACTAAGCAGGACAGTGAGAGGACACAAAGGGGCAGGTAAAACTCAACGTTTTGAAAACAGAAGGTTCTGGAGGACAGACAAAAGTTGCTAAAGGATCGGCCATCGGTTGAGCATTACCTGTACACGGAAGAAGGTCCACAGGTGTTGAGTGCAGGACAGGAGTTGGACCAGAAGCACAGGCCCCACCGAGGAGAGGGAGGGAGGAGGACTGGTGCTCTCTGAGTTTGGTTATTTTCTTGCAGACGTTTCATGGCCCAACTAGCTAACATCATCAATGCTAGAAGAGAGTGGGGACTATGGAGAGGAGGAGGAGGAGGAGAACTGTGCGGTCTTTGGTGGTCTCTGGGCTTGGTTATTTTCTTGCAGACGTTTCATGGCCCAACTAGCTAACATCATCAGTGCTAGAAGGAAGTGGGTTTCTAGCTTCTAGCACTAGCGATGGTATCTAGTTGGGTCATGAAACATCTATTCTACAGCAAAGCTCAGAGAGGACCAATGGCCCCACAACTGGATGCGGTCAAGCAGAGGTTGGAGGATCACCTCTTGAAAGTGGTTTAATCTGGACTCGTGGCCCGAACCCAGGTGTTGCACCAGATGGCTTGGAAGTTCTCCTTCCTCTTTAGACCTGCTATATACCTCAGCCACTTTGCTAAGGGCAAGAAAGTCAGACTGTGGGTGCCCCATTATCGGAGGCTTTTAAGAAGAGATTGGACAGTGATGTGTGTGAAATAATATAGGGTCTCCTGCTTCAGCAGGGGGTCGGACTAGAAGACCTCCAAGGTCCCTTCCAAGTCTGCTCTTCTCAAAGTTGAAAAAAAAAAAAGAAAGAAAGAATGGCGGTGTAGCGAGAGAGTTACTCCTAAGGGTCTTCTTCCATTATCTTAGGATCTTGGCCAGGTAGACTTACGTGCTTCTCGATGAAGCTCAGCCACTCTGGGTGGGTGCAGAAGACCTGGAAGTCTTCATAAAACGTGGGGCTGCCGTTGGTAGGCGGCAGAGACGGCAAGAAGTGCTGGAGCTGCAAAGTGTCGTAGCACTGGTCCATCAGAGTCCGGATGATGGGCACCAGCCAGGAGAAAGTCTCCGACTTGGTGTGCAGAGAAGCCCGGAGTGGGGTCTCCAGTTTGCCCAGGAGATAACAGGCTTGCTCTTTGCTGGGGGCCGAAGCTGTCTGGAGAAGACCATGGAGCTTGACGTAGGCCAAGGACTGCAGCTGGAAAGTGGAAGGAAGAAGGCAGTTGAGGAAGCAGAACCTATTCTAGACCAAGGAACTAAAAACACAAAAGGCGTAAATCTGTCCTGCACTGTGGAAACAAAGGGGGCAGAACACGGCTCTCCAGAGCCACCTGCAGCTATACCTACACGTGGCAGAGCTTGGAGATCTGCAACATTTCGGAGACATCAAATCTGGCAGATCTTGTGCATGCTTTGGAGTCAGCAAAGGCCTCTGCCTCTGCCCTCGATCAATTCTGGCAGACGAGAGGAGGGATCAAGTGGGGAATGAGCTTAGACTCACTATGTAAACACAAGCAGGCAAGGCCTGACTCCCTAAACCAGGTGTCTCCAATCTTGGTACTTTTAAGACTTATGGACTTCAACTCCCAGAATTCCTCAGCTGGGGAATTGTGGGAGTTGAAACCCACAAAGTTGGCAAGTTTGGAGACCCCTGGCCTAAATGCCCGTGAACCTTACCAAGACTGGTCGTTCCCAGGCAAAAGCTGCCTGTCTGGAGAGATTCCTGTATTATAGGCTGAAAACAATGAAGTAGCTAGTTTGGATTCGATGCATGCAAGTCTATGCAAAGCACCTGACAGTCCCGCTGGATTTGCTGATTTCAAAACACACGGATGTCCAAGATCTGGAGGAACCGCTAATTCTAAAATGTGCCTTCCCTTGTGTCTGTGCATTCACAGGCTGCAAGGACTCAAGAGCCTGGTGTCCGAGACCAGGGGTGCCAGATCATCCTGGAATAGGTCTATCTGTGTGGTCATTAAGAGCTGACCCTAACTTCCTGGTGCATAATCACTGTGGGAAGACAAACCTGGGTTTGTCCATACGTGGGAGCAGACTGTGTAGAAATTTGGAGACTCACCTGTATGTCTTCCAGCATGATGTATCCAATCAGCACCCGCAGGCCGATTTGGGCCATCTCCTTCAAGTCCGAAGTGCCGTTTGCCAAGTGGTACCAGACCCCCAACTTGTCTAGCAGGCTGTTGGCACCCTCATAAATCTAGGGCCGAAAGACGAGAAGACCAATGAGTCAAAGGAAAAATCCCTTGTTGTTCCCTTCCCGTGTACAATCCACGTTTCTCTTTTGGATTTAAGACAATCAGTGGAAGGACTCTTCAGTCTGTGTTCTACATCTGGTCTCCCTCTCTCCCACCCCTTCTCATGGAGGGGGTGTCCTTATCCGTGGGACTCTAAAGTCAACCTCCTAAACCTAATCCAGGACACAGATGGTCCTCAACATATGACGATAATTGACCCCAACTTTTCCATTGCTAAGTGAGACAGTTGGTGAGAGACAGCTGCCCCATTTTATGACCTTTCTTGTCACAGTTGTTAAGTGAATCACTGCAGTTAGTAACATGGTTGCTAAATGGATCTGGCTTTTCCATTGTTAGACGGTCACAAAAAGTGATCGCGTGGCCTCGGGACGCTGCGACCGTCATAAATATGAACCAGTTGCCAAGCATCTTAATCCTAATCACATGAACACAGGGATGCTGTGATAGTCAGCTGTGGAAAATGGTCATAAGTTTTTTTCCAATGTCACTGTAACTTTGAACGGTCACTAAAGGAATGGTTGTAAGGCAAGGACTATTTATAGTTGAATGGCAAGAATTAGGAATTCCTAATTCTTAGGCAAAATTTTGAGAACCAAGGTAGGCCCCCTCCAGTTCTCTTTAATTAGGGTAGGGGTAGGCAACCTTGGCTCTTTTATGACTCGTGGACTTCAACTCCCAGAATCCCTGGGCCAGCTTTGCTGGCTCAGGGATTCTGGGAGTTGAAGTCCACGAGTCATAAAAGAGCCAAGGTGGCCTACCCCTGAATAAGAGGATTCGTTAAATTGTCAAGATCTCTTTAAAGCTTTTAAATCTGGAACGTTTGCAAGATGGGCTGTTTTGTTACGGCCTCTAACAATCTTTCTCATCTGCTGAAGTTTTCTTTCCAATCAAAGAGAACATTTGTAGTTCAAGGTTGAATTGTTGAAATGATCAGTGTGACCCTGTTTATATGTGGTAGCTTTGCCCTGCATGTAGGAGAAGAGGCTTTTCTCCTTGACCAGGACATTGTTTTCTGCCCGATGGTTTGTCAGGTGCCAATCCCTGCTTATCTAGAGAGGATGTGTTCCTTTTGGTTTCCTTCTTCGCTTTTTTTTTTAAATTGTCTTTATTTTTGAACGGAAGCAATAGAAGTAAACCACCTTTACACACCGTATTAGAGTTAAAGCACATTCAGACACACAATTCAATTTTGCAAAAACCTGTGATTGCAAATAAACTTATGTACGATACACATCATTCAAAAGAGACAATAAGAAAAGCAGCAGTGATGATGTTACCTAGTCGGGTGATGAAATGTTTGCAAGAAAACAACCAAACTCAGAGAACACCCTCCTCCTCTTCCTCCTCGTCCTCCTTCTCTCCCTCCTCTCCACAAGCCCCACTCCCTTCTAACACTGATGATGTTACCTAGTTGGGTTATGAAATGTCTGTAGGAAAACCACCCAGCTCAGAGAGCACCAAGGACCCCCCAGTCATTCTCCTCCTCCTCCTCCTCCTCCTCCTCCTCTTTCTCCACACACCTCACTTCCTTCTAACACTGATGATGTTCCCTAGTTGGGTCATGAAATGTCTGTAGGAAAACCACCCAGCTCAGAGAGCACCAAGGACCCCACAGTCATTCTCCTCCTCCTCCTCCTCCTCCTCCTCCTCCTCCTCCTCCTCCTCCTCCTCCTCCTCCTCCTCCTCCCCCCCTTTTTTCCTCTTAACAAACCCTTCTAGCACTGAGGATGCTCCCACGCAGCTCAAAGGCCTCCAAAGCCTTCCTCCTCAACCTCAGCACAATCCCTCCCACCGAGGGTCCGTGGCTCCCAATCGCCCACCTTCTCGCTCCACAGGACCTGGTTGTTGTGACCTTCTGAGAACAGGAAATCCTGGAGGAGATGGAGCAGCTTCAAGGCGTTCTGGGTGAGGCTCGGCAGCAGGACTGGGGTCGTCTGCTTCAGGTCCGTCAAGGCCGATTCCATCATCATCTCCAGGAGGCTGCGAGGTGGGGGGCAGAAATGAGGGGTGGGAGAGGGGAGCAGGATGCTTAGTTGAGGTTGAGAGAAGGCACAGGCTGAAAATGGGCAGTGGGATCCCATTCCGTTTGTGTTCCTGTCTTAAAATACAGCCACGTTCACGCATGAACATCTCCTGTGTGAAAATGAAGCTATCAAACATCATACAATCAGTGACACATACAAGAAATGAGTTCTGGGCTATCTCCGTCCTTTCCTTGCTCTTCTAAGATCATCAATCCCTTTCTCTCCACCCCTATCTCTGATCCAAAGTCCTCTCCTTCTTCAAAACCCATCTCTTCCGCAGAGGGATGGGCAAATATTTTGGAAGGGGGGCAGGCTGAGCTTCTTTTAAACATATAGTTTGGTTTCTAAGACCCCCTGGGGATGGGGCCAAGGCTTTCAGTGGGGAGGGCGGGCTGTTGGGTCTTAAGAGAGCAAAATGGGAGCCAAATTTGTGATCTGGGGTCCTTCAAGAGTGGATCTGCTTGAAGAGGTCTGCCAAAGAGGCACCGGAGGAAACTATGGGATCCACAAGCTGTCTAGTCTTGCTTCGATACAATATTGTCTACTGCGATGTCTCTAGAAGGTCCCGTCTTCTGAGGTTCTCTTTGTCTTGTAGAGTAGACAACGCCCACTGAACTCTACCTGCTGAAGATCTGAACAGAAAATTGATATTCTGACACAAAAGAATATTTGTAGCTCAGGATAGGACGGGGGAGGCCTTGGTGCTCTCTGAGGTTGGTGGTTTTCTTGCAAATGTTTTACAACCCAACTAGGTAACGTCATCAATGCTAGAACGGAGCGAGGATTTGTTCTCTCCTTATACACAGTTTCTTCTAGCCCTGATTATGTTACCTATTTAGGTCATGAAACGTCTTAAATAAAACAACCAAGCTCAGAGAGCACTAAGGACCCCACATTCCTCTTCCTCCTCCTCTCTGCAAACCCCTCTCCCTTCTAGCACTGATGATGTTCCCTAGTTGGATCATGAAATGTCTGCAAGGAAACCACCCAGCTCAGAGAGCGCCAGGGACCCCCACAGTTCCTCCTCCTCCTCCTCCTCCTCCTCCTCCTCCTCCTCCTCCTCCTCCTCCTCCTCCTCCTCCCTGCAAACCCCACTCCCAATATGAAGGACAGCGGATCCAACCAGGGTTTATCTGAAGAAGACCCTGGGGGCTTCCACTGGCCACTCTCCACCGTTCTCCCTCCTCTTACCTGCGCTTGATCTCATCCGGAGGGCGGACCAGCTCACAGGCTGAGCCCAGTTTGGTGAGGACTGAGAAGACCTGTCCACGCTCTTTCCAGGCCACGTCGTCCCAGCCCTCCACGCCCCGCCAGGTGACTGAGAAGATGATGTTGGTCAACAAGTTGCAGAGTTCTTCCTCCGGAGTTTGCTGGGGGTGGGAAGGCAATGAGAGGACAGTGGCGCAGGGTTTGGGGGTTGCGGTCCCCAAAACTGCTCCAGGACAGGTGGAGACACAAAGGTTGCACCTGCCTCATCTTGAACAAAAGTCGTCCTTTCTAACACAACTGTGATAGATACCACAACCCTAACTTGCCTGCATTTTCTCTCTTCCACAATGGCTTGCTTCTCTCTCTTTCTCTCCCCTCTATCTATCTATCTCTCTCTCTCTCTCTCTCTCTCTCTCTCTCTCTCTCTCTATCTATGTCTCTCTCTGTCTGTCTATCTATCTATCTATCTATCTATCTATCTATCTATCTATCTATCTATCTATCTATCTATCTCTGTGTCTGTCTGTCTATCTATCTATCTATGTCTGTCTGTCTGTCTGTCTGTCTATCTATCTATGTCTGTCTGTCTATCTATCTATCTATCTATCTATCTATCTATCTATCTATCTCTATCTATGTTTCTGTCTGTCTATCTATCTATCTATCTATCTCTGTGTCTGTCTGTCTATCTATCTATCTATGTCTGTCTGTCTGTCTGTCTGTCTATCTATCTATGTCTGTCTGTCTATCTATCTATCTATCTATCTATCTATCTATCTATCTATCTATCTCTATCTATGTTTCTGTCTGTCTATCTATCTATCTATCTATCTATCTATCTATCTATCTATCTATCTATCTATCTATCTATCTCTGTCTGTCTGTCTATCTATCTGTCTCTGTCTATCTACCTACCTACCTACCTATCATCTATTTACCTACCTACCCATCCATCCATCCATCCATCCATCCATCCATCCATCCATCCATATTTTTCTCTCTCTCTCGCTCTCTCTCTGTTTGATTTATTGGCTACCACAGAATATGGGTAATCCTTGACTTACAACAGTTCATTTAGTGACCATTCAAAGTTACAACGGCACTGAAAAAAGTGACATGAGCTTTTTTCACACTTACAACTGTTGCAGCACCCCATGGTCATGTGAAAACAACTGAGCCCAAAATGTCTGTCACTAAGCAAGACATTTGCCCCATTTTACGACCTTTCTTGCCACAGCTGTTATGTGGATCGCTGCAGTTGTTAAGCTAGTCACACTGTTAAGCGAATCCAATTTCCCTGTTGACTTTGCTTGTTAGGTTGGAAAAGGGGGTCATGTGACCCCGGGAGACACTGCAACCGTCATAAATACGAGTCAGTTGCCAAGCCTCTGAACTTTGATCACGTGACCATGGGGGATGCTGCAACGGTTGTAAGTATGAAAAACTGATCATAAGTGTGAACAACAGTGATATGTCACTTTTTTTCAGTGCCGTTGTAACTGTAAACGGTCACTAAGTGAATGTAAGCTGAGAACTCCCTGTTTAAAAATAATGGCCGTGCATTGGCAAAAGAAGGCGTCCACTGCCAGGAGAATGCACAAAATTCTGGATCAAAAAACTGAGACCTCCGCTGAGGCGAAGACTTCCAAGGAAGATGTTAACAACAACAACAACAAAGTTGGAAGGGACCTTGGAGGTCATCTAATCCAACCCCCTGTGCTCAGGCAGGAAACCCTATACCAGTGGTTCTCCACCTGTGGGTCGGGACCCCATTTGGGGTCGAACGACCATTTCACGGGGGTCGCCAAACAACGCAGTCCGCCATTTCCCCTCCCTTTTCCTTAGCTGTGCTACTCCCTTTTATTCTATTGGCTTTTGAAAGCCAATAGAATAGACGCTCTTGAATAGAGTCTAATTCTATTGGCTTTCAAAAGCCAATAGGAATTGTCCAGGCTGTCTCTGCCCTGCTGAGCCCGCCAAAGTCCCATTCTGCAAACGGTGCTGCACCAGTTGAGTAGTCCTCGACTTACGACCGGTTGAGTAGTCCTCGACTTACGACCGGTTGGGGGTCGCGGCATTAAAAAGGTTGAGAACCACTGCCCTAGACCATTTCGGACAAATGACAAACTCACCTGAGGGTTGCTGGTGTTGGAGATGCTGTCGCTCGGCAGGGTCTCCTGGTAGCTCGTCTCGTCCAGCACGTTGGACAAGCTGGAGCTTTTTCGAGCTCTGGACCCCGGGAAAGGCTTGAAGTTCTCCAGAGGGGACGGCGTCCCGGGAAGGCTGAGCGGGGTCTGGTTTCCACTCTCCATGGTGGCCGCTGAGCTGCTGCTGCCGAAATCCAAGCCGAGGTCATACGGGGAATTGGAGAAAGGCGAGAGCGGGTGGTAGACCCGGTCAGCTGGGCCTCCTGGGTGGACCTCTCCCTGCCCAGAGAGGTCCATGATGTTGGAGGAGGAGGAATGGCTGGCGAGCTCTAAGGAGTCGAAGGATTTGAAGGCGTAAGACTGGAAGACTTTGTTCTTCTGGTTGGTGGGAGACATGGACAAGTCCAAGAAGCCTTCTGACAGCTCGTGGTCAGACGCTTCGTAGCCCAGGGGGAGGAACACATCCAAATCTGGCAGCTCAGAGGTCAAAGGACTAGTGGAGCCCACCAGCTCCTTCCCTTTCTCCATGCTGGACTGCTCTGAGTTGGCCGAGTTCGACAGGCTGTGTTGGCGAGACTCGTAGGACTCCTTGACGTAGAGCTTGGTGAGGGTGTCCTGCCAGCCTGCCAGCTTGGCCAGTTGCTTCACCATGTCAAGCTGTGAGTAAATTAGGTGGAAGAGCTGGAGAGGGAGAGAAACAGGAAGGTAATGTGAGGCACAGACAACCAGATCCACATGCCTAGAAGTTCAACTCTCTACTTTATTGTTTTCTGCTTATACTACAGGAATCTCCCCAGCATTTGCCTGGAAACGAACAGATAGGGCTCAAAGGCATTCAGGGGAGATTGGAACTTACTTCCTGTGTTTATGCAATGAATCTAAGCTAATTCATCACGAGGAGGAGGAGGAGGAGGAGGAGGAGGAGGGTGAAGTCCCTGGTGCTCTCTGAGCTTGGTGGTTTTCTTGCAGACATTTCATGACCCAACTAGGTAACATCATCAGTGCTAGAAAGGAGTGGGGAGGAGGAGGAGAAGATGAGGAGGAGGAGGAGGAGATGAGGAGGAGGAGGACTTTAGGGTGCTTGGTGCTCTCTGAGCTTGGTGGTTTTCTTGCAGACATTTCATGACCCAACTAGGTAACATCATCAGTGCTAGAAAGGAGTGGGGAGGAGGAGGAGGAGGAGATGAGGAGGAGGAGGAGAAGATGATGATGAGGAGGAGGAGATGAGGAGGAGGAGGACTTTAGGGTGCTTGGTGCTCTCTGAGCTTGGTGGTTTTCTTGCAGACATTTCATGACCCAACTAGGTAACGTCATCAGTGCTAGAAGGGAGAGGGTTTATGAAGAGAGAGGAAGGGGAGCAGGAAGAAGAGGAAGAGGACATCGACTGTGGGGTCCTTGGTGCTCTCTGAGTCTTCTGCCTCTCTTTTCCTCCTCCTCCTCCTCCTCCTCCTCCTCCTCCTCCTCCTCCTCCTCCTCCTCTCTGCAAACAACCAAGCTCAGAGAGCACCAAAGACCCCACAGTCTTCCTTCTTGTCCTCCTCTCCACAACCCCACTCTCTTCTAGCACGGATGATGTTCCCTAGTTGGGTCATGAAATGTCTGCAAAGAAACAATCGGTTGAAGGGACCCTTCAAAAACCACTTCCTGTTTCACTCTAGTTGTACAAAGGTGTTCCAAGTCCAACATACCTTCCTGCAGATGTCCAGTCTGACCGTCAGATCTGCCCGGTGAGAGAGGTAAACAACAGCCATCAAATCCTTGTAGTTCGGGGAATCTGAGAATAAGAAAGCAAAGACCAAAATGGCTTTATGCTTATGCCCAAACCAAGGAAGGCTACAGGCTTGAGCTCTCTTGCACATGTTCTCACAAACAAGAAAAACAGTGAGAGCTATTATAATGAACATGGAAATCCCAAATGGATGTTATCCTACAGATAAGAGGCATGTTCAGGTTGTTTCTTGTGGGTCTATGACAATTTACCACAGCCATCTTGCCATGGGACAACTCGCTGCGGAACAAAAGTGATACTAATATCAAAGAAATGATATAGGAGGGAAAAAACCAACAAAGAAAGGATGCAAAACAACGGACAGAATGAAATGTGAATGGCAAAAATTAAAATCATTTTTAATTTATTTTAAACAATTAAATAGAATGGTTAAATCAGTGGTTCTCAACCTCTTTAATGTCACGACCCCCAACCAGTCGTAAGTCGAGGACTACTCAACCGGTGCAGCACCGTTTGCAGAAAGGGACTTTTGGCGGGCTCAGCAGGGCAGAGACAGCCTGGACAATTCCTATTGGCTTTGGAAAGCCAATAGAATTAGACTATTCAAGAGAGTCTATTCTATTGGTTTTCAAAAGCCAATAGAATAAAAGGGAGGAGCACAGCTAAGGAAAAGGGGGAAAAAAATGGCGGACTGCGTTGTTTGGCGACCCCCGTGAAATGGTCGTTCGACCCCAAATGGGGTCCCGACCCACAGGTGGACAACCCCTGGGTTAAATTGTCCCTCTGTGGTGAGTTGGCTGTGGTGAGTTGTCCCATTCCTGTTTCTTGCAAACTCAACAATCCATAGTGGCAGGTGTGAAGCAGCTGGTTCATACAATCTGCTAAGCTCCAGTTATCCAGACACAAACTCGCTGGTCTATAGTCTTTGATGAATATAATATATCAGTATTTTCAACCATGACTACTTGAAGATGGGTGGACTTCAACTCCCAGAATCCCCAGCCAGCCTCTGTGTAGGTACCTGCTCCAAGGACTTGTTCTAGAAGGCACCGGAAAAACAGTATGGAAACCGGGATGTCGTTCAGGTAGGAGATGAAGCCATGATAGCCAATGTCCTTCAGCTTCAAGCGATGCTTATACCGTTCATGGACCTTCTCGTACTTCAACAACTTGTACAAAATCTGTGCAAAAACAAACAAAAAGACAATGTGGTTTGCACTGGAAAGAGGTACCTGGTCATGTCTGTGTCTTCAGTGTCATCTGAGTGGTGCAAATGGGTGTGTTGTTGACCAGTCCTTTCAGCAGTTCCAAGAAGGCTTCACACCCCTTTGCACCACTCAGGTGACCCTGAGGACACAGATAAACCTCCAAGTGGCCTCAATGACTCCCTAAAAGAAGGCCAATGACCAGTGGTCTGCAAGGAGTATAAATCCTTCCATTCCTCACCATCCAGTCAGAGCTGAAGAAGCTTCTGGGATGAGAAGCGAAACATCTTCAAAGAAAAAAGAAGAAAGTCCAGTTGCCTCCTGAAAAAGCATATTTGGGACTCATGGATATGAATTCCTACCTTGAAGATTCTCTCCCGGACTTCATCCGAGAACTTCCGTTGAATGAGTAGCGAGAAAAAGACCTCCACGTTGCCCGGCTCAAACAGGAAAGCAAAGAGTTGGTCCTGGCATAAGGAATTCTTCTGCAGACTTTGGATCACTTCCAGGATCCCACATACCTGTGAGACACGTCAGAAAATGGAAAACTGCTGTCATGTCAACTTCAGGTAGACCTTCCTTCCAAAAGTTCTAAACTTAGAATCTCAATGAAATGGTGTCCAGGTGTGTTCTGGGAGCACATCTTGGCATGAGCATGTTAAACCTTGCTGAATGTTGCCTATGGTTAATCAGCTAATCTCGGTTTGTGCTCAAGGTCTTTCTAGGATAGATCTGAAATCTGGGGTTTGACCTCTTCTTATAGTAAGCCCGGAAAACCAGCAGCCCAATGCAAAAATCCATACTTCAGAACATCTTTCTTTGATAGGGAACTTTCTAAGGTATGGTTGACCTCAACTCCCAACACTCCTAGCCTTTGGCTCTGCAGCAGGGGAATTCTGGGAGATGAGGTCCGATGTATCTGGAAGATGCCAGGTTGAATATGCAGGCTTAGTTGTCTGGGAATGAGAGGGCCATCCATCCATCCATCCATTTATCCACCAATATATCTACCCATCCATCTATGCATCCATCCATCCACCCACTCCTCTATCGGTCCGTCCGTCCGTTCCTTCCTTCCTTCCCTCCCTCCATCTGCCCATCCACCTACCTGTCTGTCCACCCACTTCTGTGCATCCATCTATCTCTTTCTATGTCCATCTATCCATCCACTCCTGTCTGTCCGTCCGTTCCTTCCTCCATCCATCTGCCCATCCATCCACCCACCCACCCATCTATCCACCTACCTGTCTGTGTGTCCATCTACCTCTTTCTCCATCCATCCATCCATCCATCCATCCATCCATCCATCCATCCATCCTCTCATCTATCTGCCCATCCATCCATCTACCTATCCATCTATCCATCTTTTCATCCATCCATCTGTCCTCTGTCTGTCCATCCATCCATCCATCCATCCATCCATCCATCCACCAATCCATCCATCGATCCATCCATCCAAGTTCTTGGTTTGGTCTCCAATCTACCTGGTGCTCATCATTTACGGCTGCCAGATAGTTCATGGTGCTTTGCATCTCATCGCTGGAGATGTTCCTGCAGAAGAAGTCTTTGATCAGGCTGAAGAGGGACGTTTGCACTGTCCGGAGGTCATCGGTGGCAATGGGCTTCTCCTTGTAGGTTCTGAGGAGAAGGAACAGGAAAAGGGTCATAACGGAGAAAGTAGGAAAGGAACAAGGGCACCTGGTTGTCTGTTAGAGGAGAGGACACCTTGACCAGGAACCAAGCAAGGAGGATTTTTCAATGTTCTCTTAACTCACCCGTAATAGGTCCGGATGGAATCTAGGATATATTGCACCCCATATTTCTTCCTTATCCTTTGTTTGTGGTCCTTAATTATATTGGATAGGTACTGGATGTGACCTATCAAAGAGAGAGACAAGTTGAGAAAGAAGGTGGGCCATACCTGCTAATCTTGCCCATCCTATTCTCAAGGCAGGGGTCCTCCTTAGATGGTCATGGAGTCCCACCTACATCTCTCTTGAGATATCATGGAAATGGAGCAACTTGTCCAAAGAAAGGACATTCATAGGAAGTAGCCAAGTTATGGCTCAGGAAATGAAAGGATGTCATTGACCTTTCAGAAGAATTTCAACCCATGGAAAGACTCTGTGATGCACCAAAGGTGAAGAAAGGATCTTCTCATTCTCTTGAAGGACCAGTTTTCTTGGGGCCGATGGGTCTATCAATATTCTAGACCAGGGGTCTTCAAACTTGGCTCTTTTATGATTGGTGGACATCATGCCAGCATGCCTGGCTGAGAAATTCTGGGAGTTGAAGTCCACAAGTCAAAAAAGGGGCAAGTTTGAAGACCCCTGTTCTAGACCATCCTGAACTTACCCAGCCGGACGGCGAAGTCACTGTTGGTCCAGATGCGGAAGTCAAAGAGGAGGGCTTGGTAGAGGAGATGAAGCAAGAGGTTGTGTCCTTCTGAGGCCACCTGTTCCATCAGAATCTGGGAGGCCATGAGGACATTCATGTCCATCGCCTGGCTGGAGACCTGCAGAACGTGGAAAGATCTACGTGAAGACTTTATCCTCCACGTAAGATCAAGAATTCTGTCCACGGGCAGAGTCCCGGTGGCTTCTTCTCATCATTCCCCAAGGCCTCTCCTGCTCTTCCAGATCCAACCTTGTGGGATTTAACGCCAAGGAACTGATGTTCAGGACTACAATACCCATTATTCCCACTGAAGTTGGACTTGAGGCCTCACACATTGTTATGGGATGGGACCAGGTGTTCTGTTGGAACAGAGATTGAGAGACACACATACTCCTCGACTTTCATAAAGGGTTGGTTGGTAGATCTTTAATCCTGAGATCAGAAAAGGAGAAAAGGAGATCTATTTTGCTCAATGGCTGTCAAAGAAAGACTGGAAGATGGCATGTTATGGAAATACAGGAGCCAGCTGTGTGCAACAGCAGCCAAAAAAAGCTAATACAATCCTGGGTTGTATAAACAGAGGCATAGAATCAAGATCACACGAGCTATTAGTACCGCTTTATAAAACCCCTAGTAAGACCACACCTGGAATACTGCATCCAGTGGTGGTCAACCCATCACAAAAAAGATGTTGAGACTTTGGAAAGAGTGCAAAGAAGAGCAACTAAGATGATTAAACATATGAAGAACGGTTGCAGGTTTTGGGTCTAGAGAAAAGAAGAACTGGGGGGGGGGAAACATGATAGCAGTATTCCAGCATTTGAGGGGCTGCCACAAAGAAGAGGAGGGTGTCTACTTATTTTCCAACGCACCAGAAGGCAGGACAAGAAACAATGAATGGAAACTAACCAAGGAAAGAAGCAACCTGGAATTAAAGAGACAGTGAGCACAACTAACCAATGGAACTGCTTGCCACCAGAAGTTGTGGGTGATCCAACACTGGAGGTTTTCAAGAAGACAAGTGGACAGCCACTTGTCTGGAATGGAATAGAGTCTCCTGCTTGAGCAGGGGGTTGGACTAGAAGACCTCCAAGGTCCCTTCCAGATCTATTCTGATTGACTGATTGATAGGTTAGCTTTAACGAAGAGAAGGGACACAAATGGGGCCTTAGCCAGGCAGGCAAGGTCAGGAAAAACGAGGGTCACAATCGTGTGTCTGAAATATGTGGGTTGTGATGCTTATAAAAAGAGATGGAGTGTCAATTAAATGGTTGGGGCCACCATCTTGACTTTTTTGACAACGGACAATAAATGGTGTCACAGCACACTAGTCCTCGACTTAACGACCGTTTCTTTAGCAGCCATTATGATGATTCTGAAAAAAGTAACTTATGACTAGTCCTCGCACTCATGATCGTCACAGTGTCCCTGTGGTCACCTGTTGGTGACTTGGGTGCTTATGATGGTTGCAGCATCCTGGGGTCACATGATCACCATTTGCAACCTTCCCAGCTGGCTTCCGACAAGCCACGACACTGGGGAAGCCAGCAGGAAGTCTCAAGTTGCAATTACACGATGTCTTGTTTAATAACGGCAACAAAAACTGTTGTAAAATGGGGTACGATGATGTGAGGCCTCACTTAATGACATGCCACCTAACAACGAATTTTCCAGTCCCAATTATGGTAATAAGTCAAGGACTCTAGAAAGAGTACAGAGAAGAGCAACAAAGATGATTAGGGGACTGGAGGCTAAAACATATAAGGAAAGGCTGCTGGAATTGGGTATGTCTAGTTTAACGAAGAGAAGGACAAGGGGGGACAGGATAGCAGTCTTCCAGTATCTCAGGGGCTGCCCCAAAGAAGAGGTAGTCAAGCTATTTTCCAAAGCGCCTGAAGGCAGGACAAGAAGAAATGGGTGGAAACTAATCAAGGAGAGAAGCAACCTAGAACTAAGGAGAAACTTCCTGACAGTGAGAACAATTAATCAGTGGAACAGCTTGCCTCCAGAAGCAGTAAATGCTCCAACACTGGAAGTTTTTAAGAAGAGACTGGACAGCCATTTGTCCGAAATGGTATAGGGTTTCCTGCCCGAGCAGGGGGTTGGACTAGATGACCTCCAAGGTCCCTTCCAACTTTACTACTATTACTATTACTATTACTACCCTGTATTTAGTTCGTCAGGGGCAGCCCCTCTGGATTGGGCTGAGTTTGGAAAGCTAAGCAAGGACACAACGTTGTTAACAAGGGGCAGGAGACCACTAAGAGATCCAGAGCTAGAATGAGAGGTTAGGGAGAAGACTATGTTGAAACACTGCTGATCAGGAAGGAACGTGGTCATGTTTGGGCCATAAAGCAGCCGAGAAGGGAAACTGAGCAACGTGATATATGCAGCACAATGCAGTGAGCCCTGTGTGGATCTGTACACTCGGGAAACAAAACAACCACTTTATAAACGTATGACACAACATTGGAGAACAAACCCATCAGGAGAAAGCAGTCCATCTGCATTTGAAAAGACAAAGGTCGCACTTTTGAAGACAGCAAAGTCCACATTTTGGACAGAGAGGACCACTGGTTTGAAAGAGGGGTCAAAGAGGCCATCTGTGTTAAAACTGAACCCAGAGGGGGAGGGATGCGACACCACCTATCTCCAATCTATAACACAATCCTTTCAGCAGTTCCAAGAAGCCCCCACACCCATTTGTACTGCTCAGGTGACCCCGAGGACACAGATAAACCTTCAGGTGGCCTCAACGGCTCTCAAAGGATTCAAAGGACCAGCTGTCTACAAGGAGTATAAATCCTTCCATTCCCCACCATCCAGTCAGAGCTGAAGAAGCTTCTGGGATGAGAAGTGAAACATCTTCAAAGGAAAAACAAGAAAGTCTTGTGAAAAAGGTCAAAATGTTGGAGACCTAGATGAGATCACCCCTTTACGGAAGTGTGCATGGATGCTCACCTTCTGGAGCAAGGCTCCAATGATGGCTGGACCATGACACTGGACCAAACTCTCTTGATTGACTTGATGACCACACAGGAAGTTCTTCACCAGTAGTAAAAATGCAGCCACTCCATTCTTCTCCAGCCTGCCCTCTAAAGATGGGAAAACCAACACGCAAATCACCTCCATAATCTCGTGCTCAACTTGGTGACTTTAAGGTGGGTGGACTTCAACTCCCAGAATTCCCCAGCCAGCTGTGCTTTCTGTATCCCCCAAAACTGCAGATTTTTATCACCTGAAGATTTCCCCAGCGGAATGTGTAAGCCTTGAGCACTCCGTGACGAGGTCAACTCTGGGCCCACCAAGTCATGAATCTCCTGGATATCTTTGCTTTCTTCCTTCTGAGATGCCACCTGATCCAGCAGAGGGAGGAGCACCCCCATCCCACCAACACAGTTGATGACATCCTAGGCAGAACCCAAAACAAAGCTTTATGAGTTGAGAACCATCACACTGTAGACCTCAGAAGACCCCAAAACAGTGTTCTAAAGGTGGTGGCGGTGGCAGAACGTCCATGGTGATCTAGCTTGGTCCTACAGAGAAGCTAACAGGTCAGAGTGAGAAGCTGGGACAATTTCCTCCCAACAGCCAAGATGGTTCCTCAAAGACATGAGTATGGATTCCCACCTACCTTAACATCCCAGTTCACCACTTGATGCCCTGTCAGCCTCCCTTCCAGGTTATGGTTTGGAGAAAGGTTCAGACAGATGTTGCTTTTACAGGCCTAGAGAACCACCGAAGGAGAAAAAGGCAAAGAACAGCTCTGAGGATCTCAAACATGGTCCTGTCATCAGGCTAGGTCCTCTTTGTGGAGGAGGCTGACCACAGGTGTGCAGAAATCCAGACTTAACCTTACCTGAGGTGTGTAGTACAAAAGTAGTTTGCTACTCAGTTCCCCAAAATCTCCCTCCGGCTTAAATGGTGATGCAATATTTGGTCCTGCGGAAGGAAACAGAGCTGTAGTCAAAGAAGGAAGACTTGGTGTCCTCAAGCTCAGAGTGCGATAGGAGCAGGTCCTCCTCAAAAGCACCATCCCTTGAAGTTCTGGATGATGGTCCTCCATCAAGACGTGTCCCATCCTTACCTCCTGCTTTCCTCCTTGCTCTTGTTCTGCTCTGTTTGGACCATCAATGTCCCCATCCCAAACATCAAGTCCAATTTGCCTATTCTTCAAGTGTCCTTGGGTGAGATGGACAACACACATGGTTTCTCCAGAGCCCTACCTGCCAAGAAGAGGGCCTTCACCTGAGCAGGCTGGAGTGCCTCGTAGAAGATGGCGACTGACCCCAAATGGCCTTCCAAAGAGGTGGGCATTCCCCACTCGGTGTCCTGGGTCCCCGCAATCATGGTAGAAACCATGCTTTCCCGGGGCGGGATGGGGGTCCAGGTGTGAGAAGCCAAAGATGCTGGGAAGGACTGTGAGCGGTTCAGAAAAGGATGCGTTGGGAACTCCAGATCTGGCGAGTGAGACGGGGGTGAGTAGACTGTGGATGTGGTGGTGGTCCGGTGGCCAGCAGAACCAATGAAGCAAGATGTGAAGGCCTGGCCAGGAAGAGGACAAAAGTTGGACATTTAGCAGATATAAATATTTCTGTTCTTGTCCTATTTGCTAGACCTTCCTTTTTCCATGTTGTTGTCCTTCAAACCGCTAGAACCAAAACACCCATCATCCCTCTGAAATGACCATGCAAGATTGTGGCTGCTGAAGTCCAAACTACCAGGAGAACATCTGAAGAAGATGTCTTTAAATGGTAGCCATCAACATCCCTCCCTGGATTTTACATCTGGACGTAGAATCATAGGATTAGAAGAAACTTCGGAGGTCTTCTAGTTCAGGGCTAGGCCACCTTGGCTCTTTTATGACTGGTGGACTTCAACTCCCAGAATTCCTCAGCCTGGCTCAGCTTGGAAGCCTCTCCCTTTCCCCTCAGCATGGCTGGCTCAGGAATTCTGGGAGTTGAAGTCCACCAGTCATAAAAGAGCCAAGGTGGTCTACCCCTGTTCTAGTCCAATCCCTTGTCCAAGGCAAGAGACTTTATATTTTGAGCAGAACTGGTTCACTGGGAAGCTCCAAGTTCATGATGGTATCTAAAACAGTCCATCAACTTTCAAAAAAGGCTCAAGAAGGAGTTCCTACAAGAAATCCATGATTTTACACACTTCCCTCCTTGAAGAAGCAAAAAGATGGAGAAGGTGGTAGAATTAACCTTCTGGATTTTGGATTGAGGAGATACAGTCAAGACAATGACACGCAAATGGAGAAGAAGGATATGAAAAAATCTCCACTCCAAACCAGAAACTGGATGGAGGGAAGTTCAACAGCAAAGCAAACTATTCATCTCTTAACTTGGGTGATGGACAATCAACCCAAAATGTGGACTTTTCCTCTTTTTCCAAGCTCAGGAGCCCAAAAGATCAGGAGGGTCATGGCTGATCTTCTCTGCTCATCATCTGAAGGCTATTAAGAATAATGATTCTACAGCAGAGCTCTTCAAATTTGGCCCTTTTGTGACTGGTGGACTTCAACTCCCAGGATTCCTCAGTCGGCCATTTTGATGAAACTGCGGCCTTGGATCCAGACCAAGAGGTCTTCCAACTTGGCCCTTTTATGACTGGTGGACTTCCAGGATTCCTCAGAGGGCCATTTTGATGAAACTGCAGGCTTGGATCCAGACTCTCAGGGGTCTTCCAACTTGGCCCTTTTATGACTGGTGGACTTCAACTCCCAGACTTCCTCAGCCAGCCAGGAGTTTGAAGACCCCTGCTCTACAGCAAGTCCTTGATTTACAATCATAAAGGAGTTGGCCCATTATGATCATAAGATGAAACGGGATCAGTCATGTGACCAACCTGATTTTTACGACTGTTTTGTGGTGGTTGTTAAGTGAATCAATGCAGTCATTCAGCAAATGCTATTCTTGTGGAAAAAATAAAAGCCTTAAAAAAAAGGACTTTTACGAATTCCAAGGGTGAAAGAGAAGTTTTTATTTTTGCGCAAAAGGTTCAGAAGTGATCTACAATCAGCAAATTTCTGAACAAGGGGGAGGATCTAAACTAAAGCTTTATAGGTTTCTTTTTCTCAGGAACAAAGGAAGCATAGATGGAATCTTACATTGTATATGGAATTTACTTTGTGTAACATTCCCACATTACTATGGTCACTAAGTGAACCAGAAAATATTAAGTCATTAATGCTTTTCTATGGCAAGTTTTGCTGAACACTGGAAATAACTGCTGGTTTTCATCAAAACTGTCATAAAATGAACAGCCATTTGTCCGAAATGGTATAGGGTTTCCTGCCTGAGCAGGGGGTTGGACTAGATGACCTCCAAGGTCGCTTCCAACTTTATCATTATTATTATTATTAAAATGAGATCAAGTGACAGTAGGACGCGGCAAATAGTTGTAAATATGGCTGTACTGACCAGTGCCCAAAGGATGATTATGTGACTACAGGGTGGGAGTGACTGTTAGAACATGGGATCTACCTCGTAAGGCCCATTTTTGAGGCCTGCTGTAAATTCCGACGGGTTGCTCAGCAACCGATCGTACGTTGAGGACCACCTGTACGAGCCATCTCCACCAACCTTGCTCCTGAAGAGGATTTTTGTGGGATCTTTGCAGGTGGAATAGGACGCTCACCACAACCAACCCCACCACAACCAACTTGCCATGGGACAACTTGCTACGGCCAAATCACCATGGGGACAACTAGCCACAGGACAATTCAACAAACACAAAATTTAAATTAATTTCGACGGAACCAGGGCCAATAATAATAAAATAAAGTCAATCCAGAAATACAAGCTACAATAATTTTGACGAAAACGTGATCCCCAATAATAAAAACAACTGAAATGAATTATTAGTATAGCATCAAATTGTCCTGTGGTGAAGTTGTCGTGGGTTGAGTTTTACTGCAATGAGGTGGTCATGACGAGTTGTCCTAGATCCCTCCGAAGGATCGAGTGTGATCTACCTCTGAATTTCCTGATGGATGGACATCACCGGCTTTTCTAAAGTTGTCACCACTAGTACTGATTTTAACAATCCTCCGGTTGTCCATGTTCTCCTGGGTGCAATTTTTACAGACCCGCAAAGACGTACGGCGTGATCCAAGGACATCTTACCTCGCTGACGGATGGGAAACGCAGCTGAGCGACTTTGTAGAGCTGACCGTCTACAAAAATGTTCACCAGGTTCTGGCTGAAGAGCCGTCGGCCCACGATGTGGACAACGTCAACGCAATGCTAGCAACAAGCGAAACCAGAGATTAGCAAGTTTCATTCCAACGTTTGTCAAGTTGTGGATACAGAATGGAAAGACAATGAATAGCATCGTGGACAAAACGGGGGTCGATTTGGAAAACTACCAGCCAAGCAGACCCTTTTCCAGAGATATATTCTCCAAGCGGCATCTTACTACAGGTAGGTCTTGGTTTACGACCACAATTGGGACCCGAATTTGTGTTGCTAAACAATGTGGTTGTTAAGTGAGCCATGCCCAATGTTTTTGTTGTTAAGGAAAAAAAGCCGCCGAGAGTTGTTGAGAGTGAATGGGCGGCCATATAAATTTTCTAAACAAACAAATAAATACATTGCAGTTGTTCAATAAATACACGCAGTCGTTAAGTGAATCCAGCTCCCCTATTTACTTTGCTCGTCACAAGCTGATTGGGAAGGTCACAAATAGTGATCATGGGATCGGGGGACCCTGCAATCGTGGTAAATACACACCGGTGCCAAGTGTTTGAATTATAATCACGGGACTGTGGAGATGCTGCGACGGTCGTAAGTGCGAGGATTGGTCATTAAGACAGCTTTTATAGTGCCTTTGCAATTTCAGTCTCTAAATGAGGACCACCTGTAGTTGCTCCCCTGTTTAATCGGATGCTTTTTTTGACTCCATTAAAAACAACCCCTCCAAAGCTTAAAATTCCTGTCAAGCTTCCTAAATTGATCAGTGCTGGTTAGAGATTTGGAGAGGGGGGGGTTACTCTGTGGTTTCCCCAGATAAGGGCCGCGACCGTGACCCAAGGTTGGCCACAGGAAGTGGAGGTCAGAAAAGTCAAGATGGCAGCCAAGCTTACGTGATCCAAATCGTGCAATTATCTCTGTGAGTCTTTAATTGGCCAGAGATGCCATCTTGACTTTTTTGCTCCCCTGTGGATATTCCAGCATTCTTCCCTCTCAAAACAGCACCCCAAGTGTGTAGTTTTTTTTGGGAGGGTTTGACAACACAGCCATCCACATGAACCTCCTCAAGGTAATCTGAGTTGATCCGAATTTAGCTGTCCTCCCTCACAGCTGTCCTCCCCCAATCTTTCTGGTTTTGTGGATTGGCCAGGGAGGGGGGAGATGGGACAGTTCCATGCAAGTAGCCATCAAACGCATGTCAATGCTGCAAATATTGTACATTCTTGCTTTGACAATATGCAGAACTGTCTGGTATATTTGGAGTTAATACAGAGCAGAAGGGGGTGGGGGCAAAGCCGGGGAAAGACAGAGGAAGGAAACCTTTGACCTTCACACTAATTGGATAATATGATATATGACAGTTAATTTAGGGAGGGAACATACTAATAAATTAACTGCTCAGAGGAAGAGAACTTTATTTATTTATTTATTTATGAGACTTATATACCGCTTTAGGTGCAAGCACTCTCTAAGCCAGTGGTTCTCAACCTTTCTAATGCCGTGACCCCATAATACAGTTCCCCATGTTGTGGTGACCCCCAACCACTTATACATCAACGGGTCCCAGGGGCGTGGCCAAAGAAAAGGGGAAAAAATGGCGGACAGCCTTGTTTGGTGACCCCCGTGAAATGGTCGTTCGACCCCAAATGGGGTCCCAACCCACAGGTGGAGAACCACTGCTCTAAGTGGTGTACACCAGTAAGCAATGTATATATATATTTACATTGCCCCCAACAATCTGGGTCCTCATTTTACCTACCCCGGAAGGATGGAAGGCTGAGTCAACCTTGAGCCAGTGAGATTTGAACCGCTGACCTGCTGAACACAGTCAGCTAAAGTGGCCTGCAGTACTGCACTCTAACTGCTGCGCCACCTCGGCTCTTAGCATAAAGCCTCTGTTATGCCTGTGCCGACATTTTGTAACAATAAATGACTTTTAGGAAAATCAATGCCTGGAAGTTTTTTGAAGTTTTCATTAGCCGGAACCATAACAACGCACATGTGTGCAGCTCATTTGCGTGATTAGCATGCATGTGCTCCTGCCCTCCCTTGCCCGCCTTTCCATGGCTGGTTGCAAACAGCTTCTGGCCCATTACTGCAGGGGTCCCCAACCTATGGGTCGCAGCCCAGTACTGGGCCATGGGCTTTTGGCCAGTGGACTGCAGAAATGGCTAGCTCAGTGGTTCTCAACCTGTGGGTCGGGACCCCATTTGGGGTCGAATGACCATTTCACGGGGGTCGCCAAACAAGGCTGTCCGCCATTTTTTCCCCCTTTTCTTTGGCCACGCCCCTGGCACCCGGTGATGTATAAGTGGTTGGGGGTCACCACAACATGAGGAACTGTATTATGGGGTCGCGGCATTAGAAAGGTTGAGAACCACTGGGCTAGCTGGTGCGCACACGCATAGGTGTGTGTTCTCCCCACTCGTGCTAGCACCCGCGGCCCCATTAGCGCATGTGCGCAAGCACAAATGGGGACTAGCACGGAGTGGGTGTCTGCGGCCTGTTTGCGCATGCACGAACAGGGCCAATAGCCCAGGTGAGTTGTGTGGCCCATTTGTGTATGCTGCATGCATGAATGGGGCTGCTAGTGCCACACCAGTGTGTGTGACCTTGTGTGCACCCATGCTTGCAATTTTGAAGCTGCTCTCCTTCTCTCTGGTCCATGAACCCGGAAAGATTGGAGACCCCTGCATTAGTGAGCTAGGGCCCAGAGATTGAGGACCCCTGCTTCAAAATCACCAGAAATCTAAGTTCAGCGTCGGCTGTGTGTGGCACCTCGTGGACCCCCAGATTTTGTTCCCGGACACGCCCAGCCCTCCCAGCCCGGCTGTTGCTCACCCAGGCTGCGTCATTGAAGGGGATCTCTGGCAGGGCTACCGTCATGTACTCCTTCTTGGTGCAGACTGCCACCACCAGCATCCCCTCCGTGGTGAAGAAGGCTTCGAAGCCGGTGCCGCTGGCGGTGAAGAAGCTAGGTGGGATGGGAAGGAAGGACAGGTGGGTGAGCGGAAGGAAGGAGCCCACTTGAGCTCAGGCTTTTAGATTTACCTGAGCAGGTAAAATCCAATTTCCAAAACTAAGTGGGCAATAGATTTTCCCCAGTAGAACGGAGCAAGCCTCCCTGCCTTTTCAATCATGGTTAGTTACGATAGTCAAGGGCTGTGTTGTTCAACCTTGGCAACTTTAATAGGTGGACTTCAACTCCCAGAATTCATAGCCAGTATTTAAGTCAGTGGTTCTCCACCTGTGGGTCGCGACCCCATTTGGGGTCGAAGGACCATTTCACGGGGGTCGCCAAACAACCCAGTCCGCCATTTTTTCCCCCCTTTTCCTTAGCTGTGCTGCTCCCTTTTATTCTATTGGCTTTTGAAAGCCAATAGAATAGACTCTCTTGAATAGAGTCTAATTCTATTGGCTTTCAAAAGCCAATAGGAATTGTCCAGGCTGTCTCTGCCCTGCTGATCCCGCCAAAAGTCCCATTCTGCAAACGGTGCTGCACCAGTTGAGTAGTCCTCGGTTGGGGTCGCGGCATTAAAATGGTTGAGAACCACTGATTTAAGTCCATCCATTTTAAAGTGGGCTAGCTGGGGGATTCTGGGAGTCGAAGTCCACCCCTCTTAAAGCACGTTGGCTGGGGAATTCTGGGAGTCGAAGTCCACATTTCTTAAAATTGCGTGGGGTGACATCTTGGTTCCATGTGCTCTAGGCTTCCAGCCCTCTTCATAATCCCCAATCCCCCATTCCTCAGCCTCCCTAGATCACGAAAGTCAAGGTGGCACCCCAGTGCCTACATGCGCTAGGCGCCCGCACCTGTACAGCTGCTTCCGCTTCAATCGGCCAGTCTCCTCCGGAGCGTCTTTGGCTTCTTCGGCCAGGAGACACAGCCAGGCGTGGAAGGCGAAGCCACCCCCAGGCCACTTCTGGATGGTGGGCACCATGATCCCCGTCATGCTCGGCATCAGGTCGAAGTACTGCAGCGCCCGCTCGGGTCCTTCCTTACGCGCCATGCCCGAAAGAGCTCGCACGACTTGCACCGTGTACGCGTGGCAACCCGTGCCATGCTCAGTCCGGAGGAGTCTCAGCAACTGCCGTAACTCGCCCGGACGGATCGAGAGACCGCCGAGCACTTGCAGCAAGTCGACAAGGTTCTCCGTGCACTTGCGGTTGAGGTTCTGCTGCGTGGCGCTCAGGGCGTCCAGCAAGTAGCCCACCATGCCCGCCCGGACACAGGTTGTGCGGCTCTGGAGAGAAGCACTGCAGATTTTCTTCAGCCACTCCGAAAGGAAGATCTGGAGGTCTTGAGAGGTGAGCTCGGGAATCCACTGGATCAGGATCAAGAGCGGCTGCTCATTGTGGATGAGGCGCGCAGGGGAGGCGGTGTGATCCCCTTCGACGGCCTGGGAAAAGGGTCACAGGTCTGAAGGTGAGTTATGATTAATTCTAATTCTAGCCCTAATTCATCTCTTAATTTTATTCAGTTCCAATTCTAATTCAGTAATTCTAATTCTGATTCTGATTCCGTTCTAATCCTAATCCTAATCTGATCATTCTAACTGAATTTGAATTCTAATTCAATTCTGATTCTGATTCAAAATTTAATTGTAATTCAGTTTGAATTCAATTCTAATTCAATTCCATTTCATTCAATTTGATTTGAATTCTAATTCGATTCTAATTCTGATTCAAATTCAATTTGAATTCTAATTCAATTCTAATTCTAATCATGATTCTAATTCTAATTAAATGTAATTCTAATTTAGAAATTCTAAGAATAATGCAATTCTCATTCTGATTCTCATTCTAATTCAATTCATTTTAATCCTAATTCTAATTCAATTCTGATTCTAATTCAATTCAATTTCAATTCAATTTAAATTCAACTCTAATTCATTTAAAATTCTAATTCTAATTCAATTTTAATTCATTTCTAATTCAAATGTAATTCAATTCTCATTCTAATTCTTCTATCCCTAACTCAATTCAATTCTAATTCAGTTCAATTTTAATTCAGCTCTAATTCAGTTCAAATTCTAATATAATTCTCATTCTAATTCAATTTTAATTCAGTTCCAATTCAAATGTAATTCAGTTGTAATTCAACTGTAATTCAATTCTAATTCTTCCAGTTCAATTTTAATTCAAGTCTTATCCACGTCTAATTCTTATTTTAATTAGTCTAATTTCAGGCTCAGTTTTGCTGCACAGAGCAGCTTGTGATTTTTTAAAATTGAATTGAATTTATCAAATTTGTATAGCCACTCCTCGCCGCCAAAGGATTTTTCCCATCGTTCTAGCCCTATTCCCCAACCTGGACCCCATCCTTCTTCTCCTAATGTGCACTCCATCCTGGATTTTGCCAGCAAAGGTTTTTTCCCCAAACAATGGTAAAATGTTATATATTTGCAGACAGCCCCACGTAATTAGCATACACTCCTTTTTTGGCCCAAATGAAGAATTCAACTACCCTACTAGGTAAGCTAAATTGAAAGAATACCCCAGGCCATTAATCTGATCATTTACTCCAGTGGTTCTCAACCTTTTTAATGCCGCGACCCCCAACCGGTCGTAAGTCGAGGACTACTCAACCGGTTGTAAGTCGAGGACTACTCAAATAGTGCAGCATCGTTTGCAGAATGGGACTTTTGGCGGGCTCAGCAGGGCAGAGACAGCCTGGACAATTCCTATTGGCTTTTGAAAGCCAATAGAACTAGACTCTATTCAAGAGAGTCTATTCTATTGGCTTTCAAAAGCCAATAGAATAAAAGGGAGTAGCACAGCTAAGGAAAAGGGGGGGGGGAAATGGCGGACTGCGTTGTTTGGCGACCCCTGTGAAATGGTCCTTCGACCCCAAATGGGGTCCCGACCCACAGGTGGAGAACCACTGATTTACTTCCTTTTGTCAACGCTGCTAACATCGGATGTTCTTGAGTGACAACATATGAAGAAGCAGACATGTTTTATTTAACCTGTGTATCACTTCTAGAGTTAAAGTCAGACAATGTTAGAAGGGGGGGGGGGAAGTATGTACTGGGGGATAGTTAGCCATAACAATATTTCGGTACAGTATTTCCAAGGTCAGTTGTAACCAGAGGAGAGACTGGGAGGGAAAGTTCACACTTCAAACTCATTGGAGAATGTGATTGATGACTGTTAAATGAAGAAGTGAGTTATGCTTTGTTATGGGTCATTGGGGGGGAGGGAGAATTCAGTTTTTGGCTTCATTATGTACCTGCGGAAGCTCTGCAGCAATAAAAGGATTCTTTAAGGTAAACAAGGCCTCAAAGTTCTTTGAAAAGCTTCTTCTTTCAGAACCATGACCCCTTTATTGTTAAAAAAGGCGAGTTTAGCAGGAAGCTAACCTTGGCTGACCTTGAAAAAAAGGCTAAGTGGGATTGGGAAAGGAGACCACCTGGAGATCCCAAAGCGATAGGCAGCACTGGGAAGGTGAGTTAAGCAATTTGCCAAAAACAAAAGAAAACTCAATGACAAACCACTTTCAGACCATGGCCCCAAATAAACCTCTTTATTTTTGAAGGACCAGATGTAAAAAGCATGAACTTTATAAAAATAAAGAAAGACGACCCTGTTTCTCGGCTCTCTAACAACAACAACAACGAGTTGGAAGGGACCTTGGGGGTCATCTAGTCCAACCCCCTGCTCAGGCAGGAAACCCTATCCCATTTCAGACAAATGGCTGTCCAGTCTCTTCTTAAAGACTTCCAGTGTTGGAGCATTCACCGCTTTCTGAATCAGAAAGTGCGACGTTCTCACCATGTTGAGCAGCTCCTGCAGCAGCTTCTTGGTGGGCTGACTCTGACTCTTCAGGACCTCGTAGAGGTGGGAGTAGCCGATCCTTTCTTTGAAGACCTCCTGGAGGAGAGAGTGGCCAGTGAGCCCCTGCCAGACCCAGGCAGACTTTGCAAACTTCAAGGAGTGTCTCTCTCTCTCTCTCTCTGTCCATCCATCTCTCTCTCTCTCTCTCTCTCTCTCTCTCTCTCTCTCTCTCTCTCTCTCTCCATCCCTATCTATCTATCTATCTATCTATCTATCTATCTATCTATCTATCTCTATCTATCTATCTATCCATCTCCATCCCTATCTATCTATCTATCTATCTATCTATCTATCCATCTCCATCCCTATCTCTCTCTCTATCTATCTATCTATCTATCTATCTATCTATCCATCTCCATCCCTATCTATCTATCTATCTATCTATCTATCTATCTATCTATCTATCTATCTATCTATCTATCTATCTGTATCTATCCATCTACCCATCTACCCATCTACCTACCTATCTATCTATTTCCATCTACCTACCTACCTACCTACCTACCTACCTACCTACCTACCTACCTATCTATCTATCTATCTATCTCTATTTATCTATCGGTATCTATCCATCTACCCATCTACCTACCTACCTACCTACCCATCCATCCATCATCCATCTATCCATCCTTGTCTGCCTGTCTGTCTGTCTGTCGATCTATCTTCTCCCATTCATCTATCCATCCATCATAACAGAAGAGAATATTTGTAGCTTAGGGGTTGAACTGTGGGGGTCCCTGGTGTTCTCTGACCTGGATGGTTTTCTTGCAGACATTTTATGATCCAACTAGGGAATGTCATCACTGCTAGGAGGGTTCAAAAGGAGGAGGAGGACTGTGGGGTCTTTGGGGTTCTCTGAGCTGGGTGCTTTCCTTGCATATGACCCAACTACGTAACATCATCAGGGCAAGTGACTTATATAGACAAGAGAGAGCAAACTCCACTCCCTAAGTGCACGTAACGCCTGCAAGAAAACCACCAAAAGCTCACAGAGCACCGAGGACCCCACAGAGTCATTTCCGTTGGCCTGCAAGCTGATTTCCTTGTCTTCATGTCCTGCACCCTGTTCAAGTTGCAGGACCCCCCCCCCATTTCACTTTGGGGTGCAGAGGCAAGAGAAATGGCCAGCCTGCATTGCAATCGCCCTTCTGATGCTTTCAGATATCCCAGAAGAGTCCGGGGGGGGGGGTGTCTTACCTTAGCCGTGGGGGAGGTGGCCATGATGGAAGTGAGGACCCCAATGGCGTGAATCGGGATGGCATCAGAGCTGCTGTCAAAAACCTGGGGGGGGGGGAAGGAAGAGAAAAGGATCTCAACACCCCAAAGCAACAAAATTTCTCGTGGGTGGGCTAACACCTCAAGAACTTCCAAGTGGGGTGTTCAGAGGAAGCAGAAGGCTGTGAGTTCAAGTCCTGCCTTAGCCATGAAAACCCACCGGATGGCTTTGAACCAATCACCTTCCCTCATCCCGGCCTACCTCCCAGGACTGTTGTTGTGGGGAAAATAAGAGGAGGAAGGCATGTTGGATCTGTTAACCACTTTGAATTATTTGCAATTATGATAAAAACGGGACACAAATAAAATGCGGGACACAAATAAAATGAAGAATAAAATAAAATAAATAATCCTGGAACAGGACAGGTCAAGAAAGGGAATCCAGGTAGTCCTCAAGTTACAACTATTCATTTAGTGGCCATTTGAAGTTACGGCACTGAAAAAGATGGTTTTTGACTATGTTTCATACTTATGACCGTGGCAGCATCCCCATGATCAAATGATCAAAATTTGGATGCTTGGCAACTGATTCATATTTGTGACAGTCGCGGTGTCCCGGGGTCACGTGATCCCCTTTTGCGACCTTTTGCAACAAGCAAACCAATGGGGAAGGAAGATTCACTTAATAACCATGTGATTAACTTAACAACTGCAGTGATTCACTTAACAACTGTTGCAAGGAAGGTTGTAAAAGGAAGCAAAACTCACTTAACAAACATCTCCCTTAGCAATTTTGGGTTCAGTTGTGGTCATAAGTAAAGGACTACCTCTGTTTGTAACGATAATAAAGGCAGGATGTAAATAAAATACAATACAACAACAACAACAACAACAACAACAATAAAAAAACTTAGTCTGGAAAAGGAGAACTTGAGAGAGGGAGTAATAAAACTATACCCAGACATTTTTATTCCATGCTTTCTGTCAAGTTAGATAGCGACAAAGCACCCACAACAGCCCCACAACTACACAGCCCCACACACAGCTTCTGACACGTCACTGGCAAGGAAGCCAAGCCAAGCCGTTAACTCTGAAAAAATTAAGCTACAGCATCCGTGGAACACAAAAACTAACATTAAAACAACATTAAAACACGCTGATCGGCAAATGAAGATTAAAAACAGCAGGGGGCAGAGAAACATCGCTATTACAGGTTCAGCTGTATGTAGGTATTCCTCGGCTTACGACCGTAATTGAGCCCAACATTTCTGTTGTTAACTGAGACATTCGTTAAATGAGTTTTGTGCCATTTTTCGGCCTTGCCGAAGTGGTTAACCGGACGGCTGCAAATTGTTAATTTAGGAACACAGTTGTGAAGTAAATCTGGCTTTCTATTTCTCAGAAAGTCGCAAAGCAGGACCACGTGAATCCCCGGGACCCTGCAACCGTCATAAATATGAGTCAGGTGGCAAGCATCCGAATTTTGACCCCGTGGAACACGGAGATGGTGCAATGGGCGTAAGAGTGAGGATCGGTCATAACTGACTTTTTTCAGTGCCGTTGTAACTTTGAACAGCTACTAAACACACTATTGTAAGTTGAGGACTAGCTGTACAGCAAGTCCTCGACTTATGACCATTTGTTTAGCAACTACTCGAAAACACAAGAAAGTGACTTACGACCAGTCCTTGCACTTACGACCATTACGGCATCCCCATGGTCGTGAGGTCAACATTCAGACACCTAGCAACTGGCATGTACTTATGACAGTTGCAATGTTACATGATCAAAATTCGTCTGCTTGGTAACTGACTCATTTTTATGATGGCTGTAGCATCCCGGGGTCATGTGATCCCCTTTTGTGACCTTCTGACCAGCGAAGTCAATGGGGGAATCAGATTCACTTAACCACTGGGGCAAGAAAGGTCATAAAATGGGACAAAAAACCTCCCTTAATAACTGTCTCATTTAACAACGGACATTTTGGGCTCCTTTGTGGTCATAAAGTCGAAAAGTACATGCAAAAGTCCTGGAGAGGCTGCAAACTAGAAAAACTGATCAAGATGTGAAGCTGAGATCACCCCTTTCCTTTCCTGACTAGAGGATAGTTAATTGCTTTTCCCCCCTCCACAGACACACTCCCGGTCAGTTTCACACAGAAGTTGTACAGATTTTTCTTTCTTTTTAGCCAGCCGACTTTTAAAAGCGTTCCTCAGTTTCCCTGACTACTGAAACCAGCAGGAGGAAAGAAATTCCGTTTGTTTAATGGGTCACATGCAGATCCCAGCAAGCTCGGAGATGTTTGCCGCTTTAGTTCAGATAACCATGGTTTCCCCAGAAGAGACCAAGCTGAAACAAGCATGCAATCTGCCCACCTTTCTTTCCATTTATTTGGGGCTGTAATGTCTGTGGATGCAATTTAGGAATAGGCAAGAGAATCACAAAGATCCTGGCTTGTTCTCAGCAATTACTGAGCAGTCCTCAACTTACAACAATTTGTTCAGTGACCGTTCAAAGTTACAACAGCACAGGAAAAAGTTTCACACTTTTGACTACTGTAGCATCCCCCATGGATTACGTGATCAATATTCAGATGCTTGGCAACCGACTCATATTTATGACGGTCAGTGTCCCGGGGTTACATGATCCCCTTTTACAACCGTCTGACAAGCAAAGTCAATGAGGAAGCTGGATTTGCTTAACAACCGTGTCATTAACTTAAGAACTTCTGTGCTTCAGTTAATGACTGTGTCAAGAAAGGTTGTAAAGTGGGGCAAAACTAAGTTAAAAACGTCTGTTAACAAGAGAAGTTTTGGGCTCAATTGCGGTCATAAACTGAGGACCATCTGTATGCTGTTCACTAACAGGCTCCTTTCTCTGAATGTGGGTGCCGAGATGAACAAAAATGGTTTTGAATCCACAGAGGAGAAAGTTTGAATTTCTTGGCGGGGCCAAACCAGAACAAGAGCATGCAAACCACGGTTTGTTTTAAAACTAGATTTTTTGATTGCAATTCCAAACATTTGCAAACCACCAGATCCAGGAAAGCCAGGAATATCTGCCTTGCAAAAAGCCACAGAATCATTAAAACAATAACAACAACACAAACCATCATCCTCTCTGTTTTAAACTTGATGGTTAAGGGCAGGGGTAGGCAACCTTGGCTCTTTTACTTCAACTCTCAGAATTCCTGAGCCAGCCATGCTGAGGGGAAAGGGAGAGCCATGCTGGCTCAGGAATTCTGGGAGTTGAAGTCCCCTCATTTTCCTAGTAACTCAGGGGTAAGCCACCTCGGCTCTTTTATGACTCATGGACTTCAACTCCCAGAATTCCTGAGCCAGCATGACTCAGCTTGGAAGCCTCTCCCTTTCCCCTCAGCAAGGCCGGCTCAGGAATTCTGGGAGTTGAAGTCCACCAGTCATAAAAGAGCCAAGGTGGCCTACCGCTGGTTTAGGGGTTCTGTTTGGGGTCTCAACGGCGTGCAATTGGCAGGGTTCTTCCAATTTTTCCCTGCTTGTGGTAGGAGGGGTGCTGGGTTCGAATCTCCTCCCAGGAGCCCCATTTCCAACGAACACACGTTATTAAAAGGGACAGTGGTTTGCAGGTCCTTTTCATCAGAGGGCTGGGAACAGCTGGCCCTAGAGGCTGCAGCCCACCGTGGGTGAGGGTTGCACCAAAAGGAAGTAGCTTTGATGACCTCTCTACAAGCAGTCCTCGATTTACGACTGGTTGGCTTAGCGACTGTTCACCCTGTGGTCAAATGATCACATTTTGGGTATTTGACAACTGGCCAGCACTTATAACTATATGGAGTATTTCACTATTAGTTGACAATGATTTTATGTTTTTTTTTTTTGCTGCAAACCAGTGTTTATTTCCTTCCTTCTCCCTCCCTCCCTTTACCCCCTATCTTCTCTTTTTCCTCCCTCTCCCTCCCTCCCTCCCTCCCTCCCTCCCTCCTTCTTTTTTTCTTCTGCTCCTTCCTTCTCTTCCTCTTTCCTTCCCTCCCTTTTCTTTCTTTCTTTCTTTCTTTCTTTCTTTCTTTCTTTCTTTCTTTCTTTCTTTCTTTCTTTCTTTCTCCCTCCCTCCCTTTTCTTTCTTTCTTTCTTTCTTTCTTTCTTTCTCTCTCTCTCTCTCTTTCTCTCTCCCTCCCTCCCTCCCTCCCTTTTCTTTCTTTCTTTCTTTCTTTCTTTCTTTCTTTCTTTCTTTCTTTCTTTCTCTCTCTCTCTTTCTCTCTCCCTCCCTCCCTCCCTCCCTCCCTCTCTCTCTCTTTTTCTCCTTCTCTTCCTCCCTTTTCTTCCCTCCCTCCCTTCCCTCCCCTCCAAGGGAAGGCCCTGGGAAAGGAGTTTCTTGTGGGTTGGAGGCACCACGTTCCCAAAACATCAGAACAGGGACCTGATATTGCTTCCAATAGATGATTTTCCCCTGTTTTTTTCTTCAGAGTTTGCCTTGCTCACGCTGCACTCTGCATCTCTAGTAAAAATACCTTTTCTCTAAAACCTGTGAAGTCAAGCGTCTTTCTTTTCTAGGGAGCAAATTGGTGCCAGTCTGACCCCTTCCTTCCTTCCCCCTCCTTTTCTTTCCTTTCCTTCTTCCTTCCCTTTTCTTTCCTTTTTTTCCCTATCTCCTCCTTCCTTCCTTTTCTCATCTCCTTCTTTCCCTCCCTCCCTTCCATCCCTTTTCCACTTCCGTCCTTCCTATTCCCATCTCCTTCCTTCCTTCCTTCCTTTTCCCATCTTTCATTCCTATCCCCTCCTTCCTCCCTCCCTTCCTTTTCCCATCTCCTTCCTTTCTTCTCTCCTTCTTTCTTTCCTCCCTCCCTCCCTTTTCCCATCTCCTTCCTTCCTATCCCATCTCCTTCCTTCCTTCCTTTTCCCATCTCCTTCCTTCCTATCCCATCTCCTTCTTCCCTCCCTTCCTTCCTTTTCTCATCTCCTTTCTTCCTTCCTTCCTTCCTCCCTCCCTCCCTCCCTCCCTTTTCCCATCTCCTTTTTTCCTATCCCATCTCCTTCCTTCCTTCCTTCCTCCCTTCCTTTTCCCATCTCCTTCCTTCCTTCCTCCTTTCCTTTTCCCATCTCCTTCCTTCCTATCCCATCTCCTTCCTTCCTTCCTTTTCCCATCTCCTTCCTTCCTCCCTTTTCCCATCTCCTTCCTTCCTATCCCATCTCCTCCCTCCCTCCCTTCCTTTCTTTTCCCATCTCCTTCCTTCCTTCCTTCCTTCCTATCCCTCCTTCCTTCCTTTTCCCATCTCCTTCCTGCCTTTCTTCCTTTTCCCATCTCCTTCCTTCCTATCCCATCTCCTCCCTCCCTCCCTTCCTTTCTTTTCCCATCTCCTTCCTTCCTTCCTTCCTTCCTTCCTTCCTTCCTTCCTTCCTTCCTTCCTTCCTTCCTTCCTTCCTTCCTTCCTTTCCCATCTCCTTCCTTCCTTCTCTCCCTCCCTCCTTTCAAGAGATTGCTCACGATTTCCCCGTGCAGGTTTCCAAGCACCACCCCACCCGTTCGTGAGAAGCGTGCAAAAGCTGGTGGAAGCCCTCGCCCCGTGTGAAAAGAGAGCAGCCCACATGCAGCCCACATGCACCCCTGCCACACCACGAGAAGCAGCATCAGCAGGAGGCTATACCTGACGGATCTCCATCTCAGTCAGCAGCCGTGTGGCCAGATCCCTTGCAGCTGCTTTGCACTCCCTGCTCAGGTAGAGCTGTCGGAAACGGGTTCAAAAAACCAGGGTCATTCCAGACGGGCGACGGGGGGAGAGGCTGGGCCTGGGGGAGGGTCTCCCCAGGAAAGGAGGGGCCCAGAGATTTGGCCCCAGTTGCACCAAGAGCAGAGAGCCCAGGACCGGCCCAGCAATTCTGGAGAGGAACAAGGCTCTCTACACACCAGAACATTTGAATTGTCCAGATTTTCAAAACAGAAGAGAATCTTTGTAGCTCCAGGTTGGGAACTGTGGGGATCCTTGGGGCTCTCTGAGCTTGGAGCTTTTCTTGCAGACGTTTCGTGACCCAGCTAGGGAACGTCATCAGTACTGTAAGGTGGTGGGAGGAGGAGGAGGAGGAGGAGGAGAAGAGGAGGAGGAAGAAAAGGACTGTGGGGATCCTTGGGGCTCTCTGAGCTTGGAGCTTTTCTTGCAGACGTTTCGTGACCCAAGTAGGGGATGTCATCAGTACTGTAAGGCGGTGGGAGGAGGAGGAGGAGGAGGAGGAGGAGGAGGAGGAGGAAGAGGGGGAGGAAAAGGACTGTGGGGTCCTTGATGCTCTCTGAGCTTGGAGCTTTTCTTGCAGACATTTCATTGACCCAACTAGGGAACATCATCAGTGCTAGAAGGAAGTGGAGTTTACTATCTTTTTATATACTAGTGGCTGGTGGAGGCAATATTGATGGGAGTGGTCTTCGTAGTTCCTTGATACTCCCCCCCAACATTAATAGGGCATGCATATAAACACAGAGCCACACCAACCCTTCTAGTTCTGATGACGTTCCCTAGTTGGGTCATGAAATGTCTGCAAGGAAACCACCAACCTCAGAGAGCACCAGGGACCTCATAGTCCTTCCTCCTCCTCCTCCTCCTCCTCCTCCTCCTCCTCCTCCTCCTCCTCCTCCTCCTCCTCCTCCTCCTCCTCCTCCCTTCTAGCACTGATGACGTTCCCTAGTTGGGTCATGAAACATCTGCAAGGAAACCACCCAGTTCAGAGAGCACCCAGGACCCCAGTCTTCCTCCTCCTTCTCTTCCTCTTCCTCCTCCTCCTCATCTTCATCCTCCTCATCTCCTCTTTCTCCTCATCTTCGTCCTCCTTCTCCTCCTCCTCGCACTGATGATGCCACCTAGTTGGGTCATGAAACGTCTGCAAGGAAACCCCCAACCTCAGGGACCACCAGGGACCCCCCAGAATTCAACCCTGAGCCACAAACACACTCTTCTATTGTCTGGTTGTTTCCACACAACCCAAACTGAACAGAATACGGGATAAAAGACCCGGAAGGCTTAGGACCAGCAGTTTGGGGTGGCCAAGATGCATAGTGGCCCAAGGACTCCTAAATCTACAGGCAGGCCTCAACTTACAACCATTCATTTAGGGAATGTTTGAAGTTCCAAAAAGAGTGGGTTGTAACTTATCCTCACATTTATGACCTTTGCAGCATCTTCAGTGTCATGGGATAAAAATTTGGGTGCTTGGCAATCAGCATGTCACACAATCACTGTTTGTGACCTTCCCAGCTGGTTTCTGACAAGCAAAATCAGCGGGGGGAGCCGGTTTCACTTAATGACCGTGTGATTTACTTAACAACTGCAGTGATTCGCTTAACAACCGTGAGGGGGAAAAGGTCATAAAAACTCACTTACCACCTTGCTTAGCAACGCAAATCCCAATCCTGATTGTGGTTGTTAAGTCGAGACTACCGATATCCCCACAATTAATGGGGGTTCCTGAGCACCTCCAAACAAACCCGATTCTCAAACTCCGCAGGCTGCAGCTTTCTGACATGCGAACCCATCCCAAATCCTAGTTTCCCCCCCCCCACTGTTCCCTCCCCCACCAGTAAAAAAGCATTGTTGTGATTGCCGAATTGTGAGTCTGGTGGAAAATTGGGAAGTGTGTTGTAGCAACCAGGAGCCTCAATGGGTTAGGCTGGCCAGCGAGTCTCCGAGTAAGATGACCACGGACGTGCACAAACAATGTTAAAATGGAAAAACCGGCAAAGAGGAAAGTGACAGGAGAGGAAGAACAGATCCTTGTTTGTTTAAAAAAGCCTGGTTTAAAAATAGCCCCAGGAGAAAGAGAGATCAGAGCAGGTCCCACCTCGAAAAGAAAGAAATCAGGGTTTATTTACGAGCTTTTCCAAAAGGGTTTTGAAGGGGAAGGACAACGAACAGGAACCATCTGGGACGCAAAACTATCCGTCGTCTTTTTCATTCAAAAGGTTTTCTACCACAATTGTTTTCGCTGCGATTCCCAACCCTCGTTTCCTATACCCGAAAACCGTCCACTGGGGAAAATAGATTTGCTTAATGACTCCCAAGGACTTAGAGGACATTCTCTGATTCCTGACAAGGACTAATGTTCTTTTGCAACCCCCAAGTTTTAACCCTAAATGCTCACCCTGACCATAACCCAACTTATCCTGGCTTGTGCCTCGAGAAATTCCTTGAAACGTTCCCCGACGTATAATCCCTCTCTGAGGCAAAACTTACCCAGCCTCAACTGCCTAGCTCTAACAACAGTGCTATTAATCAGTTAGTTATTAAGTAGCTATTATTATTAATCAATAATTATCAATCACTAATTATTAAGTATTTTTTATTTTAGAAGCTCCACATAGCTCAGAGCAATCTATTTTTTTTAAATAAAGCTTCAGCAGAGCAGGGATGTTTCTGGGAAGCGTTCAAAAAACCCTAAATGGTGGGCAAGCCGAGCTTTGCCCGTTTCTTTGTACAATTATGTGGTTGTTGGGGCTGCCATTTTGACTTTTTTTGCCCCATATGGTATACACACTCACTCCATTTTAGAGGAAGAAGGGATTTAAGGACACCCCTCCCAGGATGTACAGATAGTTCTCGACTTACAACCATTCATTTAGTGATCGTTTATAGTTACAACGGGACTGAAAAAAGGGACATGACTGTTTTTCACTCTTACGACCGTTGTAACCTCCCCATGGTCATGTGATCCAAATTAAGTCACTTGGCAACTGACTCATATTTATGGCAGTCGCAATGTCCCGGGGTCACGTTATCCCCTTTTGCGATCTTCCGACAAGTAAAGTCAATGGGGGAAGCCAGATTCACTTAACAACCAAGTGGCTAATTTAACAAGTGCACTGATTCACTTAACAACCATGGAAAGGAAACTCATCAAATGGGGCAAAGCTCACTTATCCACTGTCCCCCTTATTGTGGTCGTAAGTCGAGGACCACCTCTAGAAAAACAGGAGTTGAGATTGGACCACGAGAAACATCTTTCGTGGCAATTATTCACCAGTCTTGTTTCCCCCCCCCAAAAAAATATTTTTCTGAAATTTAAGGAAACCCACCAATGTTGGTTGGAAAAACAAGGATTTTTATTATTTTTTTACCTTGCTGTTTTGGATCAATCGTATGATGTGTTCAAAACAATTGTTGCTCAGGAACATGGCTTGCAAGACCGGCCGGTCGTCAGAATTCAACATTTCTGGAATGGCGTCTGAAGAGAGAGAAAAGACAGACCACATTCAGACAACAACCGGGCACAGGATCGATGTAAAACCCGGTGGTTTTGACACTGTTCGAAGCTTCGACAGACACACGACCTCCCCCCAAAAGATACACAAAGTCCTCGACTTAAAAAAAACGTTCTTTTAGTGATTGTTCAAAGTTACAACGGAGCTGAACAAAAGGACTTAGAACTGATTTGCAGACTTACAACTGTCGCAGCATCTCCATGGTCACGTGATCAAAATTCAGACGCTTGGAAACTGACTTGTACTTATGACAGTTGCAGTGTCCCGGGGTCACGTGATCCCCTTTTGCGACCTTCTGACGAGCAAATTTAATGGGGGAACCCAATTCACTTAACAACCGTGTTCCTAATTTAAAAACTGCAGTGATTCACTTAACAGCTGTGGCAAGAAAGGGCATAAAATGGGGCAACACTCACTTAACAACTGTCTCGCTTAGCAACCAAAGTGTTGAGCTCAATTGTGGTCATAAGTCAAGGAGTATCTGTACTTACGACCCAGAGTTGAACTTCTGGCAATGCCCTGATCAGAGGTTGCTTACTGGCCAAGTTACCGCGATTGCTAAGTGGAGACTGAAGTTGCTTCCGTTGAGGTTCTCCAGAAATAGAAAGCTGTTTCCAGGTTTGGGGTGAAGACCCCAAAGAAAGAGTCAAGGTTCCATCTCAGCAGACCCAACTGGTTCATCAGTGTTAGAAGGGGAGAGTAAAGAGTGAGGAGTGGAAGAGGAGGAGGGGGAGGAGGAGGAGAAGGACGACGACTGTGGGGTCTTTGGTGCTCTCTGAACTTGGTAGTTTTCTTATAGACATCTCATGACCCAACTAGGGAACATCATCACAGCCACAAAGCAGGGAGGGTTTGCTCTACAGAGCTCCTTCCAGCACTGGTGATGTCACTTAGTTGTGTCATGAAATGACTGCAAGAAAACCACCAAGGATGTCACATTTCAGTCCTAAACGACAAATATTCTTTTCTAATCACACGGACAACCTTCTGAGGTACGTGATCCCTTCGCTGATGGCCCTGTAGGCCAAAGCAGAAGTCTCTCTCCTCCAGTCCAGGAGACCCCCCACCACCTCTTCCCCCTTACCCAACATGTTCACCCGCAGCGTGATCAGCTTCTCCTCCCAGTGAGGGCCTGGTGACCCTTCCAGCGAGGCCAAGGGTTGGTCGGCGTTAAGGACTTTGAAGAAGCTGTCCAAGATGGCTCGGATCTCCACGGCCCGCTGGTTTGGGCTGCTGCTGTGGAGGACGTGAACCATGGACACCACGCTCTTGAGGGTCATCTGCAGCAACTGGGGGTCCTTGGTGGGTCCGCTGGCTGGAAGGCACCACCTCCGGAGGACCAGCATGAGGACCTCGACCGCCGATGGGGTGATCATCTGGAGAGCGTTTTGCTATGAAGAAGGAGAAGAAGACCACCAATGCTTGGCTTCAAGCAGACCAGGAAAAGGACATGGCTTGCTAGGTAATCCTCGACGTACGACCATTTATTTAGCAACTGCACCAGAAAAAAGAGACTTGGGGCCGTTTTTCAGACGACTGTTGCAGTATCTCCAGGGTCATGTTATTAAAATTACAAGGCTTGGCAACTGGCACATATCTAGGACAGTTACAGTCCCAGGATCATGTGACTGCTTTTGTGGCCAAGAAAAGCCAATGGGGGAACTTTGAGTCACTTAATGAGCACACAATTCGTTTAACAACTGCCCTCATTCACTTCGCTATCTTCTGACAAGCAAAATCGGTGGGGGAACTTTGATTCCCTTACTGACCACATGGTTCATTTAACAACTGCAGTGATTCCCTTAGCCATCTTCCAACCAGCAAAGTCAATGGGGGGGGGAAGCTGGATTCGTATAACGACCACACGATCCGTTTAACAACTGCAGCCATTCGCTTAACGACCAAAAAGGTTGCAAAATGAAGCAAAACTCACTTCACTTGGTGAGCAACAGAAATTTTGGGCTCAGCTGTAAGTTGAGGACTATCTGTACTTCAAGGACAGGTTCCATTATGGTTCTCTTCCTCTCACGATGCTCAACCACAACCCTCCCAATTCGCAAGCAGCACAGTGGTTGGCTCCTCGGCTGGGAACCATGGGACTCGGTGTCTCTTGTAATCAAAGAGTTATGGAAAGCCGATCGATCATCAACAGGAGAGAAAAGCGGAAAAGCTAAGTAAAAAATTTTCTTTTGCCTCATGTCTTCTTAGAGCTTATACATGCTCCACACAGGCAGTGGAACATGGGCCAAGGAACTTTTGGTGAGGGTCTTGGTCACCTCTTGGTGTTCCATCCCTTCATATATCTCTTAAGAGCAAAAGCAGGAGTGGATCCTTCTCTATTTAGATCTCTGCTCCCAGCCCACTCCTCCCAGGTAATCCTTGATTTTCCGTTGCTAAGCAAGGCAGTTGTTAAATGAGGCCCATCTGGGCTTGCAATCTTTTTTAACAAGGCGGTTAAGGTAATCACAGCAGTTGTTAAGGGAATGATGCGGTCACTGAGCAAATCGAGCTTCACCCAATGACTTTGCTTTGAGACCCAGCACTGAAAAGGGGGTTGGACTAGATGGCCTCTAGAGTTCCTTCTAAACCTAGAATTCTCCTCCTGGAGGCCTTTAAATGCAGAAGCTAAAGACTTGCCTTGGATCCAGAGAGAATAGCCCCCAAAAGGTGGATTAGCCGCAACTGAAGGTATTCTGGGAGCTCTTGGTCCATTTCAAAGCATTCTAGGGAGGGAGGGGAAAAAAAATCAAATCAAACAATCAATTAATTAAACACCCACCTCCAGCTGCCTTGACTAAATGATCCAAGGAAAGTGCAGTGTTTCTCAATGCTGGCCACTTTAAGAGGGGAGGACTTCAACTCCCAGAATCCGCTACCACAATGCCTTAAGATGGGTGGACTCCAAATTCCCAGAATCCCCCAGCCAGTATGCTTTCAGAGGGGAGGACTTCAACTCCCAGAATCCACCACCATAATACCTTAAGGTGTGGACTTCAACTCCCAGAATCCCCCAGATGGCATGCTTTAAGATGGATGGAGGGATGACTAGCCAGGGAATTCTGGGAACTGCAGTCCACATATCTCAAAGTTGCTAAAATTCATAAACAGCATTTACAGTCATCCTGACTTACGTCCATCATGGTCAGGCTCCACAATGGTCCTAAATTCAGGAATAGCTGTACTTTAATTTTAAATTTGTTTTTGTTTACAATTCTGGTCAGTGACCATAAGGAAAAATAATCTTAAATTCCCTAATGCAGGCAGTCCTCCATTTAGGACTGTAACTGAGCCCAAAATTTCTGTTGTTAAGTGAGACAGTTGCTAAGTGAGTTTTGCCCCATTTTACAACCTTTCTTGCCACAGTTGTTAGGTGAATCCCTGCAGTTCTTGTTAGCAGCATGGTTGTTAAGTGAATTGGACTTCCCCCACTGAATTTGCTTGTCAGAAGGCCGCAAAAGGGGATCACGTGACCCTGGGACACTGCAACTGTCATAAGTACAAGTCAGTTTCCAAGCCTGAATTCTGATCATGTGACCATGGGGATGCTGCAATGGTCGTAAGTGTGAAAAACAGTCAGGAGTCCCTTTTTTTTGTTTAGTGCCTTTGTAACTTTGAGCGGTCACTAAATGAATAGTTGTAACTTAAGGATTACCCGTACTTATTTTTTAGCAAAGAGAAGCTGGTGAACACCAATTAACCAAGAAAGCTAGTGGGGGGGGGGGTTCACACTAAATTAAGCCCAGAAAAAAACCATGATGGTGAGGCATTTCTGGCAACCTGCAAGTAAAGTCCCTAGAAGTAAAGAAAATGCCATGAAAACACATCTATTCAAGGGGTTTTCAGTTAAGAAAAGTCCCCAAAATTCCTGGCAGGCAGATAATTAATATTAAAAGCACCAACGGTTTCTGGAAATCTACTCCACCCTGCATTTGTGTGTTTGTGACTTTTTGTGTGTATTTAATGAGCCAAGAAGAGGTGCTCGTTAGGATGGAGTCCTTGCTTAGATATTAAATTTAATATCTAACTTAAAAATTTAAATTTAAAATTAAAATTAAATTTAAGAGGATAAGTTCAAAAGCCATGGAAGAGAAACCACCCCCCACACTGTTTTTCACATTTATGTAGCCTTCCCGTGGGTCACATGATCAAAATTCAGAGGCTTGGCAACTGACTCATATTTATGACGGTTGCAGCATCCTGGGGTCACATGATCCCCTTTTGCGACCTTATGACAAGCAAAGTCAATGAGGGAAGCCAGATTCGCTTAACGACCGTGTTACTAACTTAACAACTGCAGTGATTCACTTAACAACTGTGGCAAGAAAGATTGTAAATTGAGGCAAAATTAACTTAACTAATCTTTCACTCAGTAATGGAAATTTGGGGCTCAATGTGGTCGTAAGTCGAGGACTCTCTGCATATGCTTGTCTAATGAGAATATTACATATATCAATCTAATACAATTATAAAACTGTTTTTTTTTGTGGTTAAGGCACTTTTGATATGTGTTTTTTTTCTTCTTCTCTTTGACAACAACTCGACTCCTTTTTCCTTTTGCTCATGTTTTTTTACTAATTAAAAAAGCAATTAATCCATGATTAATTTTAATCAATCATTGATTTTAATGAAATAACAGTCCGTTGAGTTTTAAGGAATTGAAAGGAAGAAAACAGCAGATATGTCCTGATAACAATTCTATATTGTCTTGTTTAATGAAAATATTACTTCCCCCCCCCCTTCTCTTCTTTGACAAATCACTGTGATTTTTGTGTGTTTTGCTCTTCTTTTGGCGATTAATTAAAAAGCAATTTAAAATAGAAAGGAAAAAACAGGGAAGGGGATTTTTTTTTTCTTTTGCAGGGTAGGGAGGAGAGAAAGAGAATATTTAGTGATGCTGCCATGTGTACCTTCAAAAAAGGAACCGAACTCCGGAGGCAACACAGCTGGTGTGAACTTGTATTTGTTCTTCTCTTTCGCACTCACAATCTCCCTGGGAAGGAAACAACACAAAAGAGTGTGAGAGACGTTGGAAGGAGATGTAAGGGAATAACAAGAGCCAATTGGGGTGAAAAAAACCGTCACACTCATGCAATTGTTGCCTTAAAGTCTGTTTTCTGTGCCAGATTTAGTTCCCATCATCCCCGGCTGTGGACTAGCAAGGGAACTGAAGCCCAATGTGTGTGGGCAGGGATCAGAGAGAGAGGAATGGTATCTTCAAAAGCTGTACAAGTAGTCCTTAACTTATGACCACAAAAAGAAATCGGAATGTCTGTCACTAAGTGAGGCGGTTGTTAAGTGAGTCACATAGGATTTTACAATCTTTCTCGCCATGGGGGTTCAGCAAACCACCACAGCTGTTAAGTGAATCCTGAAGTTGCTAGCCCAAGGTGGGCACAAGGGGTGGTCTAAATTTTAAGTCTCCTTTTTTTCCAGGTTGGTCGTAAGGTGGAAAGATTGTTAAGCGACCAGTCGTAAGTCAAGGAAGGCCATATAGCACTTCAGAGCCGTATTTCTCAGCCCAGGCATCTTGAGGATGGATGGACTTCAACCTCCAGAATTCCCTAACTGGCAGTAGGAATCTGGTTTTGAATTAAGCAGAACACCTGGTCTGCTTAGGAGACAATATAGATAGTTCTCGACTTACAATGGTTCATTTAGTGACTGTTCAAAGTTACAACGGTACTGAAAAGAATGACTTATACACCGTTTTTTCACCCTTACGAACACTGCAGCATCCCCGTGGTTCCCTCATCAAAATTCAGGCATTTGGCAACTGACTCATATTTATGTCCCGGAATCACATGATCCCCTTTTGCGAACTTCTGACAAGTGAAGTCAACAGGGAAACCAGATTCATTTAACACCGTGTTACTAACTTAACAACTGCGGGGATTAATTTAACAATTGTGGCAAGAAAGGTGGTAAAATGTGGCAAAACTCACTTCACAACTATCTTGTTTAGCAATTGGGCTTGACTGTGGTTGTACATTGAGGTTCACTTGTATCGTCAATCTTGGCACCATATCATGGAAACCCACAAAAAATGTACACGCCATGCAAATTCTTGGCTTGTGCTTAGCCCAAGCAGCCTTCAGCAACCTCAACAGGAAGGGGAAGCACCAGATTTTACTTTTAATATTTTTATTTAAAGAATTTATATGAGTGGAATAGAATCAACATTCAATTGCCTACTGGCTTCCCCAATGACTTTCCCTATAGGAAGGTGGCAGAGAGCCATGGAAAATTTTATTTTTATTTAGTTATTGCTATTGTTGTTCTGTTGCTAAGTTGTGTCTGATTTTTTCTGATCCTGGGGTACCCCACTTTTATTACTAAAATGATAATCACGAATCTTATTGAAATGATTGTGAATGTTACTGAAATGGTGATCATGTTATTGCAGCATTGCCAAGTTTTAATAACCCCCCTCAAAAAATTAGGGGTCTTGGATCTTGGATGCATTCTGTACGTTAGCCGATTTGAGGTCTGTTGGTTCAAAAGTCGTTGCTGTACGAAGCATCAGATTGCCCCATTGAAGGTGACAAACAGACACACAGGTTTTATTAATAGGTAGATAACCAACATTTTGAATTGCATTGGCAGCCCTTTCATACTGCCCACCAGGAGACAATCTACAACAGGGGTCCCCAACTCCTGGTCTGTGGACCGGTACCAGGCCATGGCATGCCTACAACCAGTCCACACAAACAAGCGAAGCCCCATCCACAGGATGCGGGCAGCATACAAAACCATGCCCCCTCCAGTCCACAGAAAAGCCTCTCTCCACGGAACTAGTTCCTGGTGCCCAAAAGGTTGGGGGCAGTGGTGGGATTCAGCTGGTTTGTACCAGTTCGGCAGAACCTCTAGCTAAATTTTGTTGAATTCAGAGAACTGGCTGAACCCACACTGCTTCCAGAAGTCCATTCTAGACCTTAGAACCGCATGCCGGAAGTGCATGGATGTCACTTCTGGAAGTCCGTTCTAGGCCTGGGAGGCCTCCTAGAATGGCCCACTGGAAGTGCATGATGTCACTTCCGGAAGTCCGTTCTAGGCCTGGGAGGCCTCCTAGAATGGCCCATTGGAAGTGCATGGATGTCACTTCCGGAAGTCTGTTCTAGGCCTGGGAGGCCTCCTAGAATGGCCCACTGGAAGTGCATGGATGTCACTTCCGGAAGTCCGTTCTAGGCCTGGGAGGCCTGGAGGAGGCCTCCCAGGCCTAGAATGGCCCACTGGAAGTGCATGGATGTCACTTCCGGAAGTCCGTTCTAGGCCTGGGAGGCCTCCTAGAATGGCCCACTGGAAGTGCATGGATGTCACTTCCGGAAGTCCGTTCTAGGCCTGGGAGGCCTGGAGGAGGCCTCCCAGGCCTAGAATGGCCCACTTGAAGTGCATGGATGTCACTTCTGGAAATCCGTTCTAGGCCTCGGAGGCCTGGAGGAGGCCTCCCAGGCCTGGAGGAGGCCTCCCAGGCCTAGAACGGCCCACCGGAAGTGCGTGGATGTCACTTCCAGAAGTCCATTCTAGGCCTTGGAGGCCCAGACCTGCATCCATGCAGAGAACTGGTTATTCAGGTATTTGAATCCCACCACTGGTTGGGGACCATTAATCTACAACAGTGAGTCTCAACCTTTCTAATGCCGTGACCCCATAATACAGTTCCCCATGTTGTGGTGACCCCCGAGTGGGTGTGGCCACCAATAAGAGGGAGTAGGACAGCTAGGGAAAAGGGAAAGAAATGGCGGACTGCGTTGTTTGGCGACCCCCGTGAAATGGTCATTCGACCCCAAATGGGGTCCCGACCCACAGGTTGAGAACCACTGATCTACAAGGTCCAGCCATTCACCTCTGGCCAGATGTGGCCAAGCAGCTCTCATCACCTGCCTAGAAGCCGCAGGTTCTCCCTGAGATGTGACCTTCCCATGGACGAGGACAGAAAGCCACTCACCCGCTCAGCTGCCTCCGCCAGGTCTGGTAGGGATCGAAGAGACATTCGCAAAGGTGCAGGCCGTAAAGTGTGACACTCTCCAGCGGGCCATGGTGGGGCCAAGGATCTGCCTGGAAGCTGTTGAGCTGTTGGGGAGTTAACCACAAATTAACCACCTTCAGCGTTTCTCTAGTCTTTGCCTGTGAACCACGTTCCGGAAAGAGTCTTTCTTTTAACAAGGGAGATCAGAAGGCAGGAAAATGCAGGATTCACAGGAGGTTTCAGAGGAAGGGAGAGAGGAAAGAAAATGAGTGAGGGAGGAAGGGAGGAAAGAAAGAGAGAGAGGAGAAGAAGGAGGAAAAAGAGAGAGGAAGGAAATGAGTATTAGGAAAAAAGAAAGAAAGGACAGAAAGATGGAGGGAGGAAAGAGGGAAGAAATGACTGTTAGGAAAAAAAGGAAAGAAAGGAAAGAAAAAGGAAGGAAGGAAAGAGGGAGGGAGGGAGGAGAAACAAGGAAGGAAAAGAAGGAGGGAGGAAGGAACAAAAATAGAGAGGAATTGAGTGTAAGAAAAAGGAAGGAAGGAAGGAAGGAAGGAAGGAAGGAAGGAAGGAAGGAAGGAAGGAAAACTGACAGTGAGAGGGGGAGAGAGGAAGAAGGGAAAAATGAAAGGAAATAAAGGAAGAAGGAGGAGGAGGAGGGAGGAGTGAAAGAGGGAAGAAAAAAATGAAAGAAAGAAAGAAAGAAAGAAAGAAAGAAAGAAAGAAAGAAAGAAAGAAAGAAAGAAAGAAAGGAAGGAAGGAGGGAGGGAGTCCAGTGTGGATGGATATGGAGGGTTTTAAGGTTTTTATTCTCTGTTCCAGCATTCCTCAATATTGACAATTTGAAGATGGGTGGATTCCAACTCCCAGAATTCCTTAGGCATCATCCCGGGTGGGGAATTCTGGGAGTTGAAGCCCACCCCTCTTCAAGTAGGCGAGGTTGAAAAACATCGATTTTTCAGGAATACCTACAACTCCATAGGAGTATCTGGTAAACAAAGTGCAGGTCCCATGACCATCCCAAATTGAAATAAATCTATTAAATAACAGGGAGTCCTCGACTTACGACCACAATTGAGCCCAAAATTTCTTTTGCTAAGCAAGACAGTTGTTAAGTGAGCTTTGCCCCCATTTTACGATCATTCTTGCCCCCAGTTGTGAAGTGAATGTTTAATCCGTCACACGGTCGTTAAGTGAATCCAGCCACCCACTGACTCTGCTCATCGGAAGATCCCAAAAGGTGGGTTGCGTGATCCCCTGGGGACGCTGTGACCATCATAAATGGCCGAATCAGTGACTAAGCTGTCTGAATTTTGATCCCGTGACCACGGGGATGCTGCAACGGTCGTAGGGATGAAAAAAGGTCCCCAGTCACTTTTTTCACAGCAGTTGTAATTTCGAACGGTCACTAAATGAATGGTTACAAGTCGAGGACAACGTGTATTTAGCCCTGTACCCAGAGTGGGAAGGGTGGCAAGCCTCCAGATGATAGCCATCACCACACAGTCAAAGCCCCCTGTTGGTTTCACAAGCTTTGATCCTGCGGTCAAGCCAACGTCTGTTCTCATGGGCATCCCCCGCATTAAAGACCCTGCAAGGCAGTTGCTTGTTGCTTAGCTTTCTCCTTGCGAGACTGTCCCAAAATGACTTGGTTTCTCCTTGCGAGGATCTGAGTGACAAAATGAACCTGCATTTCTTGTGGGTAAGGGAAGCCTCCCTCCTAACCCTGGTTAGAGGGCTCAGAAGATCAGGGTTACCTTTTTCGAACAGGTAGACAGCAGAACGACCAGCTCGTGGACGAACAGGGGTGGACGGTCATCCTGAACGTTTTCGAGATTCCTGCAAGGAAACCAGAAGCCACCTTGAAAAACGGGAAACGTTATCCGGCATCCAACTCAGTTTACACAGGACAGCCTGCACGGTGATAGCAAATCCTAATAATTTGTTATCATTCCTAATTAATAATAATTACTAATTATAGCATCAGTAACACGGGTAGTCCTCAACGTAGAACCACAATGGAGCCCAATAAGTGAGACATTTATTAAATTAATTTTGCCTCATTTTATGATGTTTCTTGCCACAGTTGTTAAGTGAATCATTGCAGTTGTTAAATTAGTCTCATGGGTGTTGTGTGAATCTGGCTTTCCCACTGACTTTGCTCATCAGAAGGTTGCCAGAGGGGATCACGTGATCCCGGGGCACTGCGACCGTTATAAATATGAGTCAGTTGCCAAGTGTCCAAATTTTGATCACGTGACCATGGGCATGCTGCAACTCCCAGAATCCCCCAGCCAGCATGCTTTAAGACGGGTGAACTTCCATTCTCAGAATCCCCCAGCTGAATGCCTTAAGAGGGATGGACTTCAACTCCCAGAATCCCCCAGCCAGCATGCTTTAAGATGGGTGGACTTCAACTCCCAGAATCCCCAGCCAGCATGCTTTAAGATGGGTGGACTTCAACTCCCAGAATCCCCCAGTCAGCCTGTTTTAAAGTGGGTGGATTTCCACTCCCAGAATCCCCAGCCAGCATGCTTTAAGATGGGTGGACTTCAACTCCCAGGATCCTCCAGCCAGCATGCTTTAAGATGGGTGGACTTCCACTCCCAGAATCCCCCAGCCAGGATGCTTTAAGAGGGGTGGGCTTCCACTCCCAGAATCCCCCAGCCAGCATGCTTTAAAAGGTGAGTGGACTTCCACTCCCAGAATCCCCCAGCCAGAAAGTCTGCCCATCTCCCTCTTGCCAAGGGTGAGAAGCACCTGTCTAGGTAGAAAGGTGCTTGGAGCTTCGGTTTTGGGCATCGTCTTCAGATATGCGGGAGAAGCTCACCCAGACAAGATGGAACACCCCCAAATTTATCTGGGGTTACTCCTGGCCTCTCCTCTCCCCACATTTTAATTCTGATCTCTCCTCGTCTTCCATCTTGGTCGCCTGTGCCAAAATTCCCCGTGTGCTTATCTTCAGCTTACCAACCGCAACTTCGACAGGAAGACGGGTAGCGCAAGGCGCTGTCTTCCCCTCTTCCTGTTGGGTTAAAAATAAAACAGAGCTCGGCACATGCCTTCAGATCTGCTGGACCATCATCCCCACTGCCAGCTCTGTTTGAGGATGATGGGAGTAGCAGTCCCATACAGTTGGGCCAGTGCAGCTCTGCTTTGGGTGTGTGTGGGGGGACAATTTAGTTCTATTGATTTTATTTTCTTTATTTCTATCCTGCCTTTGTTCTTTTTACAAATAACTCAAGCTGGTGAATCTATCTGACACATCCTCCTCCTCCTCCTATTTTCCTGATAAAAACAGCCCTGCGAGGTGGGTTGCACTGGGAAAGAGAGGGACTGGCCTCACCCAGCTGGCTTTCATGCCTAAGGCGGGACTAGAACTCACTGTCTCCTAGTGATTAGCACAGAATCACCCAGTCGGCTTTTAGGCCTAAGGCGGGACTAGAACTCCCCGTCTCCTGGTGATTGGCCCAAAGTTGCCCAACTGGCTTTCATTCCTAAGGTGGGTCTAGAACTCATTGTCTCCTGATGATTGGCCCAAAGTCACCCAGCTGGCTTTCATGCCTAAGGTGGGACTAGAACTCACCGTCTCCTGGTGACTGTCCCAAAGCCAATTGGCTTTCATGCCTAAGCTGAAGCTGGCTCTTTGGGCCAATTGCCTCCCTCACAGGGCTGTTGTGGGGGGTTGACAGGAATCAGGAAGAAGCAACACTATATACAACAGTCCTCAACTTATGACTAGTTGTTGGCTGACCGTTTGAAGTGATAATGGCCCTGAAAAAAACTGACTTACGAAAGGTCCTCACACATACGACTGTCCTTGCACTTATGACAGTCCCCACATTCAAAATTTGGTTCTTGGCAACCATCCTATATTTACAATGGTTGCAGTGCCCCAAGGTCACATGATTATCAGTTAGAACAGGGGAAGCTGGATTCGCTTAATGACCGGGCCATTGGCTTGATTGCAGCAAATTGCTGAAGCACAGGGATTCACTTAATGACCACAGCCAAAAAAAGATGTAAATTCAGGAGGACTCGCTTAATGACCTTCTCACTTGTTCCTAATTGTGGTCGTAAGTTAAGAACTATCTGTAAATCCAACAATCTGGGATTGAAATCAAACAAATTTATGGCAGACATTATTTGGCACTTTTATCTGATTGTTCCCTGTGGCTGTTCTTGGGGGGAGGGGGGAGAAAAACAAGGGTTTTGGGGGGTGAAAGAAATATTTAATATCTCCAGAGAAGGAAGAAAATGAACCCAGGAGAACTTTCAGCAGTAAAATACCTTGCCAGCAAACAAAGCAATATTTATTGGTTAAATTTGTAATATAAACTAAACAAGTCGACAAGGAAACTGTGTTTTTGAATACTGGCAATGATAAATGCTGCTTAGCTAATCTCTATTTTGCTTTAGCTTTTTTTTTTTTTTTAACATGCAGCTTTCAAAACAAAAATAAGGCAGGCAGCCGTGTATTTTTAAATTTTGACTTTCTTTAGAAAAGAAAAACCGGTTTTCAGTATTTTCATATGCAAATTTTAGAACAGAGACCAATGTTCAGTGTTTAGAGGGTAAAACAAACCAGCTTCCTATTTTTAAGGTGCAGTTTTTTAGAGAGGAAATCAAACCAGTTTCCTGTTTTTAAGGTGTAACATTTAGACTGGAAAACAAACCAGCTTCCTATTTTTAAGGTGTAACATTTAGACTGGAAAACAAACCAGCTTCCTATTTTTAAGGTGCAACTTTTAGAGTGAAAAATCCAGCTTCCTGTTTTTAAAAATGCAACTTTTAGAGAGGAAAGCAAGCCAGTTTCCTGTTTTTAAGGTGCAACATTTAAACTGGAAAACAAACCATCTTCCTATTTTTAAGGTGCAACTTTTTCAGGTGGAAACAAAACCAGCTTCCTGTTATTAAGCTGCAGCTTTCAGAATAAAAACTCAAAGTGGATTCATGAAGTTTAAAGTGCATTGAAAAAAACAACAACTCCAGCCATTTTTTTGCTCTGGTTCAAACAAACGTAAGAGAAAGGTAAGTTGACAATTACCAGTTTTACTAAAGTCATGTTCAACTCCTCTGCTACATCCAGCCTTCTTATTCTAATTTTTCTGAGATTCCCAAAATACAGGCAGTCCTTGACTTATGAACACAACTGATCCCAACATTTCTGTTGCTAAGTGAGTTTTGCCCACTTTTTACTATTTTTCTTGTTACAGCCTTTAAGACAATTCCTGCAGTTATTAAGCTAGAAACATGGTCATTAAATGAATGTGACTTTCCAATTGACTTTGCTGGTTGCAAAAGGGGATCACGTGACCCTGGGACACTGTGACAGTCGTAAGTATGAGTCAGTTGCCAAGTGTCCGAATTTGATCATGTGACCACAGGGGAGGCTGCTGCAATGATCCTAAGCTTGAAAAAAGGTTGTAAAGTCCCCTTTTTCAGTACTCTTGTAACTTTAAACAGTCACTAAATGAAGTCGAGAATTCCCTGTCAGGCTAAGAAAAGAGTGGTTTTATGTTACATTTAGTTTAATGAATAGCTGGAAGTCAAAAATGAACTGTATTAATAAAACCATAATAATAAACATAATAGTTAAAATAATTGACACCTCTCAAGTTTGTTAACAATTGCAAGCTCCGCTTGTAGCAAGGAACTACAAAATTTGCAAAAATCCAAACGTCCGGGGATCAGCCCTCTTCTCCTCCCACCCCCCCACTTTTGCAAATCCCCCCCAAAAAACCCGAGCCTTAAGCAGATGGCAAAACCCAGTTCAAAGTTTCATCTCCAAGAGACGAGTTGGGTGTCAACTGAATTACACACCCACTGAAGTTGTTTAATTGCCATTTTTTCCTCCGGCTCTTTGAAAAAGTGTGTTTGATTAGGGTTTACCCAACCTGGCCATCTGGAGACACACCTGGGGCATTGTTTGCACACTGACTGTCCAGGCGTTGTGGTTTTTTTGAGCAACCGGAAAGTCACACCTCCATTGATCGGTCAACCTTGCTGACTTTTTTAGATAGGGAAAAGTTCAACTCAACTGTGGTCAAAAACAATATTTTTTTGCCCTGCTACGTCTAAAAGGGGTTTGTAGGGACAAATTGAGCAAGGCTGTCAGTTGCACACTCCTGTTTCCGGTCTCTGATGGTGGAAATGTGAAATTTCTGCTATTGTCCACACCCAAAAGGCTAACAGATCTTTTTCCAAGCTTCGTAGAAAATGCTGTGGAAGAATTGGAAGGGCTTCAGAAAAAAGCTTCCAGGTTTCCAAAGAAACGAAAAGCATCCCCCCCCCAAAAAAAACATGGAAATGGATCCTTAGGATCCGAAAGAATCCTAAACCAAGGATCCGAAAGAAGCTTTTTGGCACAGGGGCTGCGGAATTAGGGCCTACAGCCAGGATCTCTGTCCAAACAGGAAGGAGATTGGTTCTTCTTGCATACTAAAGTCTTCAAGATTTGGGGGGGCAAGGAAAATACCGAGGGGAGAGGGGATACTTTAAAGAGGCTTGGAAGGGATGGAGGATGGGTTTCCATGGAAACCAAAATAGCAGAAGGATATCCTGCTTGCTCCAAGATTGAAGGCATCTAAGGAGGCTTTCTTGAGGGCCACTTCTCTTGACCTGGCTTCTCTATAGGATTCCTCAGAAAGGAATTTTGGGGCCTGGGGAGATGACACTTTCTGGAATTAGGGGCCAACTTTTAATATGGGGGCTTTGGGGTAGGTAGTCAACATCTCAAGATGGTCCTCCAGGTTGCAAGGGGGCCTCTGGACTGGACAATCAACAGGAGAAGCTACAGTGATGATGATGGAGAGGCCTTTCAGGAAGTCCTGTTCCCCAATCTTGTTGTTAGTTGCAAAGTTGTGTCCGACCCATTGCGACCCCATGGACCACGTTCCTCCAGGCCTTCCTGTCCGCTATCATCTTCTGGAGTCCCTTTAAGCTTACGCCTACTGCTTCAGTGACTCCATCCAGCCACCTCATTCTCTGTCGTCCCCTTCTTCTATTGTCCTCTATCTTTCCCAGCATTAGGCTCTTTTCCAATGAATCCTTCCTTCTCATTAGGTGGCCAAAGTACTTGAGTTTCAACTTCAGGATCTGGCCTTCTAAAGAGCAGTCAGGGTTGATCTCCTCTAGGACTGACCGGTTTGATCGCCTTGCAGTCCAGGGGACTCACAGGAGTCTTCTCCAACACCAGAGATCAAAGGCCTCCATTCTTTGGCGCTCAGCCTTTCTTATGGTCCAACTTTCACAGTCATACGTTGCAATTGGGAAAACCATGGCCTGGACTATACGCACTTTTGTTGGCAGGGTGATGTCTCTGCTTTTTAGTATGCTGTCCCCAATCTGGTGCCCATCAAATGCATCAGGATGACAATTTGTGGAGTTCCCCTGCCAGACTTATGTGGACTGGGACTTTTCAATGCAAAAGACCCTCTGTTGTTCTGAAGGGCACCATTTTGGAGAAGCTAGCATCTCTTAAGGCTCCCCACACATCAACCAATCTTCAGATGATCTATTACAGTGGTTCTCCACCTGTGGGTCGGGACCCCATTTGGGGTCGAACGACCATTTCACGGAGGTCGCCAAACAACGCAGTCCGCCATTTTTTTTCCCCTTTTCCTTAGCTGTGCTACTCCCTTTTATTCTATTGGCTTTTGAAAGCCAATAGAATAGACTCTCTTGAAGAGAGTCTAATTCTATTGGCTTTCAAAAGCCAATAGGAATTGTCCAGGCTGTCTCTGCCCTGCTGAGCCCGCCAAAAGCCCCATTCTGCAAACAATGCTGCACCAGTTGAGTAGTCCTTGACTTACGACCGGTTGAGTAGTCCTCGACTTATGACCGGTTGGGGGTCGCGGCATTAAAAAAGTTGAGAACCACTGATCTATTAACTCATCGACAAGGGTGTATTTTGCAGCCGCCAGGAAAGCAATTCTATCACAAGCCAGCTCTACTATCTAAGATTATCCACCAACCACTCCTTCGATAATATATTTATTTCTATCCCCTCTGGGGCAAATATCAAAAAGGGAAGTCAAATTCTGGTAGTCATAAGAATTTGGGGAGGATTTCAAGCCACACAATCAATATTTTTGGTGGAAAGTGCAGGAAGGGTGAGAATTTTGGAATTGGGGGGGGGGCTTTTTATGAGGGACTTCATGGGGTCCTCTTAGGAAGAAAAGAAAGGAAAAGAGAAGGAAAGAAGGAACAAGTGAGTGAGGAAGGGAGGAAGGAAGGAAGGATGGAAGGAAGGAAGGAAGGAAGGAAGGATGGATGGATGGATGGATGGATGGAAGGAAGGAAGGAAAGAAGAAAGGAAAAGGAAATGAGAAGGATAAATAGCAATGGAAACAACAAACTGAAATAGATACAAAGGAAGGAGAGAGGAAGGAAAATGAGAAGAAAAGAGAGAAATAGCAAAAGAAATTGAAATAGAAAAGAAAGAACAGAGGGAAAAAAAGGAAGGAAGGAAAGAAGGAGAAATGAGAAGAAAGAAAAAAAATAGTAACAGAAATAATAGAAATTGCAATAGAAAAGAAAGGAAGGAGAGAGAGAAAGAAAAGAAGGCAGGCAGGCAGGAAGGAAGGAAGGAAAATGAGAAGAGAGAGAAATAGCAATAGAAATTGAAATATAAAAGAAAGAACAGAGGGGAAAAAGAGGAAGGAAGGAGGGAAGGAAGGAAGGAAAGAAGGGGAAATGAGAAGAAAGGAGAGAAATAGTAACAGAAATAATAGAAATTGCAATAGGAGAGAGAGAGAGAGAAAGAAAAGGAAGGAAGGAAGGACGGAAAGGAATAAGAGCAAAAAGAAAAGAAAAATGAAGGAATTCACCAGGCATTGCAATCTCCTATTTTCTCTGCTTCAGGGCCAACCAAAGACCCTCCCAGTCTTGCTCAAACACCAGGCTGCCCTTTCCGCTCCCTTTGAAGAAAGGTTTCACACCAGGCCGCTCAGCCAGACAAAGTGTCCAGTAACTTAGCAACCATAATCACAACTACGCCACCCGCAGCATCTCTGCAGACCCCACCAGCCATTCACGAGCCGCCAGTCCTGCCAGAAGGCTACTTGAGACTGAAATTTAAGATTTTAAGAAGAGACTGGACAGCCATTTGTCTGAAAGGGTATAGGGTCTCCTGCTTGAGCAGGGGGTTGGACTAGATGACCTCCAAGGTCCCATCAGTTATTCTGTTATTCTGAGAAGGAGGAGGAGAAGAAAAAGGAGGAGGAGAAGGAGGAGAAGAAAAGGAAGAGGAAAAGGAGGAAGAGAAATTGGAGGAGGAAGAGAAGGAGGAGGAGGAGAAAGAAAAGAAAGAGGAAAAGGAGAAGGAGAAACTGGAGAAGGAAAAATTGGAGGAGAAGGAAGAGGAACAGAAATTGGAGGAGAAGGAGAAGGAGGAGGAGGACATGGAGGAGAAGGAGGAAAAGTGAAATTGGAGAAGGAGGAGGAGGAGGAGAAGGCAAGAAAGGTCATAAAATGGGGCAAAATTCACTTAAAATCTATCTTGCTTAGAAAATGGAAATTTAGAACACAGAAGTTGTGTTCATAGGTCGAGGACATCGGTCTAAATTGGGAAAAATGGCAGAATCACCTCTTTGCAAATATTCCCAGAGGGAGGGCCGAAACTAACCAATCATGGTAATAGTAGTAGTAGTAAAGTTGGAAGGGACCTTGGAGGTCATCTAGTCCAACCCCCTGCTCAGGCAGGAAACCCTACACCATTTTGGACAAAGGGCTGTCCAGTCTCTTCTTAAAAACTTGGAGCATTGGTATATCAAAATACACACAGCAGGACCTGCAATATCATGTTTACGCTCTATTTTATATATAGAAAGACTTACCTGCAGATAATGATGAAGAACTTGGTCAGCAAGAGAGATTGTTTCAAGCCAGCTTCTGCAACTTCATCGCGTGAAATTTGGGACACCGAAGACGTAAATTGTTGGGTTAACACTTGCAAGACGTCCAGAGGTAAAAGTGGAATTTCGGACACGGAGTCTTCGGGTCTAGGAGAGGAACCGATAGAGACACCGTAGGTTGCAGCCTGACAAACAGATAAGTCCTCCACTTACAACAATTCATTTAGTGACCATTCAAAGTTACAACGGCACTGAAAAAAAGGGACTCGGGACTGTTTTTCAGACTTACGACTGTCGCAGCATCCCCGTGGTCACCTGATTAGCTGACTCATATTTACGACGGTCGCTGTGTCCCGGGGTCAGGTGATCCCCTTTTGCGACCTTCTGATAAACAAAGTCAATGGGGAAGCTGTATTCACTTAACGACCATATAACTAATTTAACAACTGCAGTGATTGACTTAACTGTGGCAAGGAAGGTCGTAAAATGAGGCAAAACTCACTTAACAACCATCTCACTTAGGAAGATAAGTTTTGGGTTCAATTTTGGTCGTAAATAGAGGACGACATATATCCACAAAGTGGCAAAGAATGGAAACAAGCAGCCTTTTCTCATAAGTCCTTGACTTACGGCGAATGAACTGCTTGCACGACACACGATTCCCCTCACAAGCAGTTTGCTTAACAACTGGCAAAAATGATGGTAAAAATGGGACAAACGTCTTGCTTGTCAGTGAAAGTTTTGGAGTCAATTGTGGTCATAAGTCTGAGGACTACCTGCAAATACAGGGTCTAACCCAACTTGGCCTGAAAACTTGATTAAGCGAAGTAATTCCTGTCTTGTCAAAGAGCTTCTTGTATAAAAGATCAATTAGCAATAAAAGGCAGCCTCCAGAAATCTGGGCGAAATAAGTCAGATTTTACCTGTATTTTTCATTTTGTTTTGTTTTTTTAAAGGCCATTTTGCCTTTTTTTTTTTTAGCAAGCTATTACTTTTCTTTCCTGTGTCTCTAACACAAAGAAGAAGCGGATTTTGTGTACGGGAGAAAGGACAAAATAATTCAAGATTTATTAAGGCATTTTGAGCCCTGCTGTCATTATGAATAAAGGGGAAATTGCCTCAATTTAGAAGAGCGAAGAAAAGAGAGAAAATGAGATTGCTGCTATCAAGAAGTCCAGAAATTGGGCTTTAGAAGATAAATACCATTTTTTTTAAAAAGGGAAAAGTATACAGGTAGTCCTTCCTTTATAAGTTTGTTTAGTGTCTGTTCGAAGTTACAACTTAGGAGTGTTTCTCACACTTACGACCGTTGCAGCCTTCCCATGGGTCACGTGATCAAAATTAAGACCCTTGGCAACTGACTCGTATTTATAACGGTCGCAGTGTCCCAGGGTCACGTGATCCCTTTTTCCGACTTTCTGAAAAGTCCACGGCGGAAGCTAGATTCACGTAACAACCAAGTGGCTAATTTAACAGCCTCAGGGATTCACTTAACAACTGTGGCAAGAAAGGTCATAAAGTGGAGAGAAATTCACTGAACAGGTGTTTTGTTTAACAATGGAAATTGTTGTGGTCCTAAGTGGAGAACTATCTTGTCATTGGAAAACAGACAATGAAGTGATTTTTTTTTAAACAGGAAAAAAAAAAACCTACTGAACAAGACAAGCGATAGCTGAAATGGTGCATACATGAGGACTAGCGGCATGGTTCCTTGGTTTTAACTGTTCTCCAAAACATTAGCCACACCCACACCGAGTTAATTACGTAAAAGCATTCTAGATTCTGTCCAGTTTGATTTCCAGCTACTGCAGGTAGTCCCCTAGCCAAGGCAGAAGACCCTATACAAGTAGTCCTTGACTCACAACGGTTCATTTAGTGACCATTTGAATTTACAAGGCACTGAAAAAAGTGACTTATGGACCGTTTTTCACACTTACGACCATTACAGCATCCCCCACGGTCAAGTGATCAAAACTCAAACACTTAATAATAATAATAATGTTGGAAGGGACCTTGGAGGTCATCGAGTCCAACCCCCTGCTCAGGCAGGAAACCCTACACTCGTATTTATGACGGTCACAGCATCCCAGGGTCATCCTTTGGCCACCTTCTGACCAGCAAAATCAATGGGGAAGCAAAATTCACCTTAACAGCTGTGTTACTAACCTCACAACTGCAGTGATTCACTTAACAACGGTGGCAAAATAGGTCGTCAAATGGGGCAAAACCACAATTGTCTCACTTAGTAGTGGAAAGTTGGGGCTCCATTCTGGTCGTAAGGACCTGTAAGGTTGGAGGCGATTCACTTTACAACCTACTGGCTTGGCAACAGACATTCCGGTTCCATTGGTGGACAGAAGTCAAGGACTACCTGGAAACTTTTAACTATGTTTTTAGTTGTATTTTAGTGAAGATCAATCGGACTGGACAAGAATTACCTTCTCGGTTCCAGAGAATGGACAGCGATGATCTTCTCAAAATTGGCGACAAAGGCTTCTAACCACTGCTGAAGGTAGGACAAATCTTTCTAGAAAAAACAAAGCATAAAAAATAAGAGTTAGAAAGAGCGTGTGTGTATGGGGAAATGGCCTATTATTCCCTATTTCCAAGCTCAGGACCCATGTAGGATCCTTGTCAAGGGAATTGGACAAGGAAGGAAGGAAGGAAGGAAGGAAGGAAGGAAGGAAGGAAGGAAGGAAGGAAGGAAGGAAGGAAGTGCCTAGCATAACTGATGGATTTTATTAAAAGGCATCATCTGCCTGGCGTTGCGGGTCTCTTTGTCATGTGTGCTTCCATGAACAATCTGCATTTGTGTGGTCCTTCGTGCTCTCTGAGATGGGTGGTTTCCTTGCAGACATTTCATGACCCAACCAGGGAACATCATCAGTGCTAGAAGGGAGGAGGAGGAGGAGGAGGAGGAGGAAGGAAGGAAGGAAGGAAGGAAGGAAGGAAGGAAGGAAGGAAGGAAGGAAGGAAGGAAGATGGAGGGAGGACTCTGAGCTGGGTGGTCTCCTTGCAGACATTTCATGACCCAACTAGGGAACGTCATCAGTGCTAGAAGGGAGGAGGAGGAGGAGGAGGAGGAGGAAGGAAGGAAGGAAGGAAGGAAGGAAGGAAGGAAGGAAGGAAGGAAGGAAGGGAAAGATGGAGGGAGGACTCTGAGCTGGGTGGTCTCCTTGCAGACATTTCATGACCCAACTAGGGAACGTCATCAGTGCTAGAAGGGAGGAGGAGGAGGAGGAGGAGGAGGAGGAAGGACTGACTGTGGGGTTCTTAATGCTCTCTGAGCTTGGTGGTTTTCTTGCAGACTATGCAACTTTGTAGCATCATCACTACTAAAAGTGCTAACCTTACTCCCTTCTAGCACGGATGATGTTACCTAGTTGGGTCATGAAATGTCTGCCAGAAACCCTCCCCCCCAACTCAGAAAGCAACAAGGACCCCACAGTTCAACCCTAAAATACTCTCATCTATTGGTACAATCTGCATTTAAATACAGCAGTTCACAGAAGCTGACGCCTCCCCATCGTGTGAAACTCCGCTCACAAAAGTTGATACCTTTTAATAATTTAATTTCCAAGTTTATTGGGAAAGGTGCTAGCAGACACCCCATTTTTTTTTTTTTTTGCACTACACAGCTGAGCGAAAATTCTCTCATCAAAACACAAAACTTCACATCTTTGCTATCAAGTCAAAGATCTGTTGTGAGTCTGCAACAAACAATACATCAAGTTTTGTTTTTACTTGGAAATTGTTTCTGGACTTTGCGCTCAAGACAGAAAAAAAAATGAACTTTTGACCTTGGGTTTTGCTGATGAGATTAATTTATTATTACAGGAAGAGTTAATATCTACCTACAAGAAAAGTTAGAATTCAAGGCTGTAGTTTGACTTGAAAAAAATTGGAAATTAATGCTTTTTTCCCTTTACACGTAGTCCTCGACTTATAGCAGTTCATTTAGCGACCGTTTGAAATTACAACGGCACTGAAAAAATTGATTGATGACTGTTTTTCACACTTATGACCATTGCAGCACTCCTTCATAATCACATTGTCAAAATTCAGATGCTTGGTAATTGACCCGTATTTACAACGGTCGCCATGTCCCGGGGTCACGTGATCCCTTTTTGCGACCTTCTCACAAGCAAAGTCAATGGGGGAAGCCAGATTTGCTTAACGACCGTGTGACTTACTTAACAACTGTAGTGATTCCTTCATCAACAGTGGCAAGGAAGATCGTAAAATAGGGCAAAACTCACTTAAATGTCTCGCTTAGCAACGGAACTGCTGGGCCTCAATAATGGTCGTAAATCGAGGACTACCTGTATTTCATTCTCACTTGGGTGGCTTACCACTAAGTTAAAAAAAAAAAAAGCAAACTCAAGCATTAAAATATTAAGAGAATAAATATTAACATTCAAATCTCTTCTTCTCCTTTCTGTCCCGTTCTTCTTTCCCTCCTACCTTTATTTTCAATTGTGTGATCAACCTTATTGAAAAAAGATAAAAAAAACCCTCAAACACTAGTTTTGCAACCCAGTGTAAGAGGAGATTTCAGATATTGAAAAGTGAACCTACCCCCAAATTTTAAATTAGATAATATGTCAAAACACTTGGGGGACCCCCAATTTCTCCTCCAAAGTGAACATACTCCCAAATTTTAAAAACAGAGATGGGACAATATGTCAAAGCAGCTGTGGGGACGCTCAATATCTCCTCCAAAGTGAACATACCCCCAAATTTTAAATTAGAGATGGGATAATATGTCAAAGCACCTGGGTGGGACCACCAATTTCTCCTCCATCTACTCCAGTGGTTCTCAACCTTTTTAATGCCGCGACCCCCAACCGGTTGTAAGTCAAGGACTACTCAACCCGTCGTAAGTCGAGGACTACTCAACTGGTGCAGCATCGTTTGCAGAATGGGACTTTTGGCGGGCTCAGCAGGGCAGAGACAGCCTGGACAATTCCTATTGGCTTTGGAAAGCCAATAGAATTGGACTCTATTCAAGAGAGTCTATTCTATTGGCCTTCAAAAGCCAATAGAATAAAAGGGAGTAGCACAGCTAGGGAAAAGGGGGAAAAAATGGCGGACTGCGTTGTTTGGCGACCCCCGTGAAATGGTCGTTCGACCCCAAATGGGGTCCCGACCCACAGGTGGAGAACCACTGATCTACTCATTCTGCACATCCTAATTGTTTGGAAACTGGCAAAACAAAAAACAAAAAAATCCCAACAATTAGGAAATGCAGAGTGGGTGGGAGCGTGGGGGAGGAAATTGGGGCTCCCCACGGCTGCTTTGTCATAAAGAGGTGGTGTGGGGACAGATGACCTTCAGGTGCCCTCTGCACCCAGCATGTCCTGAAACCAGAAAATAATGAAGCCTCCTGGCTAATCTTTATTGGCAAACACCAGGGGAGAGAGCTGGTACAGCGTGGTACCTTGATGAAGACAAGCCCACTTTCAGCTTTCAATTTGCAGCTAAAATCCAAACACGAGATAAGGATAATAAATGTAGCCTGGAGTCCTGACTTCTGTTTACAAGAGGAGATCATGGGGGGTTTAGACTGTTAAAATGTTTTAAAACCATTTAAACCATTTAAAACAGCCGTAGACTCCTTCTACGGCTCAGGCAAGAATTGCAAAAGAGAGCCAACGTGGTTTAGCGGTTAAGGCACCAGGCTAGAAAACAGGAGATAGTGAGTTCTAATTATCCTTTAAGTATGAAAGCCGGCTGGGTGACTTTGGGCGAATCACCAGGAGACGGGGAGTTCTAGTCCTGCCCTACGTGTTAGCCAGCTGGGTGACTTTGGGCGAAATCACCAGGAGACAGTGAGTTCTAGTCCCACCTTAGGCACAAAAGCCATCTCAATGACTTTGGGCGAAATCACCAGGAGACGGTGAGTTCTAATCCTGCCCTACGTGTTAAAGCAGTGGTTCTCAACCTGTGGGTCGCGACCCCATTTGGGGTCGAACGACCATTTAACGGGGGTCGCCAAACAACGCAGTCCGCCATTTTTTCCCCCTTTTCCTTAGCTGTGCTACTCCCTTTTATTCTATTGGCTTTTGAATAGAATAGACTCTCTTGAATAGGAGTCTAATTCCATTGGCTTTCAAAAGCCAATAGGAATTGTCCAGGCTGTCTCTGCCCTGCTGAGCCCGCCAAAAGTCCCATTCTGCAAATGGTGCTGCACCCGTTGAGTAGTCCTCGACTTGCGACCAGTTGAGTAGTCCTCAACTTACGACCGGTTGGGGGTCGCGGCATTAAAAAGGTTGAGAACCACTGTGTTAAAGCCAGCTGGGTGACTTTGGCCCAATCACCAGGAGACGGTAAGTTCTAGTCCCACCTTAGGCACGAAAGCTATCTGAGTGACTTTGGGCGAAATCACCAGGAGACGGTGAGTTCTAGTCCTGCCCTATGTGTTAAAGCCAGCTGGGTGACTTTGGCCCAATCACCAGGAGATAGTGAGTTCTAGTCCTGCCCAAGGCATGAAAAAACAGCTGGGTGACTCTGGTCCAATTCTTCTCTCTCACACTAACCCACCTCATTAGAGTTATTGTTGTGGGAGGAAAAAATAGGAAGAGGAAGGTGTGTTGGATATATTTCCCTTCTTGAATTATTTGTAGAAATAATAAAGATGGGATACAAAAGAAACGAAGTGTGTGTGTGGGGGGGGCTGAGCAAAATATGCACCCCTCGTACTGGCAACAGGAAATAAATAGGTTAGAATTAGGGGGGCAAGATAGCCAATCACTGGCTGGGCTCAGGGCCAAATTCTCATTTAGCGGAATTTGTAGAATTTCAACGGGATCTATTGATTTTCAGATTATTTCATCCATTTATAGAGTAGCTCAACTTGCAAATTCAGCAATTCTGCGCGACTCACAAAGTTCAAAACACTACAAGAGAACAGGGGGCTGGAGAACCCGGCGAATGAGATTGCAGGTAGTCCACAATTTATGACAACTTGTTTAGTGACCAGTGTTACTACAGCGCTGTAAAAAGGGACTTAGATGCGGTCCTCGTATTTATGACCATTTCAAGAGTCCCTCGACAACAGCATGACATGATCCCCTTTTGCAATCTTCCGACAAGCAAAATCAATGGGGGAACCCAGATTCACTTAACAACCATGTGACCTGCTTAACAACCGTGGCCAGCAGGTTGTAAAATCGGATGCGACTCTCTTAACAACTGCCTTGCTTAGCAATGAAAATTCTGGTCCCAACTACTGTCGTAAATCAAGAACGTCCTGTACATAATGCATTACAGGTAGTCCTCAGCTTATGACAGTTCATTTAGTGACCATTCAAAGTTACAACAGCCCTGAAAAAAGTGACCATTTTTCACACTTACGACCACTGCAGCCATCCCTATGGTCACGTGATCAAAATTCAGACCCTTGCAAATTGACTCATAGTTATGATGGTCGCAGTGTCCTGAGGTCTCATGATCCCCTTTTGTGACCTTCTGACAAGTGAAGTCAACAACTATATGGCAACAAAAGTCATCAAACAGTCAAAACTC